ATATATTTTCCTGTAGGGGAAACTCTAGTTTCACTAACAAACTTATGGCTGAAATTCCATTGAGCAAACTTTAGGCTTTCTCCACAACTAACATTACAAGAAGCTGTATATGATCACCACTCTTAGGGAATCAAACATCTGAAAATGATTATTACACATCTGACTGCCCTAAGTGTCTGATAGTAACCCAAGAACCCAAGTGAGTACTGCAGTCCCAGAGACAAAACAGGAATGGTTAATAGAGGCTAATATTAAAATGAAGCCTTCTGGAAGCCATGCTACATTGCCTTGGTGATGGTTACATTTTCCTGCATCAACTTAAAGACATTTAAAATAGTGGTTACCCCTTGAGATACTCAAGACTGTTCATTGTAAACTTGTCCTACTGTAGGTCATGTTTTGTCAACTTGATAGATGCCCAAGTCATTTTGGAAGACAGAATGAGATTTAGAAAATGCCTCCATCAGATTGGATCGCAGCAGGCAAGTCTATATTTGGTTCACTTTCTTGATTAAAGATTGTTGTGAAAGGACCCAGCTTACTGTGGGCAGTGCCAACCCTGGAGTGGTAGTCCTGCGTGACGCAACAAAGGTAGCTGAGTAAGCCAGGGACAAGCCAGCAAGCAGCATTCCTCTAAGGTCTGTTTCAGTTTCTACCTCCAGGTTCTGATGGGAGATGGCCTTCTGTATGCAGTGAAATGTTTCTCTTATTGGTTAATGGATAAAGTTGTTTCAACCAATGGACAAGCAGGATGCAACTAGGCAGAAAGTACAGGTGAGGCTACCAGACTGGAAGGCTGGGAGGAGGAGAGCAGAGTCTACAGTGTGTCGCCACCAAAGGAGTAACAAACCAAAGCATTACAGGCGTGCCACAGTCTCGGGGCAATACACAGAAATGGGTTCAATAGAAATGGGTTAGTAATTAAGAGAGAGCTAGCCGGTAAGAAGCATGAGCCATCAGCCAAAGAGTTTATAATATGGGACTAAATGGCTGTGGGACCAGGAAAGGACAGAAACTTCTATCCACAGTTCCTTTTGATTTTCCTAAATGATGAACTGTACCAGAAGCTTTAAGATGAATAGTCTTCCCTCAAGTTGGATTTTGTTTTAGCAAAGCAACAGAGAAACAAATTAGGATACCAAGAATTAATCAGTCAAGTGCCACCAAAGATAGCACCAATTAAATTAGGCTTTCCCTGGGGTCTTAAGAAACTCATCAATAAGATGGCCAACTTCCCTGTAGGATGTGCATGGTTGTGTCTGCTGGCACTGCAAGCCAGCTGCTCCTTTAAAAAAGCCTTACTTCACAACCCCACTGCACAAGAATGTTCATCTCAACACCATCACTAGTTTCATACAAAAATTAACCACTGTGTTCATGTTTCAAAAGTGGTATTGCTATGTGTATGTGCTAGTAATATTCATGTTCAAAAGTGGTACTGTTATGTATATGCATTAGTCATACCACACATAAATAAAATGGTCGCACTAAAAGTTTAGGGGGTAGCAAGATAGCTGGATGCCTGCTGCTAAGTCTTGAGGACCAGAGTTTCTGAACTCCACACATGTACAGTGGCAGGTGTATGTACACACAAACACATCAGTTTTAAAAACTAAAACAGAAATATCATGATCCAGAAATTTAAAGCACAAACACCCCCCACCCCAATTTAAATGAAAACAGTCCTTGATGAAGATGGATAAACCCATTTCATGCTGGTCTTTCCCCCCAAATGACTACATACTCTTTGGCAATATGGCCTTGCCAAGGTGGGTGGGACAGAGGCCATGTTCCTGCCCCTGCAATAAAACACAGTATCACAGCAGGCAACACACGGGGAGGGAGACCTACCCCTGCCAAGTACAACCCCCCCCAACCAAATCCAATGTTAACAGTTTCTGCAACTATCAGCTGAGGTCTAACCTGCTGCAACCAACTGTCAGTTATTTACCTGAGAGGCAATCCACAAAGATTTACTTCATTAAGCCTCATAAAGCAAGCAACCCCAGATAACAACTCAACAGTCATCGTGATGATCCCTTCCCTAACTTACAATCACATAATTATCAACACAATGAGGTACCTGCTACAAGACAAATTTGTTGACATTTTTCTATAGAGCAACAGAGATGAGAACAGGAGCCACCCTGGGGACTATCAAACTGATTTGACAGTCTCTACCAAACTTGTCACACACACACACACACACACCCACACCCTGGGGACTATCAAACTGATTTGACAGTCTCTACCAAACTTGTCACACACACACAAACATACCCCTGGTTGTCAGCACCCGAAGGCACTGCACTGTCAGGTTAAATTAAAAAATATTCAGAGGAAATCATATCAATACTGAACATAACAATATATACTTTTCAAAGCATTATTTTCTTATATAACATTTACATGAACTAAAGCATTTCAAGTCATCTAGAGACGATTTTAAAGTATTCTGGAAGACATATTTGTAAATTATATGTAAATAGTGTACCTCTTTGAATTTGAGAGTTAAGATTTTGTTATATGCTTTTCAAGTCATTATTTTCTTATATAACATTTACATGAACTAAGGCATTTCAAGTCTTCTAGAGACAATTTTAAAGTATTCTAGAAGATAGATTATATATAAATAATGTACCTCTTTGAATTTGAGAGTTAAGATTTTGTTAAATGCAAGGATTCTGACCCAATCCTCTAAATTACCAAAGGACTTTGAAACTTAGTAAGGGGCTGGGTGTGTTACCCAGTGATAGAATATAAGCTTAACATAGACCATGCCCAGAGTTCTATCCCAGCACTTCCTTGACTGCCTGCCCCTCCCCTTAAAAAACCATGAAGGAATAAAAGGGAATAATTTTATAGAAGGTGTTGAGTGGTGATTATAAGCAATGGTGATCAAAGAGAATATGAAAAAGCACATCTCCAGAAGAATGGTATTCTCCATTAACTGGGAAGCAAACATGAAAGAAAAACAAAACAAAACCAAACAGGGCTCCTGGTTAGCAAACGGAATGTTCCATAACTAAAATGGCTTTGTTCTCCTAATACATCCACTGAACTCCCACTTTGTTTTTTAGATTTTTACCTTGCTGGAATAAAAAGAAGAGTTTGATTTAGAAGAGTTGGATAAGTTTCAGGGAAGGACATTTTGAGGGTCTGTGGTTTAAAGGCAGTCTCCAGTCCACAGTTCAGCACACAAGGAGACTTAACACATTCATCTGAGCCTCAGCCTTTGCAAACACAGACCCAGTCAGCGCCCCACCCCAGGGAAGGGTCCCTGCTGCCTTCTCATCACCAGTAACTAACACCAGAACAAGAGTTTCAGGACAAGCTCGGCCTCAAGAGAGGTGAGTACAAGAGAGACCACAACCACATTTTATTTAAGTTCTTTTTTTATTTTCCTCCACACTGGCAAAAGTTCCGAGGGAGCTTAAAGTTTTGTAAACATTTTAACTATCCCTCTTCCCCACCCCACCCCTTTGAATTTACAAAGCAAAGGAGAGTAGGAGTCTCACTTTTTAATGGTCCCCCAGCTCCTTATGCTATTTGATCCAAAAACTATTTACAAGTTTGTAGCAGTCTCTGTATAGTTATTGTACACGTTTAGGAGGGGTTGAGGCAAGAAGGGATAGGGAGAGTGGTGATCCAAAATAATAAAAATAGAAACCAAAAAGAATCCTCCAAACCCAAACTGCTCTCAGAGCAACTCCAGCCTTCTCCAGGCACTGATGACCAAAGGGAAGGTGCTTCACCTACAAGCTGCCCACCACAGCACCTCTTGCACAGGCACAGCTGGCCCACAGCTCCCTCGAGGTATGACTGACCATCCCAGGTGATGTTCTACAGGCGTCTGGTGGAGGCAGTCAGAGTTTGTTTATAAATAGAGCTTGAGTACATTTCTACTTGATGGGAACAGGTAGGAGCAGGCCTCTTGCTCCTGTTCTTGCCCATGCCCTTCATCCCACTGATCCTCCTGCATAGTGGTCTCCACAGATGAAGGTCTTAAAGATGGTCAGGTTTTGTACGTTCTTTTTCAGAAACGGCAAACAACTTTCCATCCCAGAATCTTTACATAAAACCTTTCAAGGCCACAGCCAAACACACACGGTGCTCTGTGAACAGGTGAGTTCCCAGCTTTTATCGGAAGCAAAAGTGTAACCCTATCCGAGTTGAAATTACACAAATTCATACATATGGTAAAGATGCCTCTTAAACGAGACAAATTTTCACAGAAGGGCCCAAAACAAACTGGTCCTAGTCCTTTGAAGTAAAAATATTTATGGGGGGATCAGTTTTTATATGAAAAGAAAAGTATATAAGTCCCTGTCCCAGGCCATAGGGTTTCCTTTGTCCAGTAAGGTTGGAGTATGTCAAGGGAGAACTCAGCTTGCTTGGAAAGTCACTACCTAATGAAGAAGACATGAATCCTTTCTCCGGAAAGATATTCAGAAAGAACAAGTGAGGGGTGTGCAACATCAAACAAGCCAGTCTACAACCCACCCCCTCTCCCTCAGGGCCTCTGATGCAATCCCGAAGTTAGCAATGGCCATGCAACCAACCTCCAGACAGAGTTCTGCCTGGCTCTGGCAATAGTGAAGTCACCATCCAGGGGAGCATTTGTTGCTGGCCAATGTCTAATAACCATTAACTCTCTTCATGACTGCACCAGTTAAGACCCTAGCCTGTATTGGGGGGGGGCAGGGTAGAGTGGTGGGGAGAAAGAACAAAACAGAACAAAAAAAAGTGACAAGAGAAAGTAACCTGCTATTGGCAGATTCCAACACTTTCAGGAGACAGTAGATGAAATCAAAGCACAATGAATGTGTGCTGCCAATATCAGCCCTGCTGGGGAGCAATCCCAACTGCCACCTCCAAGACAAAGGGTCTGGTCCACTTAGGTACATACAGTCTGAGATGCTCACCAACAGTGATCTAAAATAATTGAACACGAGGGGCTAGAGAGGGGGGCTAGAGAGGGGAAAAAAAAAAGCCTGAGATGATTGGTTCTGTGATTTGTTGCAGAGTGACAGAGAGCAAATGGCGAATGCATGTTGTATCCGACGAGGAGAATCCATGGTCACTAGGCAGGAGAGGGAAGGCTGGCACAGCGGTAGGTACTCAGTAGTCATCCAGAGTCTCAATCTCACCCATGTTGAGTCGCTCTGATGACGCATTGACTGAAAATCCTACAAGAAAAAAGTAAGTTTGTGAGTGACTGTTCTGCCAACTGGCTCAACATCAAGCAGCTGACTGCAATTTAAGTCTCTTGTGCTTCAGATTTACACTAAACTGGGCACTGAAGGAAGACAGAAGAAAAAAAGGTAAGCAAGCAGACCTATGCAGAAAGGGATCTCTGATCAGACTAGAATGGAATCAGCTCAGGAGAGGCATTCCTGACAGGACACACAAGCACTGCGACCCTGCTAGTGGCCACATGGAGGAACTTTTCCAATGAAACCCACAATCAAAAGTTGATAAAAATTTAGTAAGTAGGAATCTTGGGAGTGAGCGACTCCCAGAAATCTTCCCAGTCCCTCTGCTCTAGATGAATCCTCAACTGTTTCAGCTGCTGTTTAAAAACCAAAAGCAAACAGGCAACTCCCTCCACCCCAACAAGACTGTTGGTACTGGGTGGGTTTTTCACACCTTCAGTTTTGTTTACTTCAGTGTTCAAGCTTTCAAATAAATACACATTTGAAATGTTCCAATAACACACACACACACACAAATGCCTTACATAATAAAATAGCTTAATTTACAGACTCAAAAATAAGATTTGAAAAAATAAACAAGCCTGCCTACTAACCAAGAAGGCCGTGGGACAAGTTGCTGTCAAGTCACAACCAGCAACCGCAAGACCTCTTTTCCCTCAGAAATACTGAAAGTCTTAGTGTTCATATCTCTGAGGTGAAGGTTTTATTTGGAAAAATCTAAAAACCTAACCGCCAATAGTCTATGAAATGAGCTATTCACTCTATTCTAAAGCAGGTTTATCTAATTCTATGTCAAGAATAAATGAAATGAGATGGAAACAATGAGATGCATGCAACAGGAGAAGAAATGTAATTTTAAAAACAACTAATTTCAATCAAGACAGAAAAGAAACCGATGAAGAAATAATGAATATCTGATGTTATAATGTCCAGATTACCAGGTGAGGCTGTTTAGAAGACATGATCTAACTTAACTGATTTAAAAGCACAGCCTCCTCACATCACAAAAAGAACAGCTTATGGGTACCATGAAAGGCAAGGCAACAAAAAGGGGAGATTTGTCCTCTCTGCTAATCCACAGACCACTTTCTCCTAGGTCTAGAACACTTTAGAATTAGGATACTCTGTAGGAAAGGGAAGCCTGACCTCCCGGGGGAACTCTGCAAGGTGTTTATTATCAGCCCCAAATGGTTACACTGGTTACTGGGGAACCCTTAAAATTAGTATGATCACAGTAGAGGGAAGGACACTGGGAAGTGAAACAAAGCTTGGGCTCCCTCTGTTGGTTTGCTTCAGAATTTAATTCTATTTCAATCTGCTCTCACAATGGATACTTGTAGATACAGTTGAAACCTATTCCAATATGCACATGGAAAACTTTTCTCAATCTGTAACTTTACAGAGAACACATTCATTGAGAAGTAACACATGAAAGTGAATAAACACAGGACTCCCCAGAAAGAGGCTGAAGTAGGCAGTGATTTTCACATGAAAAGCTCACTGGCCCAAGTGAGTCCCCTCAGCACTTCATGGTCAAGTTCCTTGTCCTTTAGTGCTGGTTGTCCTCCCTTCAGGACAATGGAGCCATTTAACTCCAAGAGGACCTACCCATCCATCTGCCACACCCCAACTGAGGATTGTTTAGGTCCCTGTCTTCTGGAGTCTATGGCAGAAGACCAAGAGCATACTGCAGAGAACAAACATGAACAGTAGCGCAACCTCTCTTATCTGTAAGCCAAGTCCTAAGGACTTCTTAGCTTGAGCCAGTTAGAAACCTGTTCACCTATTTCTGTCAGAATTTTATACTTTTCAACCTGTGTTTGATATTAATGCTCTAAAGAAGGACTCTGACAGCCAAGTGTATTAACTTCATATTTAAAAACAAAAAATAGTGGCATTTTCCATCACTACTTGTGTGGTTGTTAGGCCAATTTGAGAAATACAGCAACTTATATTCATTATTTATGAAATACCAGTCCCCACCATTCCCACCAGTCCTTTAAAGTCCTAATTTAGGAGTCTGTTTTTCTAGGAAGCTGCTGTGTGTGAGGACAACAGGCCTCAGTACCAGACAGGGAGGTGTCTACCACAAAAGAGTGGTGGAGGCCTGAAGCCCAGCTCACTGCTGGGAGAACTGGGTGTCCTAGCAGTGCAGTCACCCAGTATCCACAGAAGTGGATGTAACAAGCACTGCTTCTTTGAATATCTGCTTCCAGCACAAACCAGCAGCAGAACTTGATGTCATCCATTATCCTTATATGAAAGGCTAAGCAATGCTTTAAAGTTTGAAAGACTATAATACTATTTGTTTGTCCCAGCATGAGGCATCTCTTGCACCTACATGCCTAGGAAATATTTCCTAGCTACTTCTTTTTAGGCCAGTAAGTAAAATGAATCTTTACATGAAAGACTGTGGCGAGTCATGATTTATCTGGCTACCTGAACCTTCTTCCCACCCAGGCTGAGACTCCAGGCCTACTCTCACCTAATAAACTAGGATCTGCTCGAACCATCTTCTGTTTTTTCTTCTTCTTGCCACTTTGTACAGCCTCAAAACTGGATTGTTGATTGTTGCTTTGATTGGTCTGAAATACCGAATGGAGTGTACTATGGTTCATGCCCCAAACAGAGTCCTGTGAAATAACAAAACGGCACAACTATAATTATACAGTGCATATGAATGTGGACTGCTTACCTTTGCCTTACCAAGTGTGAGTCTGCAAACAAAAATCCTAGTGAGACAGCTCAGAGGGCAAAGTGTTTGCCACAGAAGGCTGGTGGCCTGAGTTCATGCCCAGAACACAGTGGAAGGAACCCCCAAAAGTATTTCTTTTCTTTTTCTGTTTCACTCACTCTCTCTTTCTTCCTCCCTCCCTCTCTTCCTCTCTTTTTCTTTCTTTCTTTCTTTCTTTGTTTCTTTCTTTCTTTCTTTCTTTTTTTTTTTTTTTGAGACAGGGTTTCTCTGTATTGCTTTGGAGCCTGTTCTGGAACTAGCTCTGTAGACCAGGCTGGCCTTGAACTCACAGAGAGATCTGCCTGCCTCTGCCTTCCAAGTGCCGGGATTAAAGGCATGTACTACCACTGCCCAGCTCAAAATTATTTCTTACTTCCACATGGTACATTTGCCTATGTGCTTGAGTATATACATACGTACATTACGTTTGTATGTCTGTGCGTGTGTGTACATGCACACACATGAGCCTGTCTGGAGAGAAGGGTCAGCGGTTAAGAGTGCATACTGTTCTTGTAAAGGACCTGAGTCTGATTCCTGGCAGTCATATCAAGCAGCCTACACTGTAGCTCTTATGCTTTCACCTGATTCATGTGCACATACTCATTGACACATAAAATTTATTTTAAAAATAAATTTTTTTCTTAAGAAAAAAAAAAAAAAAAAAAAGCCTGCTGGGCATTGGTGGTGCACGCCTTTAATTCCAGCACTTGGGAGGCAGAGGCAGGCAGATCTCTGTGAGTTTGAGGCCAGCCTGGTCTACAGAGCTAGTTCCAGGACAGGCTCCAAAGCAATACAGAGAAACCCTGTCTTTAAAAAAAAAAAAAAAAAAAAAAGCCTAAACCAGTACTGGCAATACAAAAACTGAGGGAGGACCACTGACCTCAGTTCACTCATTTACAGCACTCTACTTGATATCTGATTATCTCTTTAAGTCTCTCCTGGATCGCCAAGCTTTCACTCAGGCTATACCAGAATGGCTGTCCTAAGTTTTCTAGCAGATACAGTGTCTGTATCATTCATTAAAAAATGCAACATACAACATCTGACCTCAACAGGCCTTAACACTTGGTAATAGACACACCTGACTGACTCACAGTATACAGAGGGCATGCTGAGAACTGGCAGTATATCATCAAAGGATAAAGTCATATACGTTATTCATACTGGCAATCCCAGAAGGGATTTGTTCCCAAAATATTGGCCCACATTTCTACCAACTGGTTAGAGTATAAAATAGTACACTAATCCTGTTCTCACTGTTGTCTTTATTAGAGAAACTATAGAAGCACCTAGGGAGGAGTACAGGCAGCACTGTGGAAGAGCATGCCTAGGGTCCAGGGGCACACAGGATGTGGGAGCATTTCCTTGCTGTTTTACCTCACAGGAGACCATCTCCAGGTACAGTGTTTCCTGCACTACTTCAAACCACCTCTCCTGCAATGCCCTGAGACATGTGCTATGGAAGGACACCTACCAGTCTCTCTTAGTTTACCAAGTCTGCTCTATACAGTTAGCTCTCAAATGTTTTGTGCTACAATGAATCTTTCACATCTCCAGAAGTGATCTATACAACATACTTATCATCTCTAGTAGAGTATGAATATTTTATGGCTCTTTATGAACCCTGCCAACTTTCCTTTCAGAAAATGTAAACTATCAACCCTCAAAGATCTTACATTTGTAAATTTCAACAAATTGTTAAGTTCGGATTTTTGTTTTGTTTTGTTTTTGATGGTCATTCTGAGTACACATATGCTCAGAGAGGCAAAAACTTTTTAACAACCTATGCACACATTTCCACTAAAGAGGGACAAGGGGTCATCCACCTTCCAACTCCGCTGCCACCTTTGCCTTTGGCCCTGGCTCACACCTCTGTGCTTCTTGTGACTTTGCTGCCTCCACCCCTGAGCACCTATGCTATTGGATACTCCTGCACTGTACCCTTAATTTCCTAGTTACTCAAACTTTATAAAATAGTGGTTCTCAACCTGTGTGTCTCAACCCCTTGTGGGGTACAGGGAATTCTGTGTGTCAAATGACCCATTTACAGGAGTTTCATAACAGATATTTACAATTATTAACAGAAGCAAAATTATAGTTGTGAAGTAGTAACAAAAGTAATTTTATGGTAGGAGGGGGGAGAGGTCACCACAACCCAAGGAACTGTACTAAAGGGTCCACACACACTGCTATAGAACAGAGCTGCAATGAGGAACAAATGGCAACAATCTTCACACCCTCATCAACAGCATGAGAAATACCTACCATGCCCCACATGTAGTAACATTTCAGATGTAGGAGATACCAAGCTTTAAAAACAAAACAAATTTATGGGTCATGTTGGGACCTGTGGTCCGAATACAACATATATATGAATCAGGAAAACTGACTAAAAGTACCTTGGACACTTTATTTGCTACTTGCTAACTAGGACATTTACAGAAATGCACTTTGAATAGATGAAGGCCACACATTTTGAAATGTTTTGGTCACTGGATGCATAAAAATATTCCTTTTCACTTCTCTGCTACTCAACATTTAGAGTTTCCTACTCGCATGTACTACACACATCGTGTTACTTTATACCTGTTGCTGTTGTTGTTGCTGCTGCTGCTGCTGCTGCTGCTGACGCTGCTGATTGGCTTTCTGTTTGGCACGGCGCTCAAGGAACTGCTTGGCAAACTCCTTGGCCTCAGAAGTATCTCCTAAATAGGCCCTGATATAATCATGGACTTCATAAGGAGATTCCACTTCTTTCAAGAAAGAAACAAACGTAGGAACTACAATACAAGAGGGGAGAGGACATTAGACAGTAACAATGAAATAAACACATGTACAAAGAATAAGCCTCAAGTTTTAATAGATTACCACACTGACACAGGCATTAACAGAAACGTGAAAGCTATACGGTTTCTGTGATACTCACATCTGCCTAATACAGATGAAAGAGCCTTATCACAGCGTTGAAATTATCCAAAACAGCAGTGTCAAACAAAAACACACCACACATGCCCAACTTCACTAAATGTTATGTTGGGGAAACTAGATGTTACAATTGACTGACTAAAGTAATTTAGGGATTCATTCCTTTAATTCAGTTTATGAAGTACTATGATGGACACCAGCTACCATGACAGTTATTAAAGATATAGATATATCTACCTTCTAGAGCATGTAATTAATTAGGGTAGTATGTGTTTTAGAGAGCTTCAAGTGGAAAATGCAAATTGTGTGGTTTCAGAGAAAAAAAAAGCACAAACACCAGAGTTAGACAGGCATGGGTTTAAAATTCGATTCTGAAGTTTGCTGGCTGTGTGACCTTGATGAGGTATGTAACCATTCTGAGCCTCTGTTTCCTAATTTATAAAATGGGGATAATATCACCTACCTTATCTTCAAATTTTACTGCAAAAAAAATGAATGCCTGGGATAACACTATGTTATCCCAGCTAGTGCCTAGCATATGGTAGGTGCTTAATGGATGGCAGCCATTACTTTTAAGAAAATCTGTTTTCTCTGAACACCTTCAGATTCTTAGATAATGTTATAATGCTGCAAAGGAGCCTGTCAATTCTTGGCTTTTCAGTGTTAAAGATTGCTGGCTTTAGGCCAGTGATCACCTGGGTCTATGAGCTAAGGCAATCCCTTCTACAGTATGATCAACAATCACAACTGGCTATATCTAGGTAGGCAGGGGGTTTACTTCCACCTAAGGAGCTACTCTCTGTAAACAGCTCATTTACAACCACACTTTTCTTGAAATTATGTTGAAACCTTTATTTCTGCAGTCTGAACTCATACAAAGCAAGTCTACTTACTCTATCAAAATTTCCATCATCTTTCAAAGCAGGAAGGGACAATGTCACAGGGCTTTATGGTACTTTACTGGCTATGACATTTAACTTTCTCACAGACATGATTAATGTATCTGGAAAATGTTTCCCATGAAAAGGGTAATGGGAAACTATGACTTACTTTGTCCTGTACATCATTAAGACAGCCTGAGCTGTAATTTTATTTTTGTAACTGCTCATAATCTATTTGAGCATAGTTTTATAGGGCCTTTTTCATAAATAATACTACGATGGGAGTCAAGTTTTTAATGGAAAGTGAAGGACTTGGCCCCAAGAGATTTCATCTACATTTTGGCTCACTGTTCCAACCTACCAACCTCTTTGTAGGTCCTGCTCTGTCAATCCACATGCTGGGATTCCCTTCCCAATTCTTACCATCCAAGTTATTTGCCGTATTAAGGGCATGAAGCATCTGTTCACACCACTGGGTAAATCCATCCTGGGCTTTATTTACTCCCTGAAAGAGCTTCAGCAACTTTTCTTCTTCTTCTACTTTCTTATTCTGCCGGTTAGACACACCTACAGATTTACTAAAGCAAAACAATAGGGCGATATTATATTCCCAGAAACTGTTACTACGTGATTATACTACAATACCATAAATACTGTCCAGGCAACACTGGATAGCTGTCCAGCAAGCCAATTCTTAGTTCTGTACATGGGAGGGTGGGGGAGAGCGGGAACAAAACAGTCAAATATTTTGATTGAATACTTCCTTAAAAACTAGCCTCAGCTAATATCCTAAGCTTCTATTTTGAGAAATAATGAAATTCTTCCTACATGTTCTTAGGTAAGCTATTCAATTTACTAAGCCTCAGTTTCCTCATTTGCAAAATGGTGCCAACACTTCTTTGTATTATAGTAAGGAATGAAGACAATCTCACAATGGCCTGGAGCATAACAGTGCCTGGCAAAGAAGCTCAATAAACTAATGTGTTTACTTTCTTTAAGTCTTCAATTAGAAGGAATCTGACAACACTACTATTTATTAAGCACTTACTACATGCCAGGCACTTTACTATTTCATGTGTATTTGTTTATTACTTTCAACTACACTAATAAAGTTATTATCTTCATTTTACCCATGAGGGAACTGAGGCCCAAAAGAGGTTCTCTCTTGCCCAAGGTCACACAGCTATTAAGTGGTAGTGCTGGGATCTGAGTTCATGAATATAACAACAAACCCATGCTCATTCAACATCACTGGCTACTGAAGGAAGAAAGATGAAGAGGAAATAGAACTAATTTGTTATATACCAAGTTTAAGGACATTACAGATTGTTTTTGGAATGCTCATTATAGTATAAATATAGTTTAAAAATATAAATTAACAAAAACCCCTGTCACCTAGAGAAAACATCGGAGAAATGTTAACAACACAAATACTCTATTCTTATTATTATCAGGAAGTTGCCATGTAGTAGGCAAGAGATTAAGTGCTCAGGAGAAGGACAAGGCCAAGGAACAAGAAGTGTGTTTCACTGGGTAGAAAACAATCACCACAATTATGACATAGGTTCTTGGGCACAAACGAAACTGTAAATAAAAACTGTATCTAACATCCCTCCCACTGCCCTCACCTCCCACCAATAAAGGTACACAGGTGTAACCATTACAAGCCCTACCTGAGACTGGTGTTGTTTTTATTTTTATTTGTGGAATTTCTAGGTCCCACCTCTTTCACTGCATCATCCCAAAACCCCATGTTGGAGTTTTTAGTGTCTGAATTGCTCCAGATACTACTGACTATATCAGATGCCCACTGGTTAGGGGGACCCGTGTTTAGAGAGCCCCAGACAGAATTCCCAATGCTGGTGTGCAGGTTGGAATGCTGTTATAAAGACAAAAAAAAAAAAAGAGAGAGAGAGAGAGAGAGAGAGATAAAAGAAATGCTGGTTAATAACATTCAAAATATAGTTTGAAAAGATAAACAAAAAGCAGTGCCCATGACTACACTCAGGAAAAGGAACCCACTGTGCTGTTCCGGGCTCTGTTTGTTTGCTGGTGCTGTTGGTGCTGTTGCTGTTGCTGTTGCTGCTGCTGCTGCTGCATCTGCCTGGCCTCTTCCTGCTGGATCTCCAGAAGAGACTTGGTGGTACCTGCAGGTTTGCTCACATTTCCCCAACCTGAGAGTTTCTGCTGCTGCTGCTGCTGTTGCTGCTGCTGGAGAGCTTTCATCAACTCCCTCTGCTGACGCCTTTGCTGTTGGGTAAAGACAGCCAACTCGGGATTTGTTTCTACATTAGTTACAAGTATCAGGGCACTACAGAATATTAATACACAGCGGCTAAACAAAACCCAATGGGGTTAATTCTTTTGGCTAAATTAAGATGGAAACTGCAAGTGGTACTAAATGGGAAACCAAGAGACTAAACACAGAAGTACTTCTTACAAATGACAGTCTTTTTGGTTAAGCACAGAAATGAAATAAATGTTTACTGCTCAAAAGCCCCACCAAAATGAAAGGATAAACTTTTTGTGGGTTTATCTGTGTGTGGCTTTGAGATGGGGTTTCACTGTACAAAGCCTGACTGGGTCTGAAACTCAAGACCTCCCTGCTACAGCTTCCCCAGACAGATTGCAGATATTTGCCACATGCTCAGCTTCACAGACTTAAGAGCATAAACCAGTAAAGGACAACAAAGGCAGAAGAGATTTTAAATATAAAAGTTAGGGCTAGGGGAGATAGCTAAGTCAGTCAAGGGATTGCTCTGAGAGACTGGGGACCTGAGCTTGGTCCCTGAATCCCATAAGAAAGCCAACGTGGTAGACACCTATGATCTCAGCACTGCAGAGGTAGAGACAGGCAGAACCCTGGGTTTCACTTGCCAACCAGTCCAGCCTACTTGTTAAGTTGCAGGCTGTGAGATACTGTCTCCAAAAACAAAATTAAAAGACAAAAAAAAAAAAAAAAAAAAAGCAGACAAAGCACCTGATGTTGTCCCCTTTGATCTTTCCATGCATATGTGCACATACAAAAGTAATCATCTAGCTAGAAAGATATAAAGCTGGAAAGCAGATTATCAATTACCAGAGTAGTACAACTGAAAAACTAAATGAAGGAAGCTGATAAATGGGCATGTTTAGATAGAAAGCTTAGGAACTACAAATGCTTACACCATATCTCAGGAAGGCTGGCTACAAACAGAAGCAGTCAAAACCCTGAACTGCTTCCTTTGCCCTGTCCAGCTGACCAATTGTCTCTTTCACCCAAACAGAAAACAAGTTTTCCATTTGGAAAGGTCAATACAGACTAACAGACTAGCAGTGAATACTCAGTGAACACCAATAAGTGGGAGGCACTCCCCACAACAAAACAGCCCTGATTAATCACCACCAGCACCAAAGAGGTACATATAGCAGAACCTTGATGCTTGATGAACTTTTGAGACCCTTAACAGATAGCCTAGAGTTGCAAAACATTTAGCATATGCGTCTGAGATAAAAGTCAGGCACCAAAATAAATACATAAAATTCAATAAGAGAAAATAGGATCTTTTTTTTTTTTTTTTTTCAGTCTTTGGAGACAGGGTTTCTCTGTGTAGCCTTGGCTGTTCTGGAACTTGCTCTATAGACAGAGCTGGCCGGGAACTCAGAGATCTGCCTGCCTCTGCATCCCAAGTGCAAGGATTAAAGGCATGTGCCACCACCACCCAGCTAGGAATTGTCTTTTAAAAAATTAATTAACATGTGTGGGGGCTGAAGAAATGGCTTGCTGATTAAGAACACTGGTAGCTGGTCTTCCAGAGGTATGGAGTTCAATTCCCAGCAACCATATGGTGGCTCACGACCATCTGTAATGATATCTAGTGCCCCCTGTTCTGGCCTGCAGAACCCTGTATACATAATAAACAAATCTTTTTAAAAGAAAGTGTGAGTAATTTTTTCTGCTGTGTGCATATGTACCATGTTTGTATAGTGCCAGCAGGGCCTGATGGGCACTGAATCCCCTGAAACCGGAGTTACATGTGGGTGCTAGGAATTGAACCTGGAACCTCTGCAAGAGCAGCAAGCACCCTTAACTGGTGAACTACCTCTCTTGAACTTTTTTTTTTTTTTTTTTTTTTTGGGTTAAACTATCAGCAAATAGTATCACTAGAGCAGGAGCTGTCAACATGTGAGTCTCAACTGCTTTTTCAAATGACCTTTTCACAGAGGCTGCATATCAGGTATCTACATCCTGATCCAAAACAGTAGCAAAATTATAGTTGTGAAGTAGTAAGAAAAACAATTTTATGGTTAGGGGATCACCACAACATGAGGAACTACATTAAAGGGGTAAAGCCTTAGGAAGGTTTAGAACCACTGCCTTAGAGAGTTGATGGCATAGTCACTAAAATAAGAATAAAACCCAAAGAACACAGAAATTTAAAATAATACAGTATAAGCTAAAAGTTCAACAGAAGAACTAATACATAAAGCTGAAGAAATAGGCCCACCAATAATGATATACAAAAAAGACAGATGGAAAGAGTAGAAATCAGAATCTATCTAGGGCAACCATACAATTGACGAGAACTGTAGAAAAAAAGATCAAGAACTACATAACACTAAGCATGTCCACATTGAAGAGGTTAGAGAGCCCCAGGCAGTTGCTCCAGGAAAGACAAAACAAGTAACATTATCATGGGTTTCTCTATGTGACAAATAAGCATTTCATGCTATATAGGATATAGGGAGAATAAAAAGTTCCAAGAACATGAATGAATCAAACAGAGTGAGATACTAACTTTTGGGAAGCAGGGCTTCCATCTGTGGCTGGGATGTAGCTCAACAACAGAATGCCTTCTCAGCATGCAGAGGGGCCTAGAGGGACTCTGATTCTTGTTCACATTAACTTTTCACTGAATTCAAGACTAAAATTATTATAATTTCTAGCCTTGAAAACAAATACTCTGCTGAGATAATGATTTGTTGATAATCTTCTGGAGAAAGGTAATCCCAGAAGTTTAACCCTTTCTTTTGTTTTTACATTAAAGTGAGAAAGTAATTTTAAGAAAGAGAAATGCTTTAACCTACTGGATGATGATCACTATTTAGAATATATGTATATTCCAAACATTATACATATGTAAGTATGTATGTACATAAAATTATAGATGGATAGAGTACACACACACACACACACACACACACACACACACACACACACACACACACACTGATAATTCCTCTCTCTCAGTGTACTTACACCTGCTTAGTTTAGTGAATGGCACAATCCAGATCCAAACATGATAGCTTGCATTCACCAACAAATTAACTGCTCTGCCTCAAGTGCGAGCTACATAAAGCCTGTCTATCTCATCTGTGAAAGGCCTTTGCAGGGGACACTTTTTAAGCATGGACAATATGTCATTCCATCCTTAGCCATCCACAACTCCCATGCCCTGTCTGTCTCCTTTCCTTCCTGCTAGCAATTCTCTTTCTCACTTCTTACCCTCTAAAGCACCATACAGTTTACTTAATTTCTGTGGTCCATCTCTCTTTAGCTCAAGGGCAGGTGCACAATAGCAGAGCATTCATCAGTTTTATACTTGGCTGTACTCCCAGACTATGAATGGGTAAATATATATTGAATCAATGAATGAATTAAGACAACAGCAGGCCTGGTGAATTAATCATCTTTTCTCTATTATAATTTATCCTCTCCAACTTCTTCCCACTATTCTGTACCCTTCCTATCTTATAATGAGTTTCATGATATAAAGTTAAAAGTGAGATACTATTTTTGTCATAGTACAAGTTTTTCTGGACTAGTTAAAAGACCCAATATCCTTTATAGAAAAATGTGCCCTGTATTCCAAACAAATTCACAAATGGATGTGTGATGGTTGGTGTTAATCGTCAACCTGATATGATCTAGTACCAAAGAGACAATAAATCTCTGGGCTCTAAAAGATTCTCTTGATTACACTGGCTCAGATGGGAGGCTGTGCTCACTGTGGGCAGCACCACTCCCTAACCAGGTCTGAAGGGACTGAGCTTTAGCATGTGCTCATCCCTGTCCCTTGACTGTGAATGCAATGTGACCAGCTACTTCAAGCTCTTGCTGCCTTGACTTCCCTTTCTCCCTTAAATTGTTTCTGTCAAGAGTAGTTTAATATGAGAACAGAAAAAGGAATTAAGGCAGGGTGAGCAAAACTTATTCATAATTCTCAACAACCTATGTATTTTTAAAATAGTATTTTTCACTATTCTTTGAGAATGTCATATATGCATATTATGTATTTTGGTGATACCTATCTCCCACCACCTATGCCAACTCCCCACCCAACCTCATCTTTGTTTAAATAACCAACTAAGTGTATCTGTACTATCCATACATACACAAGTGTAAGACTATTTTTACTTATAAATTAAATAACAGCTAAGAAGCTACCGTAAGTTCCAGGAAACAATTATGTCACCCAATCTTAATGTTATTCCTATTAAGCCCTTCATTTATATCAAAGGATCCAAATCACAGACTACAGTTTAGTAACAGTAGGTCAATTCAGGCACACAGCAATTCCGATAGCAACCACCATCAAGAGCCATTAGCTGCCTGAATACTGAACTGGGCTGTTTTTACTGTTTACCTCTTCTCGGAGCTGCCGTTCTCGTTCTTCTTCCAGCTTCTGAATTTCAGCCAATGACAGTGTGGCCTGGGACTGACATGTTGCTGTATTGGACTGCTGACCCCAAGTTGAGGAAGAGGGAAGCTAGAAACAAGGACAGAGTAACCACACTTAGGGTCAGAGCCTCTATTTTTTCCCTCTCCTTACAATATTCATTTAAAAATTTCTTTTCCACACCATTTTCTCAGTTGGCTTCTTTTGCTCATTTCTCTCAACCTACGTTTATTTTAAAACAACTAAAATAATGTATTAGTGCTTGCTCTCCCAGTTGGGTGGAAACTTGTGACAATGGGCATGAACACAACTAGCAATGTGGAGTCAAAACTCAAAAGGAGTAAAGAGAGTGACTAAATATAGTTTAGGATTTTTAATCTGGTGGACAGTGGTGGAGCACACCTTTAATCCTAGCACTTGGGAGGTAGAGGCAGGCAGATCTCTGCAAGTTTAAGGGCAGCACAGTCTACAGTGTTCTAGGACAGTCAAGGCTACACAGAGAGACCATGTCTCGAAAAACCAAAAACAAAACAAAACAACAAGATTTTTAATTCATAAAGGCTACAAAGGACATGATGCAAGGACCTGGTGAGTGAATTAAAGCCCTGGATTTCTAAGCCGAGTGAGGTAGACATGGAATGAAGGGACCAGGCAGTTTTCATCCCAAGTCTCCTGAGGAAGAGCTGCTGCTAACCAGGCCACAGTGTACCCCTCACCCTAATCCTGAAAATTAAGCTGGTTTGAAAAACAAACAAACAAATCAACAATCCACTTTATCTATCCTTTAATGAGCATACTAGAAATGAACATGTGGCCCAGAAAATGGAATTTTCAAAACCCTGTTTTCTAAACAGAATTCTTTGCTCTTCTTTTTAAATTAAATGTTAAAGGTCTTTGGACAATCTTTACATGGCTCTGCTACCAACTCTTCACTCAACAAGAGAGTCAGGCTCAACTTTTTTTTTCCCCTTCAGTAAAATATAGATTATCAATATCTTAGCTTTGTGAGAAAAACAAAATACTCTGAAGACAAAAGGGTATGACATATGGAAAACTCTTGGTATGGTACCTAAGAAACGAAGTACTCAATAATTAATGGTATTGCCAACTTCTCCTTCCCAACCTTCCAAACTAAACAAACTTCAACTAGGACTTTTGTTCCTTGTCTGACTGCTAGTTTGCTAACTTACAGTTTTGTTTCCTTCAACTTCACCTTCCATTTAGCTCTCTTGCAAACACAATAGTATTATTCTGTGTTCTGTATACCTTTACGTTCTAATCCTTTACTAGAGTGTACACAACCATGACATTAGGGGCTCTGTACATACTTATCTCATTCCTCATATTCTGGACAAGATTTTAAATTTACTTTTTAAAGATTTATTTTAGGAAACTGAAGAGAAGGATCAGCGGTTGGGTGTTCTTCCAGAGGATCTGGGTTCAGTTCCCATCATCCACATGGCAGCTCATAAATGTCTTTCCCAGGGGATCCAACACCTTCACACAGAAATACACGCAGGCAAAACACTAATGTACATAATAAAAAATTACTTAAAGATTTATTTTTAAATTATGTATATGTGTGTATGTGTAGGTTGTGTGCAGTTACTAGTAAAGGCCAGACAAAGGCATAGGATCCCCTGGAGCTGGAGTTAATACATGTCTGGGAGCCATGTAATGTAGTCAATGGGAATCTTCTGGAAAAGCTAGCAAGCACTCTTAACCACCAAGCCATCCTTCCAGCTTCCAAGATCTTCCCTAGAGATTCTAGAGTGTCACTAAGTCACTAACCTTCAAGCCTTGTCCACTGGAATGCCACTCTCATAAACCTCATCCCCAAAACAAACCATTCAACTTGAAAGTTCTTTATACCCCTAAAAGGACGGTTTGGAGGCTAACTTATCTCAGGAAGTAGCCTGGAGGGATGGTGACTCATTTTACCAGTATTAGAGTCCTTTGAAGAGCTTATTTAAACACAAGCATGCTGGGCTCCACTCATAATCTGCATGTCTTATAAGATCCAGAAAGAACTACTGCCTTATGAATGCCACCTCCTCTCTGCTCACTACACTGGATTCCAAGTTGCCCTTTACATTTTTATCCTGTGAATTCCTTGAAGACAAGGGAGACTAAATTTAATTTCAGGCTCAACATGAAGTTTGCAAAGCTTATCTACCAAGCTACTCTTAACTTTTCCATCCATTGATTGCATGAGCAGTTCTCATCCTGTGCTCTGCTATACCACAGCTCCTCCTATGACCTTCAGATCCCGGAAATCAGCAAATTCAGGCTTGCCAACTTTATCAAGGCAGTTCCTTCTTCCCACCATTCACCCTCTTTTTTTTTTTTTTTTTTTTTTTTTTTTTTTTTTTAAGCAGACTCTTAAGTATTAATTTTCAACTTCAAACAGTATTTTAAATCTTCCACCTCACTACATTTAAAAAGGGGGGGGGGGTGGTTCAAGGCCCTAGCTGGCCTTGAATTTGCTATGTAAACCACGATGACCTCTAACTCAAAAGATCTGCCTGTCTCTGTCACCTGAGTTCTGGGATGGTGTTTGTGCCACCATCCTTGGCTTGTCTTTAAGCCAATTGTTAATAAGCCCTCAAAGGCATCCGTGTTTGAGCAGGTTGTAGGATGCTGTCATGCCTGCTGCCCCCAAGGTTGCCAAGCACTCTTTTCTCTTTGATTTCCTGTCAGCAGTGCTGAAATGGTAAACAGGAGGCACTTCAACTGCCATGGACCCTTCTCAAAAGGACCTCACAGACTACTCATTTGTGCCTGTGTCACTGTGTGTCCCATCCTTATCAGGTGTGTGCCTTTCATTTAAACAATTAACACACACACACACTCTCTCTCTCTACCAAAATACTCAACACAAGTAGAGCCTTTCATGCCTAGGATATACCTTCATCTGTGCAAGCTGCTGCTGCTGCTGCTGCTGCTGCAGCCTTCGGAGGGCCTCTTGCTGCTGCTGCCTCTGGCGCATCAGGTCCTTCTGTCGCTGCAACTCCAGCTCCTTCCGTTTTCTTTCTTCTTCCTCGTGCCGAAGTCTGGCTGCCTCCTCTTCCATGCGCAGCCGGTTCTCCTCCAGTCGACGCTGTGCTTCCTCCTCTTCCCGGGCCCATTTGGCAGCCTCCTCTTCCTTTCCAGAAGGAAAATATTAAAGAGGAAAAAAGTTTTATTAATTGTAGAAGAGATAATCCATATTGCTTTTAAAAGGCTTCAATCATGATAATATATAGAAATGATAAAACAAAACCCCTGCTTAGGATGACATCAGGGAGATGTAGGTTTTACAGGGTCACAAAGGTCTGTGGTTAAAGTGCTGATCTCAAAAGTAGCTTATCACCTACTACAACAATGTCCCTTGGAAATGTCATTCAGTACTAAAGGCTGAGCAAGCTTTCCAGGGTGCTTCAAAAGAAGCCACTGAGACCTGGCAAGAACAATAGTTAAAACGTGTCTCAGCCAGGCCTGGAACCAAAGTGGCTCCTCAAAATCACTGAATCCCACTGTATGACCCATATGACCCAGGGTCTTTTCAAAACATCTCTCCACAACTAATTCTTTAGCTTCTACCACTTTCCCCCTTACCCGTATTCCTTTTCTTTCAGCACACTGTGTCCTCTGGTTCACGTGCCTCAGTGCTCATGTGCCCTCACCTTTGCAGTGTTGGTTTGCTATGCCTGCAATGCTCTGCCTTCTACAGATAGCACAGTGTCCTAAGCTGAGGCTGGCTGTGAGCCTCTGGGAAGTGGGTTTCTTCTCTATCCTTTTTTTCAAAAACTCCTCATTCACACTAACATGTCACCCCTCTGCAAGAAGGACATGTTCCTAAGTCTGCTATAAATAAAACCTATTTCAATCTAACAAGCAACCATTTCTTTCAGCCATCTTTCTTGCAAATAAAACTGCCTGCCACCTCAAAGACTTAAAAATGCTACTTTTTGCTTTAAAGCTTCCAAATGTAAGTAGAAACAGTCATGATTTAGGCTAAGGAGACATCTGCTTGGAGAATTCTATGAAAGACAACCTTCCTAGAGAATCAGTCCGTTAGTGGACAGAAACTGTGCGAGAGTGTTACACCCAAAAGTCACAACCTGAAGTAAAGAATATAAAACCAGAAATCAACCCACCAAGAATACAGACAAGTATGCAAATGATCTGGATCCTGAGCAACACTGAGTGCTAAATGCCCATGGACTTAAAAAGTCAGAAATCTTCAGCATGTGAGCTCAGTATGCCAGGTATTGTATGAGCCACATTCTGTGTTTGTGATTTAAAGTATACTAACTCTGGCCTTTACTTCATCACCCAGATTCTGTGAGCTGCTGAAGATCAAACCATTTCCTAAAGTTCTCTATGAACATATGCTGGGTATAGTGGCAAACACCTGTAATATCAGGACTTGGAAGGTGGAGTCAAATAGCTTGCAAGTTCCAGAACTTGCAGGGTGCTAGATACCTCGTCTCAAAAACCTCACCCCCCCCCCCAACCAACCCTGAAAAGGGGGAGGGGAAAAAAAAAAGCTTACACTGCATTAGACTGCATTAGAAATGGCAGGGTTAACCAGCGGCAAGCACTAATATACAAGCTGCCCCCCCAAAAAAACACTTTTGGCTTCTAAAAGAGTTTTAATTTAGAACTAGCACTGCTCAAGCCAAGTAATCAAGGTTTTAGCAATTATAAACCATGTTAATATAGTACCCTTGATACAATGTAATGAAAATAACCCCTTTAGGTCTGGGATTGTAGCTCAGTGGTAGAGGATTTGCTTAGTATTCTCAAGGTCCTAGGTTCAATCCCAGCACTGAAGAAAACAACACAACACTTTGTCTCTATGATCTTTCTGCACAACATCTAAAACCTCACTTTGTTCATAAGAAAGTTTCAAGTGAATTCAGTAGAGGGATAGCTTATAAAACTGGAAAGTATTTCTTAAAATCATCAAGGTCATCAACAATAAAGTAGTGGTGTACTACTTAGCAAGACTGAGCTAGGTTCAATACTCAAAGGCACATTACACAACAATTGTCAGTATAGCAAGACATGCAAAAGGGTGCCATTTACGGAATGGCACCCACGGTGGTGGCAACCAACAGCTGTCTAAATGGATGTAATGCCCACTCAACAGGGTGAAAATAATGTCTGGTATTAGAAAATCATCCAGGGACTATGTTCTCTGAACATAAGGAAAAGTTTAAAACTATCTAACTCCAGGAAGCCAAGATGGCTTGGCAGGTAAAAAGCACCAGCCATGCAAGGCTGGCAGCCTGAGCTTGATATATGATGGAAAGAGAGAACCGACTCCTAAGGAAGTTGGCCTCTGACCTCCATATTTGTTTGGTGGTACACATGGTGCTTGCACTCACACCATAAGTACACCAAAAGCTTATACTATAGAGCCAGAAGGTAGAAAAAGACAATATGGGAAGTGGGGGAGAATGAGCTCTAGAGATGGGGAAAGTAGGACACAGATATTATGAAGGAAGAAAAAGTAGAGAAGGACTTAACTAGAGAGGCGGGAGGGAGGGTAATACAGGAGAGGGAAGAACATGTTTGAAAAAGCCACAAGGAAACAATAAATTGGCTAGATGACAGACAGACAGACAGACAGACAGACAGACAGACAGACAGACAGACAGAGGAATTACCAAACAGACAATCTAACAAAAATCCAAATTCCAGGCAAAGAACCCTTAAAAGCAATGTAAAGTACTGCCGTTATCCTTGGCTGCCTCTGAGAACTTGAAAGTGAGACCCTATTGCTAAAGACATGACACACAGGGATCAATCTGACCGCCCCCTACCCGATGACTAAGAATCAGGTGACATGTAGACTGTCATGTGAAAAAAGTAATCAGTAATCCTATCCAGCAGTAAAACCGTAATAAAACAAACCAAACCTGTAAACAGAACCGGCAAGCTAGGAAAGATATTCCCAATGGTGCAACTCCCATCTTGGGAGTGACCCACAGACGTCTAACTGGACTTAAGACCGATCAATGGGAGAACTCATGCCTGCTACTGTAAGCCTTGGGAAGAAGCTGTGGCTAGAGTGGTCAGACCCTAGTAGAGAACCCACTCCTGCCACTTCCCTAAATCATCATAACTTCCAACTGTATCCTTATATACAGGTAAGTACAGGTCTTACCCTTTATCAAAGCAATTTTTTTTTTTTTTTTTTTTTTTTTTGGCAGCAGATGGAGACTACTAAAGAGATCCACAGCTGTTCAAAATGCAGAGAATTATTGACTGTGAGATGCCCAGCTCCAAGAGGGTTATCTACAACACAACTTCTGCAACTAAGGCTCAGGGAACATCATGGAAGATCATAAGAGCCAAAGAATCAGGACAGCTGCTTTGAGATAGTGTCTTGAAGACATAGCACAGATGCTGTACCCATCAACAGTATGGTTGATTGACCACATCAATCAACATACCAACATAAAGAAAAATTTCAGTTTCATCTCTATATGAAGAGCTATAGGCAGTCAGTCAATGGCTACCAAGGGAGGGAGAATCAGTTTTCTCCAGGGACATCTCTCCCCCACCATAGATTGCCCAATTCTAGGTGGTCAACCCTAAATAAATTTATCTACGGACCACAGGTAACCTCAAGAGGTTATGTCTGTGTGTGTACACATATATATGTAGCTGTAGAACAAGAGGTCATGAATTCAAGAGGGCTGTATAGGGAAAAGGAAGGAGTTGGAGGGGAAACTGGTAGGGGTGGAAATAATGTACATAGAGTATACTCATATATGAAATTCTCAAAAAATTACAAAATTCTAAAAATTTTAAAAAGATACCTCTAAGGACAAAGGAAATAGGCAAGCCACAGTCTAAGGGGAACAAACATGTAAAACATTTATTTAACAAATGTTTTCAGAATATAAAGTTTACATACACATTTAAGAAAGCTAAAACTTTAAATAAGTGGGGAAAACCTAAACACTACCAAAAATTAAAATAAGCATTTTAAAGCATGTTACCAAAAAATAAAAAAGGAATATTGAGAAAGCTCAGAAATCCATGCTAATATAGATTTTATTTATTTGTTTGTTTGTCTGTTTGTTTTAGTGGTGGTGCATGCCTTTAATCTTAGCACTTAGAAAGCAGAGGTGGGCAGATCTCTGTTAGATCAGAGGTAGTCTAATCTACATAGTGAGTTCCAGGACACAGAATGCTACATAGTGAAACCCCATCTCAAAAATAAGAAATGAATCTTAAAATTCCCACATCTTTTGTGCTTTTACCATAGAGATGAAGAAAATGAGAAAGATTTTTTTCCCCTCAGAAAACAAGTTTTCATTTGAAGAGGTAAAGAATACAGACTGAAGTAAGAAGCCTCAGAGCACTCAGCTTTCTCTTGTTAACTGTCATCAAGCTGAGAATCTTCAGAGAAGCTGCTTCCCATTCCTTCAAAACCAATCAGCACAGTTAATAATATCTGGCTACCTGCTTGCGTAGCAATTCTTCCTGCTTCCGCCTTTCTTCCTCCTCTCTCCTCCTTTCCTCCAATCTTCTAAGAGCTTCTTCTTGCTGCTGCCTTTCCTCCTCTTCTCGCTGTCGCCTTAGTGCAATCTCTTGCTCCCGCTGGCGCCGAAGAGCCTCCTCCTAAAGAGAACAGCAGAGTACACAGAGTGTGTGTGAAACTCTGGCTTGTCAATATTCAAAGAGGAATAGGTGATGAGCTACTAAGTCTCTGTAAGTACAAAACAGGATCTGGAGTGTACAGTACTATGTAAGTTGAAAAGGCAGGTATGATAAAGAAACAAGCCAGGCAGTGGTAATCCCAGCACTCAGGAGGCAGAGACAGGCAGATCTCTGAGTTTGAGGCCAGCCTGGTCTACATTATGAGTTCCAAGGCTACATAAAGAAACCCTGTCTTGGGGGAGTGGGGAATTCAAATAAATAAGTAGATAGATGGATGGGGGGTGGGGGGAGGGAAGGAAGGAAGGACACAAAGATCAAAGCTGAACACGGTGGTGTAGGCCTTGAATCCCAGAGGCAGAAGGATCTCTATAGTTCCAAGGGCAGCCTGATCAATGTGGGGAGACCCTGTTTCCAAAAGAAGTAAAATGAACAAAAACCCTACTAGTACACTACAAAACAGTAAGAAGTCTATCCTTGCTAGGATACAAGTCACAAGTTTACTATTGATCGTAAACAGGCTACTAGAATGTAGGTGTTACTTTCTCTGTTGGTACTTTTTAGCTCTTATTGTTGTATTTGTAAAAATACAAAGAATAAAGAGGCCAAATCTACATAGATACCAAAACCTAGTGAAGAAAAGCCATGGCATCACAGAGCATTTTCTGAAAGATAAAAATCTCACCAATAAGTGTACAGAATCATGTAGGGAACACTAAGTGCTGCAGAATTTAATGTGTTGCTTTTTTAACCCACCCCAACCCTTACCCCACCCAAGATAGGGTTTCTCTGTGTAAAGTAGGCTGTCTTCAAACTCAGGGATCTGTCTGCCTCTGCCTCTCGTGTGCTGGGATTAAAGGCATATGCTACTACTGCCTGGTTTCTTTTTTAATCTTTAAAAAATTTATTATGTGTGTACTATATTTACATCACCCCCCATGTATCACTCCCTCTCAAATTCATAATCTCCTTTTTAAAAAGACTTATTATTTTTAAGTGTATGGGTATTTTCTCTGCATGTATGTATGTATGTGTGTATGTATGTATGTCTGTGTGTGTAAAGTGTGCTTGATGACTACAGAGGGAAAAAATGGCATTGAATGCCTTGGAATCCTGGTTCTCAACCTATGGGTTGCAACCCCTTTGGGGGATCACATATCAGATATCTAAAATAAGATTCATAACAGTAGCAAAATTATAGTTATGAAATGGTTGGGGATCACCACAACATGAAGAACTGCATTAAAGGGTCACAGCATAAGGAAGGTTTAAGAACCACTGCCATAGAACTTGAATTGTAGATGGTTATGAGCCATCATGTGGTTGCTTTAACTGTTGGGTTATGTTTCCAGCCCTTTTTTCTGTTATCTTACACTGATACATAGAGTAATTCTATGAAATCTGCTTTTATCTCATCATGGATCCTTCTGTTATTCACAGAGAACATCTTAGAACAGGTAAATACAAACTTGTGACTGAAGGCTACATTTTGGGTCACCAGAGGGAAGTCTTCCATTGGAGTTTATATATATAAAAAAAAAAAAAAAAAAAAAAAAAAAAATCCACCAGAAAAACAGACCAAGCAAGTTAAGAACAACATGAAAAACTAGTAAGCCTTACTGGTTAAAAATAAAGGCTTTGCAAAGGCTTTCAGACAACCTAAGAAACTGAACCACTGGGAGTAAGTCTCATATCCAACAATAGTTGGCTAGAGTTGGCTAGCTAAATTATAAATTTGGAAAGCAAAATTTCATAGTAAATTTGATGTCGATTTATAAATATAAGTAATATTTGGCATGGAATGATGACATCATTTATTAATGTTAAAAGTTAGGTTGTAAAACACTAAATACAGATGACATTTCTTAAGATAATCAAATGATTGGGTTTTTTGTTGTTGTTGTTATCTACGAGTAGTTAATCAAAGATTGACAATATCTGAGAAACAAAATCTATACTGGGTCATTGTTCCCTAATAGGAAAGCATAACTCCCATGGCAGTTACACTGTGAAGATAAGTAATCTAGAAAAGAGGTACTCAGGGGGTAATCCATCTTGTACCCACATAGCTCTGCATTAGTGGCTCTAGCACCTGTGGTCCCCCAACCAAACCCCTGAAGGTACATCTAGGGATAACTACATAGTTCTATGCATAGAGGCTTTCTCCTCCCTGCTTTTGAAATCACCAACAGAGAGCTGAAAGGTTTATGCAAATGGATTGGAGGGCTGGGGTCTTAATATTTTTTCAAAATATATCTGAATGACTGAACATACAGAAAGATATTCAATATCACTATCACTTGGGAAATGTAAATCAAAACCCTAATGAGATACTTTATTATCTACCAAAAATATCACTGCAAATAACAAACGAACAGAAATAAAAGGTGTTGGGAAAGGCAAAAAGATACTCAAAACCTTATGCATTGCAAGTGGGCACATGAAAAATTTTGTAACAGAATTCATGTATGATGTGACAAATATACTTCTGGTATATATGCAGAGTTGAAAGTAATGGCTCAATTATCTATACACTCGTGTTTATAGCAATATTATCCAAAGATCCATGTAAAGGTAAATCAAAATGTGTTATCTACATATAACAGACATTTAGTTAATATTGAGGAAAAAAATTCTGACCACATACTATTTAGGTCAGTCCACATGACTACATGAGGTACCCAAAGTAGTCAAAATAATAGAGACAGAAAGAAGAATGTAGATACCAAAGAGAAAAGACATGAGATTCATTGTTTCATGTTCAATTTTGGAAGATGAGGCTATCCTGCAACAGGATAGTGGTAAGACATCACAACAGTAAAAACATGTAAGATACCATGGCCAGCACACTTAAAATTTTATGTGTGTTATCACAGGGTTTTGGTTTTCTTTTTTTTTTTTTTGAAAACACATTTATTTTAAAAAACAAAACATTAATGCTGTCCACCAAAATATCTTCATGTTTTTACCAATAAGGCCAGAATGTCTGAAATCTAACTAGGTTATGAGTAAATTATGAACAGTCAAAAAAGACTGAATATTGGGAACACTGGTAAAAAAAAAAAAAAAAAGCAAAAAACAAAAACAAAAACAAAAACAAGTTCTTTTTAAGGTGGGCGAGTTTCCTAATCCTGCTAGTATAGCCTTCCCCATTCCTCTTGATGTGGAAGGGAGCACATCACCAAAGGCTCTCATCAAGGACCTAAATTTCTCTTATGTGCAGAGCTCCCAGAGACATACCTGCTTCCTTCTAGCCAGCTCCTCTTCTTCCCGTCTTTTTCTTTCTTCCTCCTGCTGCCTCCGAAGGAGTTCCTCCTGTTGTCTCCGGAGTTCTTCTTGCCTCTTTCGCTCCTCCTCTTCCCTTTTTGCCCTCATTTCTGCCTCTCTTCTCTCCTGCTCTAGCTGGATGATGGAGAATTTCCATTGATTTGACAGCAAGCATAGGGGTACACCAAAGCATTCAGTAATTTCAGAGGTGAGAGGTGCAGACGCTGCCATTCACTTAGCAGTAGCCTGCTCTGCTACAATGGGTAGATAAAACCCTAGAAGAACTCTAAGCTCCAACATGGAATAGTAATAATCACTTTTCAGCTCTTCTAAACTACATGCATGTTCTTCCTGCTTTGGCCATCTCTTCCCTCAACATGACATTACTTCACATCTCTAAGATGTGGGACAATACAAAGTGGCCTACATGAGAGTAATATCAGAAGTGTCCTGAAGTGTATGTATGGCATTTCTTTACTAATCTCTACAGAACACTTGTGACTGGGATCTAACAAGTGTGACTACAAGGTTTCAACAACGACCAGCATGGATGCTAGGAATGAACACAGGGCTCACTAATCTCCCCGCTGTCAACTACACTTCATGCCTTCTCTTTTCTCACCTATATCCCACCCCAAAGTCTGTCTCTATCTGCATTCCTCAGATGGAAGCCTAGTCAGTAAAGGAGGCTGGAGCTGGGGGAAGCCAGGCTTATCTGGCAACATTTCTTGCCATGAAAATAACTCTATCATGAAATGTTCAAGGCACTCATCAAGGCACTCATGATGGCCCTGATCATCTAGTTCCTCAGACTGTACTCTGGCTCCAAGTCAAATGAAATGTTGTAACTATTTCCTGATTCTTGAATGTTCTCAAGTCCATCTAGCCATGACTATTTCCTTTAACAGTAATTTAATTTTCGGATCTGAAAAACTATGCTGAAGCATGACTTGGGAAGAGGCAGTAAAGTTTGAGGTCAACTAGAGTAATGTCTAAGACAGTCAGGGTTACAACAGCAAGATCATATCACAAACAAAACCAAACTCCTCCTAAATTTGAAGTGCAGAGTAATTTAGGAATTGCTGACTATTAAAAGTGTCACCACCTCTCTAAGCTGGGTAGTAGCCCATCTACTCCTGACCACTCTTGTAAGTGTAACTGCCACTTGTCTGCCATCTCCCTACCCAATAGAGGACTGGTAAACTACTTTAAAGACCTTATTTATTCTTACCTACAAGTTCCCAGCAAAAAAAAGCACTGAGGAACCAGAAGATACTAAACTTGAGAACTGTAAAGAACTACACTCTCTCAATCATTTATGGAGACAGCTCTCACCATGGACCTTTCCACAGTCTGGGTTCTATAAAGAGACCATTACCCCTTGGGATATTAGCTACAGTAAATGTGACTCTTGTTGGGTACACTAATCAAGAAATCATTAGAATCATACCATGCTCTGGTATATACATAATCTTTTGACAAATTCTAAACAAACTTCAAGACTGTTTGCTTATCTAGCATCTAATGGTCATGTTGAGCATTTCAGTCTCATGCCTGATGACGCTCGAAATGACTACAAAGAGCCAGTGTAGGAATGCAAGCCACAGATCAACAGTCTAATTAACAATGTAGCAGATGCTTTCTAACAGTGTTCATGACAAATAATCACACCATGAACAATGAAAGTATTATATTATATATATATACATACATATACATATATATAATAATACTTTCATTGTTCATATATATATGACCATGATCATTACTAAGTAAATTAATTCTAACCAATTTTAATTGAGATCTTTACTTTTTCTGGAAGATGGCACAAATAGAGGAATACAAATGTACTTATCCCAGCTAAGTAGAGGTAAACTATAAAGAAAGTAGGGAGAGAGAGAGAGAGAGAGAGAGAGAGAGAGAGAGAGAGAGAGAGAGAGAGAAGTATTGTATCCTATAGCTGGAAGGTTGTAAAAGTTGTGAAGAATTAAGTTCCAGACCTTTGCAGCTTTGGCCTTCTCTAGCTGCTGAAGCTGTTCCAAGGAAGGACCTGGTGTTGTGGTGTCCAGGGGAAGATCCCATACACTACCACCTTCCCAAACTGTAAGACAAAGACAAAACTGAGAAAGGTCCAAGAGTGTAGTGTAGTCACACATAAGTACAGGCCTAACAAAGAGATGCTTCCCTGAACCCAAGTGTGCTCCATCATGACTGTTCTGTCTTTGGGAGGAATGTGCAGGATTATCTTGCTATACAGTCCAAAACCAGCCTTGAATTGTGAGTTCTTCCTGCCTCAGCCTGCCAAATGCTGAGATTAAAAGTTAAGTGCCACCAATGTGCCTGGCTGTTTTGCTTTAAAAGAAGCCAAGCCAGCAGGTTTTCATCAACACTCTTCAATACATTATGAAGGTATGGTAGTATGAGACATTTACTAGGAATCAACTTCATTCTTGTAATGTTCCATACGGGTGCCTGATATGTCCCCATCTTTACAGATGAACTAATTTTAAAAATTTGAAAGGAACATGGCAAGAATTTGACAACACGGTAATTCCAATTCCAGTGATTCCAAATTCCACAGGAGAGATTTGTAGTAGTCATAAAATCTCTTATTGCATGCCACGTAGAGAACCAGGTGGCTATACACTATGTATTAAATGTTACTCAGCTATTCATCTTGTGGTTATAATGTAAGTAACATCTTTCTGGAGAGAGACTGGGCAGCTCTTAGAAATTATGTTTGATCTTGGCTTGGAACCCCTCATATTTACTTCTACATCTGGCAAACAAAGCACAGGGCCAGATATAGAAGTAAATGTAAGGTGTTCCATGCCAAGCATGGTGATACATTTCTATAATACCAGCTCTCATGACGATTCTAAGATCAAGGCCAGCTGTGGATACATACTAAATCAAGGTCACATGAAACCATGTTTCAAAAATTAAACACAGCAAAATAAAGGATAAAGGCTCTGCGTCTATTATTTTATTGTTAAGTTTGCTGAAATTAATTCTTTATTTTCCTTTTTGTGGTACTAGAGATTTAATAGTGTAGCAAATGCTAGACAGGTATTTTACCACTGAACATACAATCCCACATTATTTTTCTGCATACCTATTACCATATATCTGTGCAAACTAAATACTATGTGTATAAAACCAATGGAGTATTTAAAAAGACTTGATTGCATGTAAACTGTTTGAGATACTTAGAAGCTACAAAACACTGAAGACTATCTTAAAATCCTAAGTATAAATAAATACTAAAAAAGAATAATGTGGGCTGGCAACATGACTGTTGCCATCAAGCCTGATGACGAACAAGAGTTTGACCCCTAGGGTTCACAAGGTAGTAGAAAAGCAACTGGCACAAGTTGTCCTCCCCTCCATGAGTGTACTGTGGCACCTTTGCCCACATACACACACAACACACAAGCATACACATGTAAACAAAACAGATAAATAAATAATTTTAAAAGAATAGTGTATACACAGTCGGAAAGTTCTGTTTTAATCTCTTTTGTGGGAAGGTTTCAGAAGGAAGACACTAGGAGGCTGCCATACTCTGTAGGGTCGATTCTAGAACTATCATTTGATGGCTCACCAACTCCAAAAAAAAAAAAAAAAAAAAAAACTGTGAAAGTTTTTAAGTTAAGAATTTAACAGCGAACTTCTCTCTCCTATAAGGACTACTGGTTAGTAAATGAGCTTACTCCACCAATTTCCAAGATTTTAAAAATCCCAACTCCCAAATTTTCTAATTTGACACACAAAATATCAAAGTGAAGGTGTTCATTTAAAGTGGATATTTCTTATGCTAAAATTCAGCAGCACCTGTAAGGTTAGTATTGTTCATCTTAAACTGCTAAGGAGAGAACATCATTACTTTATTTCCACACACAAACTCCCATACACACTCCAGCAAAGACATCAAAAACAAAATATTTTTCAAGGCTGGAGATTTGGAAAAGTGGCACAGCCTTTGCCTGACACAGAAAGGTCTGGAGACTACTGAAGCACCACAAAACAAAATAAACTAAACAAAACAACCTACATTGGTTAGAGAAACAAAGACAGAATTTGACTCATACAATTCAATTTACACACTCAACATTTCCTACAAAGGATCAATATATCTACATTACTATTACATTCTAAATCCATTAAGTTACACTATAAGCAAAGCTAAATTTTTACCTGCGGGCTGTGAGGCTGCTGGCTGAAGCTCCCAGATAGAGCCAGTATCTGGCACTGACACAGACCTAGTTACTGAGGGAATGATGTTCTGATCAGATACTCTGCAAAAGGGAAATAAAAAGTGAATGTGTTCCTGTCAGTTGGAAAACAAGATAAAGAGGGATTTCTAGATTATTAGTAGGTTTCTGGGTTATCTGTATAGAAAATGGCATCATTTTGTTGTTTTATTTTTTTGAAATAGTGTCCTTTATGTAGCCCTGGCTGACCTATAACTCACTCTACAGACCAGGCTGGCCTCAAATTCAGAGATCTATCTGCTTCTGTTTTGCTAGTATTAGGCTCTGTTTTAATATGATGAAAGCTGAGTGTGGTGGTGCATGCCTTGAATCCTAGCTCTTGCAAGATAAGTACATCTCTGAGTTAGCCTGATCTACATAGTGAGACCTTTGTCTTAAAACAGTAACACTACCCAATAACTGCATTTCACATGTCTCTATGGTCTTCTATACATTAGATTAATCAAGCCTTCAGTTTCAAGGGTAACTGCTTACCTTTAAAACATGAGACCAAGCCAGGCATGATGGAACATGCACTTGGGAAGCAGAGGCAGGCAGACCTCTGAGTTTGAGGCCAGCCTGGTCTACAGAAAAAGTTCCAGAACAGCCAGGGCTACATAGAGACCATGTCTTGAAAAAACAATAAATAAAAAAGTAAAAAATAGACCCAACTGTTAACTTGTTTGCCTCACAGGATGGGCTATGGCTCACATGAGAAGAGTGAAGTATTTTGAGACAGACAGTGCAACTTTGGATACAACTTCAGGAGCTGAGACGAACTTTCTGAATGAAAGTCTGAAGTAGAAGGAATTGAAGAATGTCTTCATAATTGTTTTTTCCATAGACTTGCCTTACCAATTTTTTTTTTCAAATATCATGGGTGAAACTAAAATTAAAATCTCGGGCTTTGATATGATCTTTCGTTTAGTGTTCCAAGTGTTATCATCACTCTTAGATTATTATTCAAAAAATTGTATACTCTATATGTAAATGCTTTTTACATATGTAAACCCCCCCTAACTAAATGATTTCCAAGTCACACTATTATTACATAGACTATGAAGACAAGTTTTATGGGAATATTCTGGTGCGGAAACACATATCAACATTTCTTTATTCTCCTTAATACACACACATACAAATGGGGGGGGGGGGTGTGGTGTGTTGAGGGAGGGAGGGAGAGAGGGAGAGAGAGAGAGAGCATGTGACAAATGGGGTGACCACCAACCTCATCTTGAGAGCTTGGAACTGCTGGAGGAGAAGAGCCAATTGCTGCTGCTGCTGAGACGACAAAGCTGCTTTCTGCTGCTGAGTCAAGACCTGTGCGTATTGTTGTCTTTAAAAGTTTAAAAAAAAAAAAAAAAAAGTATGACCTAACTACTCCTATGTAGTTCACATGATTCAAAGACTGAAACAAAATGCAACTCATCTCCTCCCCAAAACACAATTAGAAAAAACAATCAAATATATTTCATAATTTTATGTACTAATAGTCACAAGAAACTTTATAATTCACTCCAGAGAGAACTCATAGATGATGTTTCTGAATGAGAGATACATGTATGCATATGTATACATACAAAACAAATGATATATGTAATATGTGTATACCACATATCACAGAATGTCAAACACTGGCAAACACCCATAAGATGATCTGTACCAATCCATTCCCAGATTACGTGACAATAAGCAAATTCAAACATCTATTTCCATATGAAGAACTCTGTAAAATAAAATCACTTCTATAAATTTTCAAATTTTATGTTTCAGCCTGGGAATATTTAGGTAATATTTTCCATTAGATTTGAAAGTTCCAAATACTAAGTATCTTCAGGTTTGCAGTTGCAACTCCTCAAGTCTGCCTTTGTGATATAACAGTAATCACAGACAATCTATAAGTAGGTAAGTCAGTGATCTGATAATGTTTTGCTTAAAACAAGCAGCAGGCCACCAAGGCAAGATGGTGCTAACCCATGTACCTGCACAAATGTTACTTCTTTTCCCCAATCCCAGTGCTCAGGAGGCTAAGGCTGCAGAACATGAGTTTTAGGGCAGTCAAGGCTAGATAGTTAAATCCTATCTTAACAGCAACAAAATAAAGGCAATAACGACCTTAGTAAACTGGTCATCATTCTACACCAGTGTAAATTTTAATTTCTTCCCACCTTCTCTGTTTTTAATTTGTGTCCCTCGGAAAGTATTTAGTTCTTAAAATGTTTGTTGGCTCTTTCCTCAGTAACTAAATGCCCTCACAATCATAATTAGATGTCATTTTCCTGCAATCTCATAATATTAAAAAGGGTAAGACTAAAATTAGATGGACAGTAGTGTACATGTCACTAGTAGGCTACTCAAGTATCACAGAAGCCTTGAGTTCTCACTATAAAAGGTGAGACTTGGGAGCGGATTCTATCTCAGGCTCCTTGGTGCTGCAGTGCATCCTACTGCATCACTGCTCTTACTGTATTAAGAACTGCTGGTACTGGAGGTGTTGCATCTGGTATAAGGCAGTGAGTTCCTGCTGTCTGGTCAGGCGTTCCTGGTCCAATTCTCCCTGAAAAAAAGAGGGACAGAAAGAAGCATCATGAAATAAACAGCAATGAGCCTGTGTCACTGAATATACCCATCTAACAAGCACAGTAAATCCAAGACCTAATTTACTTCCTACTCCAACCTTTTGCCCTTCAAACTCTTAACTAAAAACCCATCTTTAAAACAATGCCATCTAGTGGAATAAGGTGGCTTTCTAGCATAAGCCACAAAGGGTCCTTCAGTACTGCCCTCTACCGCTTCAAGCTGAATGCTTAACAGTTTTCTAGAGAGCTGCTATTGTAACTGAAAAAGTACCCAGCACTCCAAATCTTAGTGGATTGTTTAAAGATCAGCTAGAAATCAAAGAATTAGGACATTAAGGGAAGTGTAAAATGATCTAACTGTTGATGGGATGGTAAGGAATTTCACAGTAGCACACAATCTGTTCATAAAGCTAGGGTACAAATACCCTTAAAACTTTGAACATATGATTCTATTACTACTGTTATTAATATACTGTAAGTTGGAAAACACAAGCTATAGCATTTTCTTTATATTTCAAAATAATTCCAGTAAGATGGCTGAAATTTTATAGTTTTGTAAAGTTAAGAGACGTGTGTGTGTGTGTGTGTGTGTTCTATAATAAGAATAAAAACCTAAAATAACAGACTAAACCTAGGCAAATCAAGTATGAATTTGTATCTTTCTTACAAACCAATTATAGTTTGAAATAAAGCATCTGATACATAATATGTTAGAGCAGGAAGCATCCTAAATTCAGAGACACCAGGAGTTACATATTAAGAACACTGCTTATGAAAGTTGGCTCTCTTATTAATGCTACTCAAGGCAAAGGCAGCAGCTAACAAGGAAGCAGAGCTTCCCACAGGTTTCTGATTGACCGGGTACAGATGGAGGCTTAGGTACAGCATCAATTGAATAGGTACAGATTGTGACTCCCAACAGATTGTGTTGGGAAGCAGACAAGGAGTAAGAACATGCCAAGAACCAAGTGAGCAACTTTTAGCTCTTGACGCATGAAAGACATATCTTATTCTCAAGACAGAAAATAAGGCTCAAACGTGCCACGTAAATTAAACCGGTAAGTAATGATACACTATAACTGTTCTTGGGTTTTTAAAAGAAAGAATCCTCAAACGTGATGTATGAATCATGGAAGAGAAAGCATGATGGCCAGTGAGCCTGCCTATATAACCCTTTACTGTATCACATGTATCTTCACCTCTCAAAAACCTACTATGAAAGCATGACCAAGTAGCCCTCAATGTAGTTGAATAGGTCAATGCAATGGCAGGTTACTGTAGAAATCCAGTATTCACACTAAACTAAATATGATCATTTTTTAATCAATGGGCAGCCACTAAGACATAAATACATATCTACATAAATACATATCTAGAGACCTCCACTAGCAACTCTATGGAGAAAGGCCAACCTTAAGAGAAAATATTTCCCAGCTAAAGGTTTAGGCACTCAAAATATCCCAACACACTAGTGGCACTTATTTTAAGATAAGCCTCAAATTTAAGAAATTGTATGAGCTAGAAAATAAAACGGAAATGGAGGTGAGAGGAGGAGAATGTGCATTCTAAGTAAAGATAATAAGAAATTTACAGAGGTCAACCACATTCAAATACTGCAGATAAAAGCTTTGACATGACCTTTGAAAGGGAAGCAACTAGACCATGAAGAAACTAGTAGTTAGGTCAGGGTAAGATACTGGTCTCATTCTTTATTGGCTAGAAAACCACTGCTGGATTTTATATAGTGTATATAAAAACATGCACATAAATGCATAGTAAGTTTTGAAAGGGTCATTACTGTTCTGAATATAACTATCCCATTTAAAAATGTCCATTATCATTTCAATTTCCTTCTATGATACCAGTGGGTTGAGTATGGTAGCTCATGCCTATAACCTTACAGGGACACCACAATTGGTGCAAGATCCTATCTCAAAGAAAGAAAAGGGAAAGAGAAACTACTATTCTTTCCTCCTTTACTACAACCTTGGCTTGTCATTCAAAGAAAAACAAGCAAGCCTGTACTATTGTGCATCCCACGAAAGCAGGAAGATACTCACCATATGAGGAGGAGGGGCTGGTCCTGGAGAGAAAGGAACCCTTCCCCACATTTTCATGATATCGCCAAGAGGCTGGAAGCTTTCATCACATGCTCTCTTCACAAGCAAAGACATTGTAAAATAGCCCGCCTGAAACCATTCAGCCATCTCCTGATTGTTAAAGGGACCTAAACACAAGGGCAGTAGGAATCTTGTCAGGCTCAAAGATAAATATATTCTCTGGGTTTTGTGTTCACACAAACTTTTATAGTATCTTAGCTTACCTCAAAGAATGACAATTAGTTTTTTTATCAGACACAACAAAAACAAATTCTGAAGTAAACTGTGTTTTGTCTATTTCACAGAGCAGGGAATTAAGAGCCAGAGCTCTGTTGCTTCTTCCCTGACCAAGCTCCACTTTTACACACCCCAAGTTGTCATCAAAGATTTGATGGTGTAAGCAGCACAACTATCTCAGCCTCTGCAACCACTCACACATCAGAAAGTGAAATACACAGAAGAGCTGATAAATACTAGCTGCCTTTGCATCACTGCGGCATGCAGAATATACAAGCTCAGTGCAAACACATCCTCCCATTTTTGTTATGTTCTGCTGGAGATTAGTGACTGTGGGATAAAAATGTAAAACACAAGCAATAATCAACTGAACTAAGGCAAGTTACAATTTATTTACCCAACTAGACTAAATCTGAACTTGAGAAAAAAATAGCATTCTTTGAGTTCTTTAAACATAAAACTTTATAAAACATATAGAGTAATTCAGTATTTTCTGGGCATTAAAAATATCTTTTAAATGTGAATGGATATTTTGCCTGTACAAATGTCTATGCATCACCTGCGGCCTGATATGCACAGGGGACATGACAGGGTGTGGGATCCCCTGGAACTTAAGTTACAGATGGTTCTAAGACATCATATGGGTGATGGGAGTCAAGCCTGGGTTCTCTGGAAGAGCAGTGAGTGTTTTTAACTGAGTCATTTATATAATAATCCCTTGTAAAGTGTTAATTAAAATCATACATATATGTTTTTTGACCACCACAGAACCAAGATATATCAACAACAGAATACTAAAAGAAAAACTCCTAGCTTAGAAGCTAAAAAACTTCCAAATAATTTATGGGTAAAAAGCATGTGTGTGAGCATGTACAGTTCACATACACTTAAGTATAAACCATGACTAATTTAAATTTATTCCTGGAATACAAGGATGGTTCACATTCAATTCATGAAAATTCAACAATAAGCTGAACATAGTAGTATATGGCTTTAATCTCAGTACTTTGTTGGGAGGAATTACCAGTACTTTATACCACATTACATATGGCATATGATTATTTCCGTTGGTGCAGAAATGTTTAACACCCTTCCATATTAAGGAGGGGATGCTCACTTCAGCAGCACATATACTAAAACAAATTGGAACAATACAGAGATGATTAGCATGGCCCCTGCACAAAGATGACACCCAAATTTGTGGTATTTTTTTCTGACTTCAATATGCCAAAAGAACTGAAATAAAAAGCACCAAGCAGGAAAAAAAGGAAGAACACCTTGAGTAAGATTCCTGGGAACTATGTAGTAGCAAGAAGTTTTCTGACTTCTATACCTTATGTGCCCAATATATTCTCTCCTCTCCTCTCCTCTCCTCTCCTCTCCCTCCCTCCCTCCCTCTCACTTTTACACACACACACACACACCCACACACAAAAAAACGGGTTCAGCAGTTAAAAGTACTTACTGTCCTGGCAAAAGATGTGGGTTTCAGCACCCACATGGCAGCTCACAAACACCTGTACCTCCATGAAGGCACCAAGGGGTACTGACACCTCTGGCTTCTGTGGGTACCTGCACATATGTGCATATAACCCCCACCACACACACACACACACACAAATAAATAAAAATAATAGATATGTAAGATGACTAGGACAAGCAAGACGGCTCAGTAAGCACGGACACTTGCCACACAAACCTAGTGACCTGAGCTCCATCCTAGGGATCCACAGAAAGATGGAAGTAGAGCACCAATCCCAAAGAGTTGTCCTCTGACCTCACACATCACACAAACATAGAAAAAGCTTTTTAAAAAAATCTACCACCAGATACACACAACCATGCCTAGTAGTATGATTCTGCCTATTGACTTTATTATTTCTAGCTACTTAGGAAGGCTGGGGCAGGGACCTTCAGTCCAGAAGTGTGAAATCAGTATGAGTAATATAAGACATTGTCTCAAAAGGGGGAAGGGAGACTAAAAAAAAGGAAAAACTCTATTAGACATAAGCACAGGTAAAGATGCTCAACACAGCAATCCAAACTACAAAAGCTGTTAACAATCCAGGTTTGGGGGAAAGACATCATCCCAGAATTCTTAAGTCAGAAGAAATTAAAGTTGGAGGACATCCTGAGTTATACAATACATTCCCCCTCACCCCACCACACACACAAACAAAAAACCCACATTATAAAAGAATATCCTAGTAACTACAAAATAATAATAAAAGCTAGCAAGGATGTAGACAAATTAGAATCTTGTGTACCTTTTGTAAGAACATAAAACAGTATAGAAGCTTCAGAAACAGTTAAAAATTGTTTCCATGTCTCTAATGCTAACATTCAGGAGGCTGAGAGACAGGAGGCTCACAAGATGAAGCTGAGCTACACATGGAGATCCTGAATCACAATAAGGTATCATTATACACTTGCTAGAATGACTTTAAAAACAAAAAACAAAACCACAGCCGGGTGTTGGTGATGCATGACTTTAGTCCCAGCACTCAGAAGGCAGAGGCAGGGGGATCTCTGTGAGGTCAGCCTAGTCTACAGTTAGTTCCAGGACAGGTTTCAAAGCCACAGAAAAACCCTGTCTGGAAAAACAAAAACAAAAACAAACAAACAAACAAACCCCTAAAAAACACACACAAAACTTATCATCAAATTCTGATAAAATTATGAGAAAACACTTACATCATTAAAGGGCATATAGAATGGTTTAGTCACTCTGGAAAACAGTTTAAAAAAACTAAAGATGCAATTGCCATTTGATCTAGTCCTTACACTTCTGGGCATTTATACTGAAGGAATGATACACTTTCACATACTGGCCAAAATGTTTACAGTGGTTTTATTTGTAGCAGCCAAAAAATTTGAACCAAAATGTCCTTCTCAGATGAATGGTCAAACAAACCATTATCAACTGACACCATTCACTATGACTCAGCATACAAGGAAACAAAGTGACTTTTGAAGCCACCAGGATGAGTCTCTAGGAATCTAAATGGATATAATCATTCTATACTGTATGGTTCTACTTATATAACATTCCTAAAATGATATAATATAAAAATGTAAAACAGGTTGGTGCTTGCTGTAGATTAACAATGGAGTACAGAAAGGAAGTGTGTTGCTGTAAAAGGGAAACATTGCTGCTAAAATGCCAAGATTCTGAACTTGTTGATGTCAGCAGCATGTTTTGCCACTGAGAAAAATCAGATGAAGGATAATTTCATGTGAAACTCAATTATCCCAAATAAAATTAATTTAATTAAAATGCACATATGTACAAAGCCCTATTCTTAGCTATCTTAACATTATTCTTGGATGTTAACATGAACAAATATATACAAAGTTATATATACCAGGCAGTGGTGACTCCTATGAGAGAGAGTAAGACAGGGAAAGGGGACTAAAAGTGGAAATGTTAACATGCTGGAGCCTTCAAACGATAGATTCAGTAAGTGCTGTGCTAAAACTGACACTGTACTAACAACCAACTCAGCCTAGAAGGATTTTAAGAGCGGAGATAAATCTACATGGATTCTTTACAGCATTCTCTAATCTAACTTATTCAACCCTTTTAAGGATTCATTTGTAATACCGTAGTCTTAGTCATTTTAGTAATTTTTTGTTGTTTATACCACACCCACTTCAGCACCAGTCAAGGTTCTAACGCTGCTGCCATCCCTTTCTGTTGTCTGGGTATCAAAGCACAGAGACTCTGTTCCTGCCTCTTACCCAGCTGGGATGTGTGGAACTTGGATAATGCACAAACCATTTTGCTGACAACCTTGCCATTTTAGTCATCACTCTCTGTGTTTATTATTTTCTTTTCTTTTTTTTTTCTATTTGTATTTATAAAGAATGTCTGTTGACTTTGTTTTCTATTATACAAACTAACATTAAACAAAACCCTCTCAGGAGGTTCTGAAAGTGACACAGATGTTCCAGTATTTAAAATGAAACTGGGATGTTTACCTTGGATTTCCCCCTGAGGGTCTTTGTAATACCACTTTTGCATCGCCTCGTGCATCAGTGGAATTGACACTCCTTTAGCTCTGTGCTCTTGCAGTTTTGATGTCAATCTTTCTTCATCTAGTGCGCTGTCTTGGAGATAAGCCACCATCTTCTCAGCTTGCTAGTAACAGAATATAAAAGGATAGAGGAAACAAATGATCCTGAATTAATATTATAAGGCTAGTAATAATGATCACTGTTTTTGAACTACTTGATTTATGAAAGACATTGGGCAAGGAACAAAACCATTAACAACCTGATCCCATTTTATAGGAGAGAAAAAAAAAAAAAAAAAAAAAAAAGCTATGGATCAAAGACCCCAAATAAGCCAACGAGATTGAAATAAAATAAAAACTGCTATGGATCAAAGCCTAGGCTTCAAATAAGGTTTTAAAATATGCTGTGGGTCCATTCAAGATTGTTTTCATAAACCTGTATATTTGTAGATGTTAATACAATAAAAGACTCAATTAATACAATTACAAAATAAGTTATTCTACAAGTTTCAGTAATACATCAATAACCGTTATGTCTACATTCCCTGTCTCTAACCACGTCACTCTGAAGGAAAGAGAAATTATTTTGTAGAAAGCCAACTCATTATTTACTTTTCATGATGTTACACACAATTTTCGGAAAAAATACAGACATGAATAAGAATGTTAACATCCAGAAGCTTTTAACCATCATCTCTGCTATACTTGAAGTAAAAAACAAAGAAGACACAGGGACCATCCACAGCTGCTTGTATTCACCATTTTTAGCATTCCATTAAGGTCCAAAATGAAAAGAAAAGAAAACAGCTAAGGGCAATCTCAGCAGAGCAAAAAATAACCTGACATGATGACTACTACATAGCAGAAACTTAAAAGCATGAAATGATCTGAAAGACAATTACTCACACAAACAATAAATAACCAAACTTTTTTTTCCAGTACTTTAGACCTAATGCATAAAAACTTCTGTATTGGGATATTCATGGAAACTTGAGAGGAGATAATAGAGTAACCTGATCTCACCTGTTCCAAGTGTTTGAGGCCCTCTTCATCATCTGGCTCTGTGGAAACACCGCCTATACCAGGAGCTTCAATGGCTGCTGTCTCAGCTGGTCGTGAGGCAGAAGTAGGAGTGGGAACAGGAGATGGAAGGACGAGGAGAGGAGAGGCTGTGTCTGGAGGAAGCTGTGTCGAGGGTTGCTGGGAGGTAGGCACTGTTTCTAAAGGGGAAAAATATAGAGTAATAAATGTTCTTATAAATCTGGAGACACCTCAAGGTTAATTCTACATTATTAAGTGGAACAGTCTGCTGTGTAGGCCCAATTGAGATAGATGTCAACCCTGAAGCTACTTCTTATGGAGAAATGCAGTATTTCTCCCTAGAATGAGAGAAGAGTTTAAAGTCCACAATAGGTCTCCCTAGCTATGTCACCACAGCATCTACCAATAGTTAAAGTGTTAACAGTCAGTACATGTCATTCTTTATAACAGTCCTCTAAATAAAGACAAATAAGATATTCAAAGACATGTCATCACTTCAAAATGTTTATGAAAAATACCTGTAATAATCGTATGTTCCTGTCTTAAGTAGTAATATATAGTGCAGTTTTAGGAGTCTTAACAGTGTAAGGTGTTTTTAAGATTAGAAATTGTAAAAGTGTTTTTGCCTTGGTTCCTTTTTTGGAACTCACTCTGTAGACCAGGCTGGCCTTGAACTCAAGAGATTCACCTCTCTTGTCTCCTGAATCTCCTGAGTTCTGGGATTAAAGGAGTAAGCCACTACTGCCCAGCTTTAAAATATTTTTTAAATTTTTATTTATTTATGTGTGTGTGTCGATATTTTGCTTGCATTCATATCTGTATGAGGGTGTCAGATACTGTAGAACTAGAGTTACAGACAGTTGTGAGCTCCCATGTGGATTGATACTGGGATCTTATCACTGAGCCATCTCTCCAGCCCTTGCCTTGGTTCCTAGTTCTAACCTCTCAGTGTATAGGCTCCTGAAACAAGTCTGGAAAATGGTGTAACTAGATCAAATTATAGTTTCTGCTTTAAAACCTAAGCTGTTTAATCATAAAGAGACTCTTCAAATGCTTGTTCCCTTCAAGCACTGTCAAACTTTTCTTAAGTTCAGTCTATACATGAAGCTTCTGTATGAGTGACCACCATCTATACCTATCAACAGGACTTCCATTTGCCCCTCTCACCAGTAAAGCACCCTGTCAAAGATACACAGTCATACAAAACTGTCAGATTCAATGACTTTCCCTTGCCATCATTTGCTAATCTCTGAAGCAGATGACATTATTGACCCAATTCTAGCTTGAATGATCTTCCTGCATCTGTAGGCTATACTTTTGTCTCTCAGGGTAATTCTCGGGTTCCCACCCCTAGAACTAGGAATTACCCAAGCTTCTGTTTTCAGTCCTTTCATTTCCTCACCCTACTAAATGTATGGTTTCGTTGAGCTCTTAATCCTTAGCCCATGCTGGCTTCAAACTCTTAATTCCTCCTCCTAATTCCCAACTGCTGGGATTACAGGCCTGTGCCACAATGGACCCAGCTAGAACTTTAGACTTGTATTACCTCCCTGACTCTAAACTACTCCCATCCAGGTACAGTCCCTCATTTACAACCTTTTTCTGGTCAACTCTTTCTCCTTCATGTCTCACGGCCAATGTTCTAAACTGAGTTCAATCATTCCCCTCTCAATTGACCTCTTTGACGTCTACTTGTTTCCTGGCATCTAGTCTTCAGAGCCACCTTAGCCTCTTTTCCACCAACATGTACAATCAATAAATATGTCTGTTCATAAAATCTCATCTGCCACTACCTCAATTTACAAGTGCATTGCCTACCTTGTGTCTTCTACTCAGAAGTTCAAATCACATAGTAGTCCACGTGTACCGTACACAAAGCTATCAAATCTAAGTTCCAACCATATTTTCTACCAAACTTCTTAGCATACACAGTACCTATTTTTAAGGGGGGGGGGGCATGGTCTGAGGGGACGGGAAGGTGGCTCAGTGGTTTGGGGGTTGCTTGCTAAGTAAACCTGACAGTCTGAGCTCAATTTACAGAACCTGTAATGGTAGAGCAGAAAAAGCAACTCTTGGAAGCTGGTCTCTTAATTTCTACTGGTAGGTATGTATGTGCATGTAACGTGTAAACATACACATATGGGGAAGGGGGATAAATGTAATAAATAAAACATTTCTTGCCCATGAAACAACCAACCCTATTTTCTCACTGCACTTTCACTGTCCCCTGGTGCTACAATGTTCTCTCAATTGATCCAGCTTTATACCTCCAAATTCTATTTCCTTTTCCAAGGTCATCGAAGAACTGGGGTTACCTACTTCCTGAAGACATCCCAAGGCTCTGCTGATAGTAATTTCTTATTTTCCCTTGATAGGCACATAATTTAACTCCAGATCTTTAATATACATATATCAAGTTAACCTTTAATATACATGTATCAAGTATTCTCAAAATACACGTATCTACACTCCACAGTTTTCTTGAATAAGATTTTTGCTCTATTCTTGGACACAAAACAAGCAATAGACAACAATTACGAACCAAAAAGGTCTCCAGAGTCAAAACTCATTCCCTCAGGTGGAAAGTTATTAGTAGGTAACAGCTGCTGAAGAAGAAGAATCATTTTTTTCAGGGGTGTGAATACTCATAGATTGCACATGTCCAGAGGATAGCTTCACATACGTGTGCAGATGGGCATACCTATCTGGACTTAGTGCGTTATTAAAGGAAAGAAAAAAAAGGCATGTGGTGGGGAGAGACATGTGTTAGGAAAAAATCCAGAGGGAGAAGTAGACATGATGATCAATTTACATTGTGTATATACATGAAATTGTCAAAGTATTTAAGAAAACAAAACAGGAGTGAGGGAGTGAGGGAAGGAGAGGGGAGGGAGGAAGGAAGGGAGAGAGGGAGGGGGGAGGGAGGGAGACCTAAGTTCCATAACATAGATACTCAGATGCTTAATTTGTTCAAGACACAAAAGACTGAAAAAAAAAAAAAAATTGTTTTTGTTTCTGTGTATAGACTAGGCTGGCCTAGATCCACCTGCCTCTGCCTCCCAAGAGCTAGAATTAAAGGCATGTGCTACCAATGCCCAGCCTAAAAACAATTTTTTGGTTCAGGTCTTCAATATATTAGTCTAATGGGATGACCCTATATCTTTACAATACAGCTAGGTATATACATGTAACATTGTTAACTAAATAATAGTACTGGTTACTAAGAAACAGAAGAAAACAACCTAAATAGAAGGGAATAAAGTTTCAGTTATATAGAAAAGCACAAACACAGAAAATAGAGCACAAATCAAGGCTGAAAACACTTTCAGAATGGTGATTACAATGTGGGGGAGATAAAAGAGCTGATACTGAAACTACTAGGGGACCATGTGATAGATTCCCAAGTCTAGCAGGCTGTGTTACAAAGCGCAGAGTCTTATGGTGACTGAGCCCTTCAACATCAGCCATTACAATGCAATGTAAGTATTTACAAGAATAATCAAATACAAAACTACAGTGCTTTTAAGGTATGAGCCATTCAAATACATATTAACACTAAAGATGTGTAAAGACTTGCTTTCTAGCAAAAGTGATGGTGGGCTCCCAGACTGGCCCAGGTGTTCTTTCTCTTCACTTTGGTGGGAGTTGACTATATGAGACTGGATGGAAGGCAACCATCTGCTATAGGAATCCAACAAACCCTGAGGATCCCAACCACATGTTTAAGTGCAGCCAAGACAGCTACATCACCTGAGGGAGTTGAGGCTCTTATCTCCACTCCAACAGATTTTCACCTTGTTTTCATAAATTTTGAGGTTAGAAAACATGAGGAAAGGAACATTTGACTGCTGGTAATGATACCCATTGCAATCATTCACCCCCTGAAAACAGTTCCATGAGGTTAAGCAAAAGCTGTCACCCTAGTGAACACTGGTCTCAGCAAAAACCCATTTTAGGTACACTCTCACAAACACATACCATCCCCTCTGCTGGGGACTTTGACTGGGAGACTAGTTTCTGTCTGACTCTCTTCTTCAGGTTTTTCTATTTGTTCAGCTTTGGGTTCATCTTTTCTTTCCAACTGTGGGGCTTCTTGAGGCTGAGGATCTGAAGGGGTACCTGGTCTAGCGGATGATAATGGTGTTTGGGGTGCTTCTTCATTAGCTTCTGGAACACAAAGTAATAGTAAGTGAATTCAGGGAAGGTTTGGTTTACACGGGATCCAGGAAGACAAAACTGGGCCTTACCAGTTACTGCTCTGTCTGTTTTCTCTCCTTCTTTCCGATTTGCCTTATCGGGTTCTTTGGCTTCTTCATTATGGCTGCTGTCAGAGTCAGAGCGTTCTTCTCCTTCCTCCACAGGCCTGAAGTCCATTTCCTGCTCTTCAGGAATAGGTTCTTTCTGCACTTTCTGTAGAAAGGAAGTAAAACCAAAGTTAAACAGTATATTTGGCTTTGGTGTAAGGTCAGTGCGTGTCATGGCATTTAAAACAAGTTTCTTACTTTTAGAGAGAGGAATGCTCCAGATGAGTCAAACGTGCCCATTTCTTCCTCAGCGTCCTCTAAGCACCATTCCGGCAAGCTATCCCTGTCATCATCTATGCTCCCACTACCGGAACGCACCCTTCGGTAACCCCGTTCATCATCTCGATCTCGAAAATCAAACTCAAACCTCCGGCGGCGTTCCATGTGTTCCCGCCAGCCTGTAGAACGAGGGCCATCTGAGTTGAGGAAGAGGACAGAAACCTTAGAAAAGGTTTACGACAGTATTTGAAAAAGAAAATCATGGTTATGAAATAAAGACAAGTACAACTAAGAGCAAATTCTAATGGATCATCCTTCTAAAGAGAAAATCAGGAGAACTGAGCTTTAGAGTATTTACCATCCCTAAATGACAACAGTATTTACCCTCAAAGTTTTATAGCATGTTACAAAGTCAAGCTTTAGAAGATAAATGTAGAACAAAGCACATTGAAAGGGTACTTTACTCAAAGTATGCACTCTGATTATGCATTCGGTGAGAGTTGATTAATTGCGCGTATAGCCCACTCCTACCCAAGACTTAGAGCACTGGCTATCTTTCTGAATTAAAGTTTGCACCTTCTCTTTGGTAGGTATTAAAGTACCCTTCTTCCTAGAAAATCATCTCTGAATTATATCAGCTCCAGTGTCAACTCATAATATCAAATCTAATTACCAGTGCTAATTTCTCATTTATAATGCTGATCTCCAGGAACAACAAAAGTCATAAAAGTTTTAGCACTGATGACTATGGTGCACAAAATTCTATGTGGCCGATCTCCAGGCACAGTGGCAGAGCAGAGCCACCAGATCTGCAGCCTCTGCTGCTTTCCCACAGCAGCACACTTCCTCCTTTCCACTTTGCTCAGCTCTCACTTCTTCCTGTCTAACACCCTCAGGGGCATTCCTGAGTCCACCCCAGCACACTATTTACTGAATCTACTTTCCAAGGGAGAAAGACTGTCTGCTCAAGTATTTCTCTAAAACAGAAGTAGTCTTCTAAGAGAGAAAGAGGAGTTCTTGCTACATCTAAGAGTTCCAAAAGGAAAGGTGGTTTTTAACCTCTATGAATTTTCTAGTCTTGACTCTCACTCTGTTGAGAGATACAGGGACAAAATGAGGCAAAAGTGAAACGCTCTTATTCCTGAGGCCAAATTTGCTAGAATCTGCCATCTAAAAATTAGTGTGGAATGGCAGAGGAGGGGGAAAAATACTATGGAAAACATTAAGTTGCCATTTACAGGTGGAATCTTACAATGTTCAAAAAAGACAGATCCTCTCATATGTAAAACATTTACTACCTGCTGAGAGCCCAGAATTTTATATATGCTTTGTTTAAATGTAAGGTTAGAGCCATTACTCAAAAGGAATCTTCATGATCAAATGTTGGATTCCGAGTCGGCTGTCCACTGCTATCATTTCTAAACAGTCTAAGTATGCACACTGATAGGAATCTATCCTTCTAGGCACTCAGCTCCTGTTTCCCTCATACTGAGTTTCCTAAGTTCATCTCCTAGAGTGGAGGCTTCCCTGTCCTCTAAGCCCTAGCTCGTTATATCCAGCTGTGAGCCCTGCTTTAAAAAAAACTACATCCTATACACTGTCTTACCAAGAGTTAGTAAAACTTTTCTTGTGAAACTAAATATAGCAAGTGAGGCAGACAAAAACTGGCCACAGCTTTATATGGGCTTTACATCTAGAATAAAGTGAAATTTGTCAGAAGTCAGTCTAAAATACTGTATTCAAAATTGTACTCTAATTATAATAAAGAGGTTAATTATAATCTAAGAGGTGGAAATTAACCTACAACAACTAAGTATCAGACTAGGTTTTCAATATGCCAGGTACCCCCCAACCCCCCCCCCAAAAAAAAAAAAACATGAGTTTTTTTCCAGATCTCTCTTATCTTTATCCCATAAAAAAATTTTTTTTAAAAAAATACATGGGCAAGGTGGGCAGAAGAAGACAGTGAAATTGAAGACAAAACTAATATGAAAAACAAATGAAGGAGAAAGATTTAGAAAAGATGAAAACAGTGTATGATCAAATTCTGTTGGGGAGAACAGTAGAAGATGTCACTAAAAGTTGACCTAACTCCCTTTAATAAACACAACATCACACACTTGGGCCCAGAAGCATTGTTTGTCTTCCAAAACATTCACCTTCTTTGTTTTTGACCAGTTGGAATTTCTCTTCTTCAGCCCAGATTCTGTCCATTCTTCACTGAATGCTTGTTGGGAACATAAGTCTACAACCCCTCTCCTTACAGGCAAGCTCAGCACAAAATGCTGCAATGCCTTGAAGAGAATTATGACATGTGGTTGCCTAGGACACAGACTAATGAGAACTGCCTGGATCCTATGATGTAAACAACTCCCACTCATGACAAAAAAACTGCCCAAGAGGCAGCTGTGAAGATCTGGTATAATCAGGCTTTTATCAAAAGGTTAATTTCATTATGTTTCTATTTACATACTACTCAGTAAGAAACTAAACCCATGCTACAGTGTGTTACACTAGGTTAGAGGTTTGGCTAACAACTTGACTTTAAAATGATAAAAAGATATTGTTATAGTACCCACTACTAAGGTAATACAGCTGGTATTATTATGCTTCACAGGGCAGACACACATTCTGTCTATGTGACCCCATGATTCAAGTTATAGTAGTACATCTGAACATCATGAGGATGGAAGCAAAGGAGCTTCACAAAGCACTAGTGTCTTCAATTAATGGCATAGCTAATGCCCAAGAATGGTTTAAAACATTAAGAGTCCAAAGAACATAGAAAATTACTAATCATCACTATTCTTGTTCTCCTTTCTAAGGTCAAGAGGCCAAAAGAATGAACTTGTGATTATTCCTGACCTGAAGTTAAAGTTTATTCTTCAAATAAGCCTCTCCCTCCCCAATCACATTTTCAAGGGAAGGGGGGGGGGTAGAATAATCCTTTCTTGTTCAGGAAAAATACCTATGAAAACAACACACATTCCCAATGTATAATTATACATTTGGAAGTGTTTTTTTTTTTTTTTAACTACCCCCATTAAGTTATAAATAATGCTACAGATAGATTAAAGGTTAGGAGGTAAAAATTTGAATGAAATCCTCTCCCACGCTTGCAAATGTAGGCAGGTGCTTCTTATTAAACTATACTATTTGCCTCAGGAAAAAAGAAAAGTGATTTCAATCAACTGAGTAGATGTGTTGGAGAATTGTTTTGTCGAAATATTTTTGTAGTAATAAGACTGAACTGTGACGGCATAAATGGTTTCCTTAAAAACAAAACAAAACAAACAAACAAAAAAAAACTATTCAATTCCTTTGTGCTTTATACAACACAACACTTACCTGGGCTGTGAGGCCGCCACCTTTCTCCATCCCTTCTTGATCCAGCTAATCGCCAACCTCCATCTTCATCTTCTCCATTTTGTTCCTCTCTAAAGATTCGCCAGTTTTCACTTTCTGACCGTATGAATTCATGTTTTCTCCCCACAGATGTTGGTCCACTTTCCTCAAAATTTGGTCTTCCTATAAAGATAAGAAAACATGGTAAGTTAACACAAGCCCTAACAAGCAAAGGTTTTGAGAAGCAAATTAATACTTCAAACTTTCCCCTTTATCTGTTCCTTTCAATGTACAAAAAGTGTTAATAAACTAACTGCATAAATATTACACTCTTCATAAAGCTGAATGTTCAAAGATTGGGCATTTATTTTCTAAATGAAGGTACTATGTGCAATTTTAAAAGGAATACAATGAGGAGCTAGAGAGATGGCTCACAGTTAAAAGCACTTGTTGCTCTTGCAGAGAACCCTGGTTCTGTTCCCAACATCCATACAGAAGCTCAAAATACTCTTCTGAACATTGCTGGCACTAGGCAAGCATGTAATGCACATGTATACATGCATTCAAAACACTGATACACATAAAATAAATAAGACATACAATGAAAATTCCTTCTACATAAGAGCCCCAGAGACTTAGTCCCCAACACTAAGAAAAGCCATAAAAATCTTCCAAAAACTTCCCATGTGTACATTTAGTCATGTATAGATAACTCCTACACACCCATCCCCTGAGGATAGTACTGTTTTGTACTACTAATATTTTCATTCAATGGTGTATTCTGTTATTTTTTCCCCTATCAGCATACACTTTTTTTAAATGACATTTTTTTATTATATGATTACTTTAACTTATATAACCAACTGGCATAGGTGAGTCTCCCAGATCAGGAAATGTATACATTTCAACTACTTTTATTGAAAAATAAATTGGAATTTAAAAGTGAAACCTGTGCACTATAAAGATTTGTTTTCTCAGCAATACAGGAATATGACAAATTGATTTTTGAACAGAATTCAAAGCTATGCTGTCTAACAATGTCTGAAGATTTACATTAATGATTTAAAAAAATAGAGGCAAAGTAAACCAAATAGGTATATGCTGACATATCACTCCTAACATCTTACCAATGAGGAGATCTTTGTTTCTAGTTATCTTACATTTTATACATATGAAGGTTTAACATGCTGCTTGTCCATATGGTTTTTAGACTGTTAGCAGGTATTATTCTAACTAAATAATGAAATACCTTAGAATCAGAGTAGCTATGCAGCTAGGTGGGTAAAGGTACTTGCCATCAAACCTGACAATCTGAGTTTGACTCCTGGGGACAAAATGGTAGAAGCAGAGAACTGATTTCCACAAGTTGTCATCTGACCTCCACATATATGCACCCCACTACACACACACACACAGAGAGAGAGGGGGGGAGGGAGGGAGGGAGGGAGGGAGGGAGAGAGAGAGAGAGAGAGAGAGAGAGAGAGAGAGAGAGAGAGAGAGAGAGAGAGAGAGAGAGACTTAAAAAGTAATTTTAAAAAACTCTTTGAAGGGAGAAAAGACATCATCTGCTGGGAAAAGCACTATTCGCTTTTTGCTGTGGTGCACAGCTTCCAGGAGTGCGCCCCCCCCGCCCCTAATAATCCCTAGCTGCTGGTATCCATGTAGTACTTTTCCCTTAAAGGTGAGATGAACTTACTGCTAAAAAAAAAAAAAAAAAAAATAGAACATACCTGAAATGATGTCACTTTCTGAATTTGAAGTTGTTTTTGGTGGTGGTGATTTGTTTTTGGAGACAGGGTCTCAGTATGTAACCCTGGCAGGTCTGGCCTGCCTCTGCCTTTTAAGTATTGGAACTAAAGCTGGGTATCACCATGCCCAGCTCTAAATCTAAAATTTAAAAGGCCTCTGTCTTCCTGAATCTTGGAATCGTTCTCTGAAGAAAGTCAGACACCACATGGTACCTATAGTGAAGTTCATACTATAAAGCCTTGAGGCTCTTTGCTTATAGAAACATAAGACTGAAAGTGGTTCCAATCCCAAAAGAACCTTAAAATAACTACAGAATAAGTAGACAATTTTACTGCTGTCCCATGGGACACTAGAGCCCAGCCACTTAGCCAACAAACAAAGCAGAGAAATAAACTCCTGGCATCCATGCAGGCATGGTAGCACAAGCCAGCCCACAATCCTAGCAATCAGGAGGTAGAAGGTGGATCACTTCACATAAGAGTCCGAAACCAGCCTGGGCTAAATAAGACCCTAACTCAAAAGCCATTCAGCTAAGTTCTAGGGTCATCTATATTACACAGTCAAAGACCCAAAATAATCACTTAACTGATTTTTATTTAAAATATTTCTTATAGGAAGTTATTTTTTCCCATTTTACAGCCTAGAACACTGAGGCTCAACAAATAACCTCTGGGAATTGTGTAGAATCACATTTCATTATTAAACAGCATTTAACAGCAATTTACAGCACACCGAATCAAAGCTATAGATTCAAGTACAGACAGGTTCTTTCCTTGCATTAAAGGACCTCCCAAGCTCTCTTGCTTAGACTGAGGTCAATATACTTTTAAAACACTGTATTTGTTATATGGCTTCATGAAAAATGTAGCTACCACTACAAATGAGAAATTTAAAAGAATAATGTATTTGAATATGAAAACAATGAGGAATGGTCACAAATGCTACTGAGCTGTGAAAATACACAGTACTAATCACAGATGGCTACACTAATCTAGCCACTTGTTTTCATCGTCTGCTTTCCCACATGTAGTCTTTGAGAGTAATGAACATATCAAAGTAAGCAATATAGCACTAATGGCAAGCCACAGCACTTGCCAAACATGGATTATCAATTTTCCTAAAAAAAAGAAAAAAATAAACTATTAGAGCCTTTTTAATTAAAAGTTAAAATCACTAAAGTAGTAATGATTCTACAGCCTTACACTGGAATGCAGAAACAAGGCAGCCTGAGCTAGAGTCTACAGTGAGATGAGTAAAAGTGAGTAGAGCAAGCATGTGAGAGCACCTGTGAAAGAGAAGATCAAGAGCGAGTGAACTGGGAACACAAGTAGACCAGGATTAATGCACGCACACAAACATACATACAAATAAGACACGTGTTCTCCCCTCCCTGCTTAGATCCTGGCTTCACTCACTGTGGTATAGACAGGCTTTCAACAGTTGGGCTTTTGCTTTGTAAGTGGCTGGGTACAGACGATCACCACAGAGCCTGAGTAACATTGTCACTGGTATCTACATTCCTACTGCCTTTATAGCACCAGTTTTCACTTCTGAAAGCAAATATTTCTCTATGATTGATTACTCATCTCCTAGTAATGCCAACAAGTCAGTTATACCCTCACACTTCTCAGTTGAGGGGAGTGGGTCTGATATGAAGCAGCCTGAATTTACATGAACACTTAGCAAATCAGTAACAGAGTTCAAATTTGAGTTACTAGGTGGTTATTACTATAAAACAATTTCTAAGAAACATATACTTTTCACATATCAAATATTACACATGAATAACAACAATAAAAAGGTTTAAATTATTAATTATTGGTAAACCAAGGAAACCCAGATAACAACAGTCCTTACAATACTACATCCAACCTTTAGGACTCATAGTCATTTTTCCAAAGAAAAGGGTGGAAAAAAAAGAATCAAGGACTTGTAAATAGATTTCACTCTTTCCTGTTCTCCTCTTCAAAAAAACCTTTTAATTAAAGTTCAACTTTCTTAGGTGGACACAGGACAAATGTGTAACCATTCACTGAGTTCAAACAATTGTATAAAATCAACACCTTACTTTAGAGGGGGAAAAAAAAAAAAAAAAAAAAATCAAAACTCTTCACATACTCCCCCTTCAGCCTTTTCAAACCCACACACTATCCTGATTTCTTAATTTTGCCCTTTTGGAATTAAAAAACAAAAACAAACAAACAAACTCAAAACTTTTTTGGGAGGAGGGGAAACTGTGATCAGGATATAAAATAAATAAATAATTTTTAAAAAAAAAAAAAAAACCTTATTTGGGGAGTGGGGTACATACACACCAAAATCTACATGTGGAAGACAGAGGACAACTTTGTGAAGTTGATTCTCCCCTACCTTTACATGAATTCTGGAGAGTAAACTCAGGTCATCAGGCTTGCACAGCAAGCACCATTACCCACTGAGCTTTATCACCAGCCCTGAAATTCTTTACCTAAATGGAATATTATTTTACCTCTGAAAAATAGCCTTGTTCCTTTACACTGGTACACAGGATCTCACTGAATGAATAGTTGCAATGTACTGCTCTTAAATTGCTGGCATTTAGGTTATTTCTTGCTTTTTGCTATTTATTATGAACTGTAAATTTATGAACATTCTTATACACAAATTTTGGTGGGCAAAGAGATATGTTCCTTGGGGTACACATCACATTCAGCTTTTGTGATTACTATCATATATTTCCCCAAAGAAATGGTACTACTATGCCATTTGACTGTTTTACTCAAACCTAGAGTAAAAGTTAACATAATACCTCTTCCATAAACAAACACAATTAAAGACACAGGATTACAAAGATAGCCTTGAACATAGCACCTGCCCTCTGGGCCAAAGACCAGGGATACACATGGAAATAAAGGACCTGATACATTATAGTTGATACAATGCCTTGATATAGTTCACCTGATCGTCTTAATAACCACAGGAGATTAAGTTAAACCTCACCATCGCTATTGTTCCTGTGTGGAAAGAGATACCTGTGGGTGGTTTCCCAAGATCACATAGCTGAGTCATGAATCAGAAATAGAGCCTAGGCCTGCAACCTCGTAACCCATCTCTACTACATTACTCTCAGTGAGCTACTCACAACTATGACCATTGGAAGAAGCCAGAAATTCTAGTAAAACTGAAGTAGGAAGATCTAGAATTTAAACCTGACAAACTCCAAAAGGATGACAGATAGTCCAACTTAGGGGCAGCTTGTTTAGGCAGAACTATGTTTATTTTAGTATTTCCACCAAAATAATTTCAAAACGTTAATTTCTGAAAAAAATTAGTTAAGACCAACTTCTTCAATAGAAAAGTTTTGTTCTAGAAATTAATTTAAGAAGAAATGTGGCTTCAAATAATATAAAAATATATTTGCAATTGCTACTAATATTTAAAATTAACTGAATAAAGAACTCCTTTCTAAATTAGTAGGTATCTGTTGTATAAATTTTGGTAAACAAGTGAAAATTTCAAAGAGTTTCACTTGTATAATCTAGTTTTAAAAGAATTATAGATTTCTGTTCTTTTCATTTGTTTTGTTTAATTTTCAGGACAGAGTTTCTCTGTGTAGCCCTGGCTGTCCTGGAACTCAGTGATCCACCTGCCTCTGCCTTCCCAGGGATGGGATTAAAGGCATGCCCCACCATGCCTGGTAGATTTGTGTATTCTTGATGAAACTTAAATGACAAACATCAAAGTTATTCACAGACAGTTTAAAAGATGGTATCTTATGCTCTTTTTGTGCCTAATAAGTGCAGTGTTCTATGGTGGCCAGGGAAACAATGAGGGCCACCCACATGGGCCTTTCTCAGCACTTAAATGCAGACTCTTCTCTCTGTAATATATCAACACTATGGCAAAACTGAGTAAAGAAGAGCTCTGGCTACTTCTTTTTAAAATTCAATTTACAAACATGATGATTAAAAGTGAATCAATCTAATGAAATAGTCTGTAAATGCATGTCTGCAAACAGTACAGTTCCTGGCTTGAGAGACTGGGAAGACTATGGCAGATCAGAACTTTCTTTTTAAAAATAGCTCAAGCAATAGGAGTATGCCCCCACCCCTACAGCCCTCATGCTTGCTGTCTGCTGGTACACACCTAGAAACTGCCTGGAATATCTGGGGAAGGCAATCACCAGGGAGACTTCAACACACCAAACTGGAAAGGGAGACTAGGTAAAGCAGCTATTCCCAAGCTACAATCAAGGATGAGCTGGAGACTTAGAGGCCTTAAACTGGAAGCATGCTGTGACCAAGGATACTTTGTTTTTCAGGGCAAATGGTCTAAGGCTTTCAGAATCTTAATCTTAACGGTATCTACGATCTTCAAAAGGTAAAAAAAAAAAAAAAGAAGAAGAAGAAAACTAAGTTAAAAAATATTCTGCTCAATATAATAGTAAACAGGACTGTTTTATCAGGAAACTATACTACCTACAGAATATTTTATTTTTATATCACAGTCACTTAAGGCATATAAAAGCTGTTAAAATACAGATGTAGAATATTATGTACAAGTAGTATTCCCCAATCATAGTACATACTTGTTTTTTCCTTAATGTATTAAGATGGAATAGAGTCTTCTACAAATTAAATGAAAATTGAGTACTGGCTTCTGCCTGGTCTTCTGGGTGGACTTCCTAAGGAGAGGGAGCGGTAAAAGGGCACCTGTGTGCATGTTTGACTCGCAGCCAAAAATGGTGTTTATGGAAAACTTCAGATGGAGCACAGAGGCATTCAGCCAACAAAATCTACAGCTGTGAAACTTGGAGCTTACAAGTACCCAAACTCCAAAAGCAAAAGCAGAATTATGGGACAGACTTTGAAGCTTGTTTATGTGCACACTTTTGTAGCAATTGACTTTGTATTTCTCTATTAAATAGTGAAAGGAAATCCCATCCAGGTATGGACACTTACTTCCCCTTGCTCCCAACAGTCACTTATAGTTCCAGAGTAGTGGAAACAGGAGTTTAAAGTCCACACTGGGAGTCTGTGAACTTCTGCAGCCTGTCCTCTGCTCAGCTGGAGAGCACAGTCCTGAAAGCTCAGCTACTTCTGGCTGGACGATTCAAGGGAACTACAGTATGTAAGAATGTCTCTGAAGAAGTACCTCAAACAATGTGCATGTGTCCCCATCCCCACAGCCCTCATGCTCACAGTGTGCTGACAGCACATCCTGAAGCTGCCTGATATCTCTTACCATGCAGAAATGGAAAGAGTTTAAGTATCTTTAGCATAGTCAAATCAGTTAAGAACACACTCAACCAGTCAGAAGACCAGATGGGAGAATAGGCAAGATACTACACTCCAGCAAATCCTTTGTCATTTTATAGAAAACTGTAGTGTATTTGTAGACTGTATACTAGCCTACTTCAGCTAAAGTAGAAACCAGTACCTTTAGGGTCAGAGATTTGGATCTAATAAAGACAAATTTACTTGTTTGTAGCACCTGACATAATCATTACAATTCTTAATAAAAAAAAAAAAATCATCAATGGATCAGTAGCATTTATGTGCATATACAGAAAAGATGCTTTAGATCCAACTCGTTACCTTACTGTGTCTTTTAGGGTAAAGGTGGCATATCTCATGGGCCATTACCAATGTTACCTCAGCCAAACTGATAGCACCATCTCCCAATAATTTAGATGCTCAAGTGACTGCCATGGGAATACTCAGCTCCAGAGTCAAAGTCTAACATCCATAGTCAGCCATCAGTGACACTGTTCACACACCAGGCTCCCAAGTTGGAAGCATCCCAGAATCAGAAAACTACTTCACATAAGTCATTGTAAGGGTGCATGTTTGCACGCACATGCGTGCGTGCGTGCGTGCGTGTGTAGCTGAGGCTGGTTTCAAACTCAAAGCAATCCTACTGCCTCAGCTAACTAATGGCTGAGATTACAGATATGAGTCACCACACCTGGTAAAGACATTTATTAATTTACTATATCAATTTTTTATCAATACAGTCTGGAATAAAAATGTATTTTTGAAAAAGTCTGTCAGGCACAATCTCAGTATTTGGGAGGCTAAGGCAAGGGAATCAAAAGTTTAAGGCCACAGTAAACTATACAGTCAAAATGCCATTTTTTTTTTTTTTGGTTGTTTTTGTTTGTTTATTTTTTACAGTGGGAGGGGTTTCCTAAATTGAATGACACTCTTTTCTGTCTTACCTACTGTTCAAGACAGTGGCAGACATGCTAATGTACGTCTGCTCTCTTGAGAGGAATGTCCCACTACTTGCTCTAGTGTTTCTGTTGTTTCAGTTGGGTGTTTTCCTCAATCAGCTAGCTGGAAAATGACACAAATTCCTACCAGCACATGCAGGGAATAAGTCTTACATGTGAATCTCACCTTGATTACCTTCCCTGGTCCTGAAGGTCACAGTTACTAGTGTTGTGTCTAAACTTGTATTGAGATGTCTGGCATTAATAAAACAAAGAAGGAATTAATATATTTTTTAAATTGTGAAGGGAAGGAGAGGAATCCACAAAGTCGGATTTCCCTTCCTAAGTAGCATTAGATTGGTCTACATTCATAACTTTCCCAGCAGGCCTCTCCAAGCTTTTACTTCAAACAAACAGTGTCTTTGTTTCTCAGATCCTCTTATGTGTAACATTTGATCAAAGTTTTAAAACTGGCAGCTACCAGAGGAGAAAAGACTGCTCACTAGGCATTACACAAGGCCATCCTTTTTCAGCTCATGTGCAGGCTGCTACAAGCTGAACTGGTGACATTTTCCAGGTAAACACAATTTCATTACTGAGCTCCAGTTCATGTACCACGAATACTGTTTTACTCTGCTTCACCAAATACACCAAGAAAAGATCAATAAAGCAAGCCTTAAGAAAACCCTTTCCTTCTCTCACGAGGGTGCTATTTAAAGAAAAGTACAAGGCATCAAACAATCACATTTCTAGTCAAATCCTACTACACAGCTTTAAAACAAAACAAAAACCAATGTCTATTACCTTGCAATTAGGAAAGAGGGTGTGGGCACTATTTCAAGTAACTAAATGATCTACCCCTACTCGTTTTGAAACTAATATTAGCCATGCTGATGAGGAGAGATCTGATAAGAAAGTCAGAAAAATCAACTCATCAATTATGCCTAAACATCCTTACCCAACTAAATCTCCCCTCAAGAAATGGTGGAAAAAAAAGATTCCTGAAAGAGATACCTCACACTTTAATACGCAATATAAGGAGAGAGGGCTGAAAGGAAATCTTGCAGGGAATTTTATCCTTTTGAACTTTCAAATAAACTCTTAAATAAGATTATGCAAACTTACTAAAAACCGGTCCTGATTAGAGGGAAAAAATGCACCCCTTCTCCACGACAGTTCTGGAGGCTTTCTCCAGAGCTGTTAAGGTTTGTGTTGGGTAAAGAAAGACCTCCTAACAAACCAGCATTCTTTTCCACATGATCAGAGCTAATTGGCCCCCCTGCAGACTAAGTGACCAATCACATCAGCTTCAGCTGAAACCAGCCCTCACGACATTATAAACAGAGGAATGTAAGCTGCAAAGCCAGTCCAAGAAGAGAACCTACAGACTACACTGTAGGTTAAAACCACCTGATCAAAAAGGCAAGGCTGCTAACTTTCCTGAGACCTACCTTGGTAGGCTGACCCCACAAGAGAACTGGTGAGTACATGAAGTAAACTTATTCTTATTCTTTCCTTTAGTGGAACAGGCAAGGATAGTGACAGCAAATAGGAGCAGAGCAAGACTGCTTACAATAGAATTTTACAACAGAGACATTAGCTAGACAGTCACAGCTAAGGTTTGTTCTTTTCCTTCAATTTTAGAACTGGCAAGTAGCCATACTGAAAGTGTTGGTGAAAGTTTACTGACAGTTATTTCAGTAAATACAAACTAATTCCTTGTTATAATATATAAATGAGTAGGAAAATATCCGAGATAAAACCCAGTGACTTTTAAAAAAGAATTTGGGGGGGTGGGATTAGAGAAACTCAAAATAGACATATGGAAATAAATGCCAGAAGAATAAACCATTACGTTTTTAATTTTCTTAATCCAAAAGAGATGTGTTTCCTAATTTAAAATTTCTTTTTAAGTAGGGAATTATTACTGAAATAGATTCTGTATATAAGAAACTAAAATATGAACTACTCTCTGAGCTTACATAATGGGGTTAAAATTCACATTGTTTGCCCTAATTATAGAGGCCAGGAAAGGTGCTTATGAGACTTTCAACACAGCCTTTAAAGTGTTTGCATAAGGCATGAACAAACACTGCATTCATTTAACATTTCTAAGTGCAGCCTGTATCTTAACTGTCGAACAGGAATTATGGCACTCCTCTAAAAGCACAGAAAGTTTTAAGTTAAGGACTACCACCTAATGGACAGAAAAACACTATTATTTTGATAATTAACAAAGGTATGAAGCTCTAATTTTAAAAATAAGTACTTTTCCCATCAATTTATAATTACATAAATATATTACAGGCCCCTCACAGATGCACGCAAATTTTCCACTTGTCTATTCTACTTTCTGTTGTGATCAGTTCATGGAAAAAAAAAAAAATCACACAAAAATCTAAATCAAGACAAATGCAATCAAAATGCACTCATAGTCAAGTACAAGACACATACCTGTAATCCTAAGACTTGGGAGATAGAAGCAGAAGCATCAGTTCAAAGACATCTAGCTATACTTGCTATAGTCTGATGCCAGCCTGAGCGCTATCTATCTATCTATCTATCTATCTATCTATCTATCTATCTATCTAACCTATGTCTCAAAAAGAGAGACAGGAGAGAGGAAGATATTTATGTCCCCATATCCTATAAATATCAGACAACAGCAATGAAATTTTTAAAAAACCATATAAGCAGACATAAAATCATACAGAAACCACCCAATAGGAAGCTTGTATTAGTTGAGAAACTGGACATAAACTTAAACTCTTGTAGGTAGACTTTAAGGGATCATGTTGTTTAATCTCTCTTTTAACCACATTCTTTGCTTTAATCTAATGGCCAAGGGGACATGGTAGCTTGCCCAAAATGACAGCACTGTGTATAAACAGAGCCAGTGCCTCCAGGCTGTGTTTCCTACCCCTATCCCTACCCTTTGCACTACATGGCAGTGACTTGACTATATGAATGCATCAAGGTAATCTACTGAGAATAAAAATTTTACTTCTCTCAACTATTTGCTAACATGATCCAAACAAAAGTCAACAATGTTTCATGGGGGGAGAAACAAAACCAAAAATGCTTCAATGTTTTGATTCCGGCCTTTTGACTTCCCTGCCCGTGACTTTTTCCATGTTATTTAGTTGCTGGAGGGGAAAAAATGAAATTGTAGAGAGCCTAGATGAACAGTTACAAAACCCGTAGATAAACAACAGCAATCATAAAAAGATTCAAGTGAAAATAGTGCTGAAGGCATAATGTTCACAGAGAAAAGCTCTCCTGCTAGGTGTGGGGTTTTATAGCAGTCAGATTTACACAAGGGTAAACGTATTCTGCTTGGTGTACTCCACTAGATTAGTGTCCAGTCCCACAAGAAAATTTCCATAAAGGTACAAGAAAGAACAACAAAGTCTGCTATCTTCACTATTGTAGCCTTCTTCATGTCAAAATCATTTCTTTTCTAAAAATGTAAACAGTATGATTTTCAAAATTATCTTCTTACCTGGAAAAATATGATCAAGGCAATGCTACATTAAGATGCCCTTTCCAGATTGCTTGTTCTGCAGAATAAGGCAATATTTCTTATTGTGCTCATTTTTTTAAGTCTTAAAACAAGTCTTCTTTAACTGAAAATCCATTTCTTATGTATAAATCCTAAGTCTGAAACTAATAAGCATTCCTAGAGAACCAGTGTTCTCTAGTGGCTCCTGGTTTCCTGTTTGTTTGTTTTTTGTTTTTTTGGGGGTGTTTTGTTTTGTTGTTGTTTGCTTTTTTTTGTATACTCACTATGTAGACTTGGCTGGTTTAGAGTTCACTATGCAGATGAGGCTGGGAGATCCTCCTGCCTCTGCCTCCAGAATGCTGGGAACAAAGACGTGTGCTGCCACTCCTAGCCCCTACAGTGGTTCTTCAACACAATATTGCTCACAAAGGCTAACCAGAGTCAAATGTCTTAGCACTCATTATGGACTCAGGTATGCTTGACAATAAAACTCAGAAACTGCTAATTTTATGACCTCGGAAAATTTATTATGCCTCACTTGCATTATAAAATGGGAACATATCAGTAGTTATTACTATAAAGAAGCAACCCTATGCAAAGCATTGCCTTTCAGCCTCCCGTGAAACTGAATGATACCTAGCACAGGACAAACAATACGAATCAGCTACAATTATAAATCGTTACCACCATTAAGAACCATGTATATAAGGCAGGCATGGTTTAAGTTAGCTATCTGAGTTACACAGGATCAAGAAGAGCACCTACTAAAGGTGCCAGGAACCATCAAAGATCAGCTTTAGAATAGTACAGCACAGATGCTGCACAAACAGCTGATCAGACTAGGCCAAAAAGCCAAAGCCCTCACGTAATATATATAATTTCTTGCTTTTCTATATACTTTTGTGGTTCCATATTAAAAAATAGAGATAATCGTGTTTATTTTCTTACCACACAGAAAGAGAGGGGTGGAAGCATCTAGCAGTGTCTGCAAAGGCTTTGTTGTTGTTCTAAAAGGTCTTTTAAAATATTTTAAGAATCTAGCAAAATAAGGAGCATTAAATATGGGCTGAGGTGTGGCTCACTTGTCAGCACTTGCCCAACAGAAAATACACTCAATGATTATGGCAACTAGGAGGGCAGTAAGTGATACAACATGAAAATTTGGTTTTTTTGTTTGTTTGTTTGTTTTTTTAAAGTCTGTCACTTGAAACTGAAATGGCCATCTAGTCTAAATTAACTATCCAGTGTTCAATCAGCTCTAGCTCAAATCTAAGAAAAATATGAAATAATGGCCCAGGTATCACCAACAAAGATTCCAGCAGCCTTAGAACAAAAGAGAAAGTCATACATGCCTAGCTGTCCAATGTCCAAATGCAGTAACAGAAAAAATGACCTCTAAAACACCAAAGATTCCCTAGACTGACCAACCCAGCAAACCCAAGTAAACCTCATTTCTTAAGTATCAAAAGGAAGAAAGCAGCAATAGCACATGTTGTAATTCTAGAACTGAGAAGACTAAGGCAGGACAATCCAGAGTTCATCAGCCTGGGATACCAAAGGGAACAAAAATGGAGGTGGGAGGAGGGGGAAGTGGGTATGCAGCACTCTCTATGTATCTACTTCAGAAGAATCACCCTTAGTGATTCTTTCCTAAGAGTCACTATACAAAAGCCATGATATATTTATAGTCTCCAAGGTTAGTCACACATTAGATGTGTGGGAAAAGCCTATCCTTTCATGAAAACTGTTCACAGAAGAGAACTAATTACATTATAATGTTTTCAAAATTGTCATCTGATTCCTCACTGTTTATTTTTGCTTGTTAAACATTTTTCTCTTCTGGTTTACTTATTCTCAAAGCTATTGTTAATAAGGCTGAGAGGAGGGCTTAGTAGTAGAGAATTTACCTATTATGCATAAGGCTCCAGATTCCATCCCTAGTACCAGGGGTAAAGGATATTACCTAGATACATCTAGTTGGAATGTCCTTAATTGAGGGGTAGAGGTTTTTACTGATGGTTGAACCAAAGGCCTTATATATGTTACGTGGGTGTTTCACCATAGAATTCCAGCCAGGAACTCCTTACCATAGAGTTCCAGTCAAGATTTAGTATGAACCAAGAATGTGTGTGCCCCACAGCTATCCATCAATCAACCAGGACAGAAATACGTTTATATATCCATGACAGCAAAATAAAATTTATTCACAAAATTTTGAATAGACTTATTCCAAGGAATACATTAAAATTGTGTGTGGATACCTTCCCACTAAGGTGATTGTTACTAAGACTAATGACCTGAAGCCAGGCATTGCTGGCACACGCCTTTAATCCCAGCATTAGGGAGGCAGAGGCAGGTGGATCTCTGTGAGTTTGAGGTCAGCCTGATCTACAAAGCTAGTTCAGAACAGGCTCCAAAGCAATACAAAGAAACCCCATCGTGAAAAACCCAAAAAAAAAAAAAAAAAAAAAAAAAAAGACTGACAGATTGTCCTTTTTCCTTCAAAAAATGACCATGGAACACATGCACTCTCCTCCCCCCCAAACACACACACACACACACACACACACACACACACACACACACACACACACACACCCAACATATGAATGAATGAGGAAAAAAAAAAAAACTGTAAATTCCTAAAAGCTTAACAGAATTCTGGGAATCTAGATCAATGTAGATTGCTTGCTTAGCATGCCCAAGGCCCAGAGCTCTGGGTTCAATCACCTGCAACTGCAAGAAAACAAAAAATATTTGAAGACAGTCTAATACTAACTTTCCAAACCATTTATTTTAATTATTTATGTATTTAGTCTGTTTATTATATCCACAATTATCATCAAATTTTTAAAAAATGTTATTTAGAAATTATATTTAATTGACTCAATAAATACTTAATGCCTGTGTTTGTGCAGAGACAAATGTAAGTGTTAAAAACTACAAATCATAAGCTTCACCCTCCGGAATTCAATGTATCAATGTATCAAATGATATTTTTATAGTCACTCAAAGAAAGTATAAAAAATATCCTAAAATAATACATAACTAGTTAATAAATAAATCACCTGACCAGTAATTTGCCCTCTTATGTAAACACTATCTGTAAGTGAGCTGCAGAACTCATGAATATGAAACTCTTAAAGTCAGTTAAGGACTAACTACTTTACTATTGTTTCAGAAAATTGCAGACTGAGATGGACAGCAGTAATTGCAAAGTTAATGCTCCTCTCCTAAGTCAAAGATACCGGAGGATGGTCACAAAAGATGGCCACAGCACACTTCAAATGGATGGTGCTCAAAGAGGTCTTGTTTATCTTCGGGATGCGTGGGGAATCCTAATGGACATGCGTTGGCGTTGGATGATGCTGGTCTTTTCTGCTTCTTTTGTTGTCCACTGGCTTGTCTTTGCAGTATTCTGGTATGTTCTAGCTGAGATGAATGGTGATCTGGAAATAGATCACGATGCCCCACCTGAAAACCACACTATCTGTGTGAAGTACATCACCAGTTTCACAGCTGCATTCTCCTTCTCCCTGGAGACGCAACTTACAATTGGTTATGGTACCATGTTCCCCAGTGGTGACTGTCCAAGTGCAATCGCCTTACTTGCCATACAAATGCTCCTAGGCCTCATGCTAGAGGCTTTTATCACAGGTAATTATTTCTGTTTTTAAAGAAAAAAACTACAAGCCTTTTATGAAGTATATGGTTAGTTATAGGCAAAGTCTATTATAAATAATTTGTTTGTATAATTATAAGTAGGTGATGCCAAAAAAAGAAAAAAGAAAAGAAACAATCTGGGGACAAATACATAACAAATACTAGAACTACGTAAGGAAAAAAGGACCATGTCATTAACTTGCAGGAATATACTATGCAAAAATAATAACAAAAAAAAAAAACTAAAAGTAAATTCTCACAGGAGCTATTCTGCTAAGTGAGTAAGTATATTAAACACAAATTTGAATAGTCATGCTACTTAACAGAAGAATCTGACTTCTTAAATCTTCTTTCTTATGGTAGGATTTTCTCCTCTGACATCATCTACTCAATATGTACCCAACACAAGTAAGCCCATAGCAACATATTCAGCACCATGTTTTAAAGTCATAGATACACATAAAATGCAATCAGAATATGGCCATAAGCATTTGCCTATGTCTGGTAACATACAAGGTTCCTCCCTCTAATGCTGGGTCTTTTTATATAACATATACTTTTTTTTTTTTTAAAGCACACTAACAGAATAGATAAACACTAAGCATCATGAACGATGACCCACTGTGCTACCAAATGGCTCTACATCTTGTAACACATCACTTAACTTCTATAAGAATGTTTACATTAGCTCCATTCTTAGACATATTAAGACAGCCTGTGTATTTAGATGAGAAAAATGTTTAAATTTTTGCACTAACCCCTAACTAAATTTGCCATTTCCTACGATTATGAAGTTATACACAAATATATATGTATGAATATTAAATAATATAGATTAATAAATAGATGGATAGATGATGGATAGGTAGATAGGTGGATGGATAACCCCACACTCCCAGTAACTTTGGTATAAACAGAATCAGGTATTTAAAGTCAACTACAATACTTAAGAATTACAGTATAACCCACTGCTAGGTTTTGTTAATGCATTGATATAGCATATGTAATACTATATTTTCCAAATGAGCTACAGAAATAGCACAGTGATTAAGAGCACCTGTTGCTCTTTTACAGAGGACCTAGGCTCAGTTCTCAGAACACATGTGGCAGCTTACAACATTGCCTTCTTCTGGCCTCCACAGGCACTAGGCACACATATGGTGAACAAATACAATATATGCAAGCAAATCACTCATTTGCATAAAGTAAGTTATATATACATATATAAATCATATACTCATATATGTGTATATACATATATTATAAGGATTGCATATATCTTACCAGACTGCCAACAGGCTCTGTGGCTCAAGCATGGTTAGAAACCCCACTTGTAGAGCTATGGGTGGTACACAAGGAGTGTGTACTTAAAAGATACACTGAATCACCTGATATAGCCACCTTCCCCAAACTCATCCTTATAGAAGTTTCAAAGTTAAACGTTCTTTAATGCATCACCCCTTCTTCTAGCCCTCTCCTAACTTCCTTCTCTGAATCTACTCTTTAAGTTGTACAATTGTAACCACACTGAATTTATTTTCCATTACGTTTTTTAAAGTAAGCATGAATATAGAAAATGATCAATTCTTGATCTTTGTAACTTACAAGATAAACTTACATTTCTTCATAACAAATCAATTTTTTCTTACAGCCATTTTGAAATCTTGGGGTTTTTGTTGGTTCTTAACAGAAATATTACATATACTCTGAAAATTTTAGTTAGGTAAGATTACCTGAAATTAACAATGGTATAAATTCCTTACTCAGTGGAATGAGTAAGAAATCAGTAATTACTTGACATACTCTTCCCATTCAGAAAAAGTATTGAGATTTAAAGTTTTCTATTCTTGGAAAAAAAAAAAAAAAAAACATTTCAATGGTTTTTAATTTAGGTGCCTTTGTGGCGAAGATTGCACGGCCAAAAAATAGAGCTTTCTCAATTCGCTTCACTGACTTAGCAGTAGTAGCTCACAAAGATGGCAAACCTAATCTTATCTTCCAAGTGGCCAACACCCGGCCCAGCCCTCTAACCAGTGTTCGGGTCTCAGCTGTGCTCTACCAGGAAAGAGAAAATGGTGAACTCCACCAGACCAGTGTGGACTTCCACCTTGATGGGATCAATTCTGAGGAATGTCCATTCTTCATCTTCCCGCTAACCTACTACCATACCATCACACCATCAAGTCCTCTAGCTACCCTGCTCCAGCATGAGAATCCTCCAAACTTTGAACTGGTTGTGTTCCTCTCAGCAATGCAAGAAGGCACTGGAGAAATCTGCCAAAGGAGGACATCCTACCTACCCTCCGAGATCATGTTACATCACCATTTTGCAGCTCTGATAACTCGAGGTTCCAAAGGTGAGTATCAAGTCAAGATGGAGAATTTTGACAAGACTGTTCCTGAACACCCAACTCCTGTGGTCTCTAAGAGTCCACACAGGACTGACCTAGATATTCATATCAATGGACAAAGCATTGATAATTTTCAGATCTCTGAAACAGGGCTGACAGAATAAGACTCACGCACACCATCCCACTTCTTAATATATTAAATATATCCAGCCAGTTATGCAGCTATTTTCCTTCACTGTATCTCATGTTTCCTTTTTCTCGATGCTGATTACATCATGTCTATGCCCACAAAAAAAAAAAAAGGCTAATTTAACTATATACATCCCTGAAAACAAAAAGGTTTATACTATCAAGTTTATAACAGTGGTAATCTGCTCAAATCAAGGCAACTCAATCTTATAGCATGGTATCAATAACAAGGATAAAATGGTCAGTGAAGGCTAATCCAGCTGAACTCTAAGGAAATCAGCTCTCATTTTCATCTGTAAACTGAAGCAACAGACTAGTTTCAAACCTAGCTCCCTGGGTAGAAAGCTGATTTCACAATATTTAGTGAACCTCCTTTTACAACTTTTATTTTTTCAAGACAGCAAGCATCATTCCTTTGATTCTTTAAGCTACAAAACTAGGATATTATCTCCCCAATTTTTAACAGCTAGGAGCAAAAATAGAAAAGTAACAATATAGATAACCACAAAAGCGTTTGAATACAACACCCAACCACACATACGTATGTTCATGTATTTGTGCAAAATATTCTGAACAAGTAAGAAAAGCTCTGGCACAGACAAAACTTGCAGGGTGGTATTTCTGGCAAAATATTGCAAAGCTGTATGTTTCTACTATCTTAAATTCGTATTTGCATAATACTCAAGTAGTGAACTGAAAGCTGATCGCCTCCTCATCTGAGCTGTCCCCCACACCCTGAGTAAAAGCAGTGTCTTTAGACTCATGACATAACTTCCTAAATACACATATGTACTAAGTTTTTATGGATACAAAAGTTTAATACATAAGATATAACTCAACTGGGGAAAAAAAAAATCTCCAATAGACAAAGCAGAAAATTAGGTAACAAAGTATTTTCAAACCCAAATTCCTGTTTCCAACATCAAATAGTTTTTTCTATAAACACAAAACGAGTGTTTATTCACCAGTAGGAGGCTGGACTAGATGATCTCTATTATTTCTTTCCAAGTCTAATATTCCATGAAAATTATGCTTTCTCTGCCTGTTTTTATTTTATATATACTAAGATGAATGCTTTTTTTAAATCCAGCTTAATTATTTAAATAATTTTCATTTCAATTAAAAAATTGAGCTGTCCTCCAGCCAAAAAAAAAAAGATACTATCAGGTTTCAAAGAGATCTTCTGTAACTGCCCTCCTCCTCTTCCATTTCCCTTATTTGGGATTAAGTGGGAAAAGTACAAGATTAACTTTCACTGTGGTGGATACCCAGGCAGGATGATCTTGAAATACATACCAAGTAATAGTAATGTTACAGAGAACAGCAAGTCACATTTTTCTACTCTCTGACAGAAGGAAAAGAAATAAAGAACAACTCTGGAGTGCTCTAAGACTGATAATAGCAAAAGACTAGTAACACAGAAACTATTTTTTTTTTTTTTAATGAAGTTTTGCTGTTTAAACATTGCAGGCATATACTGTGCCATGGCAGGCAGACCAACTTAATACTGCTGATAAAGACAGCAAAAATACCTATTAACAAAATTAACCTGACCAGCAAGACACTACATCACTTACAGATTTCAAGTTTATCAATCTGCCTGAGGGGACAGTGTATACATTAAGACACTTGAAACCCAAATCTCCCTACAGACGTTTCATGTTCCCCAATTAAGTCAGATAATATCATTTCATAGTTACTAGTCAGACAAAATCTGATTATCTGAAAATTGACTTCCTCACCACACATCTAAAGTTTTTGTTGGTAGGGGTTGGAGAGAGCTATATGGTTCTTGCAGAGGACCTTAGTCTGATTCCCAGCAAGCACATGGCAGTGCATAACCATCTCTTTAACTGCAGTTTCAAGAGATCTGAGGCCCTCTTCTGGCCTCCCCAGGTACTAGGCGCACACACACAGTGCACAGACATTCATGCAGACAAAACACTCACATACATAAAAATAATTTACGAGAAATGTAATTCAAAATCAATGTTCAGGGACCAGAAATATTCTGGGAGCATTGTCCATAATTCATTTATTTCAAAGAATCATGCTCCTAGAATTAATTTTTCTGCAAAGAGACCATAATCCCCTCAGAAATATGGAATATAAGTGGAAGAAGAGAAGAAATCACTGGGAACTCACATACTCAACAACGAAGACACTTAACAGCCAAGTAAAGTTACTCTTGGAAACCAGTAAGAAAGCATGACAGTCTTAAAAAACTGAAGACAAGCAGTTACCACAAATCTTCAACTTAGATTTATTCTTGAAAAATATATACTACTAGCTGCCGGGGGGTATAGAACCCCCCCCCCCAAAAAAAAAAAAACATTGCCTATCTCCAAGTACCTCACACCAAAAAGCATAGTATATCTTGCAATTCAACCTGACAAGTATCCATGTTGGTGGATTTACAAAGTATACTGTACTGTTTTCAGATCTTCACATAAAAACGCATAATGTATCATACTTGGCTGAGCATACTGATGTCATGAGGATCATTTATTTTTTAATGATAATTTTCATTTCACTCTCACAGAAGCATACTACAAGATGATCACAGAAACTATGATCACAGGAACTAATCTCTCCTGTACAGCAATCATTTCCTATTACATGGGACTTACAAATCTGATGTTACAGCCTTTTTCCACCTAATCTATTCTCCCATGGATACTCACAGGGGTAAGCCATGATTCTTACCCAGATGTTTGTAATTCGTGCATGTGCTAGGTCTGTAGCTCAGTGACAGAGCACTTTCCTAGTCTTCGGAAGACCCTGGGGTTTGATCCCTGGCATCAAAATAAATAATTTAAAGCAAGTATGTAGTATGACCCTTCTCTAATTTTAAAAGGAACAAGCAGAGGCTGGGAGGTGGCTCAGTGGGTAAAAACACCTGCAATATAAGCACACAAACCTGAGTTTAAAACCTAGAATCCATATTAGAAAAAAGCAAGAGATGTCTGTCTCCATGTACCTGTAACTCCAGAACCAGGAATGGGAGGGGACAGGACAAGCAGATTCTAGGAACTTTCTAGCTAGCCCACCTAACCAAAACAGCTTCAGGCTCAGTGACAGACTCTTAAGGGAGAAAGCAACAGAGAAATCACATCTATCTTTGACCTCCGCACACATGTCTATGGGAATAGGCACAGAGAGGTTCACATATAGAACTCACACACACACAAAAATAATAATTCCCAAATAAAAAGAACAAGTCATTTTGGTACCTTTAATAATTAAAGTATCTAAATTATATGTCATGAGACATCTCACAATTAATCAATATATCAGTTTGTCTCACAGATTAGTACTGCTCTCCCCAGAGGGTGCTGTAATTATTAACAAAGTCTAATCTATTTCACAATCAAATGGCAATTACTCACAAAACCAGAAAGATCAGAATCCTGAACAGCTAACCTGAACTCATCACCTTACCAAGATGTGTGTGAACCACTGTGCTACACTCTAGCACGTGTGCACTCAGCACACAGCCCTCCTTAACCAGGTGTCTCTTACATTTCACCTCTCTATTTTTATGGTTCACCTTTTCTTTTTTGTTGATGTTGTTGACTTGTGGGGGAGGGGAACCTTTTTAGATCAGGCTAGCACTGGACTTAAGTGATCTGCTAGCCTCTTTCTCCCCAAGAGCTATGATTAAACTCCTCAACACTAAGCCTAATTGGGATTCACCTTATCAAAGGCACGCATAAAACACAAAATACCTTTATTGCTTAAAATAGAGGCTGGTTAGGAAAATTAATTAGATTCATATAATAACTACAAATAATGATGACAATGAAGTTTTACTCATCCATTCCTGACACTAATAAAAATTCAAGCTATACTTGAGCTGCATATGGTGGCACACACCTTTAATTCCAGCACTTAGGCAGAGGCATATGGATCTAGGTTTGAAACTAGCCTTATCTACATAGTAAGTTCCAGGTCAGCCAGGAAAACTAGTGAAACTCTGCCTTTTAAAAAAAAAAAAAAAAAGATAATCTCACTAAGAGAACTCACTACTTCCCCAAAGCACCCAACAATTTCAGAAACTGTTAGATCATTTTAACAAAGTGTTTAACGCCTGCTTCCACTATTCAGACTTTGAAATTCAAGCAGGTCAAGTTCTATTTCTCTGTGAGCCAGTATTTGTAGTGACCCTACAAATCCTTCTCCAAGTTCTGTCCTGCCCACAGTCTCATCTCCTAGTCGAACAACCAATTTACTTGATGAGGTTATCAACACAAGGCTTCAAGTGCTTTGGCCTCCAACTGCAAGTCATGATCCTTTTCTTTGACAAATCTTAGGGTTTCTCATAAAAACAAAAGATTGATGGAGTTGGTTGTTTGCTGGAGACATAAATCACTTGCTGCTCTTACAGCAAAGCAGAGTTTCCCAGCACCCACATAGGTGACTTCAAATTGCCTGCAACTCCATCTCTCTCAGATCTGACATGCTCTTCCGGCCTCTACAGGAGGGCGCGCGCGTGCGCGCGCGCACACGCACACACACACACACACACACACGTAAAAAAGATGTGAAAGTAATAAAAGCAATGAGCTTTCCATCTTCTGGCTCACTGAGGGTAATTTAGACCTAGTAAATACTGTCCTGACCTATAAGGACACTGCTAATTAACATGAAGCTGAGGGCATCTAAAAGATGCCTGAGTCTTGCCACAAGAGTCTACTCCATATTATAATTCTGTAGTTTACTTACATAAGACTGCATTTTCTGCTGTTAAATTTATATTTCATTAGATTTGGCTTTTTGTTACCCCTTAATTTTGATCTGAAGTTCAAAATTTCCTACTCCACAGACTACTTCCCTGAGCATTCATTTACAATTCTGACCAGGGATTAACAACATCCTCCAAAGAAAACATTTAGCACCTGCACAAGGCCCATGACTCAATTAGGAATTCAATGTTGAATGAATAAATGAGTTCAAATACTCTAAAGATATTATCTTCTGATTTTACTTTGAGAATAAGGAATCTAAGAGCTTAGAATAAACATGGCCTTCTGATTTCAAATCCTGTACTACTCTTCATCACATCTCCACAATCAAGATCAAAAGTGCTGTGTCAGGGCCTGAAGAGAGGGTTCAGCAGTTAATACTGCTTGCTGTTCTTCCAAAGGTCCTGAGATCAGTTCCCAGCACCAATACAGAGTGGCTCACAACCACCTATAACTCAAGGTCTAAGGTCCAAGGAACCCTGAGCACCTGCACACACATACAATATACACACAGAGAGAGACATATACACATAAAAATGTTTTCAAAGTACTAAGTCAGAAAAAGATGGGAACAAAGGTTCTACCAAATCTCTTCAGACAGCATTCACAAAATGGTTTATAAGATGGGTGAAGCATGACAATAAATTACCTAGTTAAACCTATATTTTCAGCATGCTACACTCATTTAATGTCATTGCATTAATGAGAACCAAGAATTCCCAATGCCATGTTAATGAATAAACTAAATTACAAATATGTTTAGGTGAATTTTACATGGAAGCAATGAAATGAAACTGATTGTCTTAACTTCCGTGTTTACAAACCATTCTCATTCAATTCAGTCTATGAACAGTATAGAGTGAACATGTTTATGAGAAATATTGATCACTATCAAATACAATCATACTCTATAGAACATTTTTGGCATTTGAAGGAATATAGAAACTGAAAATTTTCAAGTATGTACTGATACTGTGAACTGGTGCTTTTTTTCACTAAACATTAATGCAGACCACTAATTTATCAGTCAGAAAACCCATCGTAACATTACAAATCAACTGAATCATCATAAACACTAAGTCAACTTTTCTTAAGTTCCTCTTGGGTAGATACCTTTACAATGTAATTTATTTGGTTGCTGACATCTCACAATTAAAACAACAAAAACAAAAACATGCTGAGTAGAAAAGGCTAGGCCAACAAGATGGATTGCAGGTAAAGGTACTGCTGTGTCTGAGCTCCAGAACCCACATGAAGGGAGGACAGAACCAACCACACAACCATTTGTGCAGTGTGGTATATGTTCCCCCAGCCCCACATATACATAGTATGCCATACATACACAATAAAAGAAAACAGTCCAATAGTTGATTAAAGTAAGAATACTCTATTTTAGCCTTTGCCTTCTTACACAAAAGCCACAGTTCCAGCCACTTCCCCGTTCTCACCCAAGAGATACTCTCTATGTTAATAAGGAATAATCTGATTTAGAATTCAGTCCAACAAGATGTCATATGGAAAACATATGCCTTGCAGAAAACACATAACCCTAAAATATCAAATCAAGTAAATCTTAATAGTTATATTTATTACTCTTGGTTTCACCCATGGAAGGCCTTAAGATCCACAAGACTCTTAACAGTGTTACAGCTCCATCTACTGGCTCTGTGCAGATAACAGTTAATCTGCACTAAGTTTATCCTTCAATATGGGCCTTGTTAAGCATTAATAACAGGAAAGTCCAGGATATAGTTCAAAACAGTAGGAACCTTACCTACATCTTTTCTTCCTGGCTTTTCAAAGCGCCTGTCACCCCTAAAAAGACAAAAATAAATTTCAAAAAGGGCTTGGAAAACCACCCCTAAAAAGACAAAAATAAATTTCAAAAAGGACTCAGAAAGCAAATAGATTTCCTATCATGATAACCACTTTCCTATACTCCCTTTAATAGCATTTCTGACACCTAATATTTAGAAAATACAGAAAAGTATAATGATAAAAAAAAAAAAACTCCACCACACACCACCTATGAAAAATTAGCTTCTAATGACTTGAATATTATTCATTTTAGTTAGAAACATGACAGGCTATTTATTTTACATACTACATTGGCAATGTTTTTCTACATCATTCAATTTCCTTTATTTGTGGTCCTGAATACTAAATCGAGAGCCTCTGGGTGCTGGGTAAGACAGTTATCACTGTTATAACCCTAACTCTCTGTCCTTATTATGATATCAGGGTTCACTTTTAACTTTAATGATTATATGATATTACATATATTATTTCATTATGTAATGGCACCATCATCTGTTTGGGATGCTTCCATTTTTCATAAAATAAATACTACAATGGCTATTCCTTTACATCCAGTATTTTGCAACCACCCTCTTTTATCTTGCCAGACTTTGTACAAAATCAAAAACCCTAAGAAGATGCGTTTCTTCATACCAACAAAATGATTGCTAGTCAAATTATCCATACTTACACTAATGTATTCATCTAGTCAAGCTTTTAGCTTTAAACAAGGATCATCTAAAACTTTCTAACCATGATGGCTTTTTAATAATTAATATTTTTAAATGAAGTTCTTAACGGTGCACAGAGGCTTCAGCTCTGTAAAGCAAAAATGGGTAAGTTCTGTGTTTTCAGATTGTTCCTTCTTTTGGGGGGGAGGGTGGAGAGAAGACAGGTTTCCCACCCAATTTTTGTAATTCTCTAGATCTCACTTTGTACCCCATTTTGGCCTGGAATTCATTATTCTTTTCTGCCTTAGCTCCCAAGTGCTGGAATCACAGGAACATGCAACCCTGTACTGGTCACATAAGGAACATGGTGTGCTTTGTTTTGTTTGGAGTACTGAAGGATGAACCTCCCCAGAGAGCTAACACTGAGTGATAATCCTAGCCCTTCTTTCTATTTGTATATTGAGTCAGGAGTTTGCTAAATTGTGCAGGATTTCCTGAACTCCGGAATCTCCTCCCTCAGCCTGCCAAGTAATGGCATTGCAGGAAAGTATAATGGAATCCCGCTGGAGGGAGTTTTATAGACCAACAAATCTTTATATTATAATCTGAACATTTTAGTTACCTTTCTTCCCAGCTCTGTGATCTATGCATTTCCCTGCCACCTCCTCGCCCGAACACACCCTCTACTTCATCAAAACTTCTTTGGTAGAAACCACATTCACCTCTACCTCTGCCTGAAAATAAGAAAACAGGGAGAGGGGAAATAGTCAGAAATGGACAGCCAGCACATGTTTAACATCAAAGGTTAATTTCTGTGAAGTTCTGCCATCCCTGTACAAAGCAGGGTGTCTCTTTAGCAAGGGCTATAATGTCTCTGATGTAGCTGAACTATGGGTTAAAAACAAAACAAAACCAAGAAACAAAATACTACTGAAAGAATCCCAGTGCTGAACAATAAACAGCATCAACATGAAGCTCTTCAATGAAAAGGTCAACAGTGTAAATCTAAGTTCAATAAACCATTATAAACTGAATATTTTAGTGAATTATTTTCAATAACTACTGGGAAAAACTTAATATGGAGAGAAGCTATAGTGGAAAATACCAAGAACAATAAAACTTTTATCTCATCCCAGAAAAGTAGTAGGAATGAACTATACAGTTTTAGGATTGTGAAATGGGTCCTTACAGGATAAAAGGCATTCTTCATACTTGACTCAAATATTGAGATAAGGAAAATAGCAACACTAAAATCAAACCACAGGTGATTGTGTCGGAACTTAGAGGCTTTGCAATTCAAATATAAACACACATCTAATGAAGGGCATTTGGTTAACTATCAACCTGGGACTCAGAATTTATCCCAGCAGAAATACCTCTGCAGAGACACAGTGTGGTAGAGCATATATAATCTTAGCACTCAGGGGGCCGAAACAGAGGATCAAAAGTTCAAAGCTAGCCTGCACTGCATCAAGAATGACTCAAAAAGTCTGGGAAAGATGGAAAGGACACAAAGGGAAAAGGGAAGGGGAAAGAGGAAAACAGAAAAGAGGAGAGAAGCATGATGGAATGTAAATCATCACACACAGCACATAGTTTCAATTAGTGATAGACTATTTACTGGAACCAGATTCAATCAGATTATAATGGAGCTGAAAACTATACAGTAACTAGAGATGTCTTGTGTTACTCAAGTATTTGTGGTGATACCAGTCTAAAGAAATCCACTGCACCAACAGTCACATAAAAACATGGTGTAGTTGACAACATACAGTATAAAGTATGTGACAGTGACGATAAATGGCTGTTACTGATTTGTGGATTTATAACACTATACAATATTTTCAAGTGTACTTCTTATTTTGAATTTACTGTAAAGCAATATCCCATTAGCAACATTAATCCTGTAATCATTGTCTCTTAATTATATCAAGAGACCAAGCCAGGTGACTAACCAGACCACCTAAACGGCTATAAATGATAATGCTCACACATCAATGAATATGAAATCATCCAAAGAGGCATTTATGATCCTGTATCTTGTTAAATAAGGCATGGCTACATATGTATATGAAACACTTCAATTTCAAAACACTAGAAACAAACTAATAATGTTTGGCTAAATAAATTCTGATAAGTTGGACAGTGTTGCCACACGCCTTTCATCCCAGCACTCAGGAGGCAGATACAGGTGGATCTCTGTGAGCTCCAAGGCCAGCCCGGTCTAACAGAGCAAATTCCAGGACAGACTCCAAAGCTACAGAGAAATCCAGTCTTGAATGCCCCCCCCCAATAAACTCTGATAAAATATCCTAGAACAATATAAAGCTACAGAATAAGGCACTGGTATAAATTCAAAACTTTGCTCCTGAATGACAAAAGCATACTCAAGAACAATACATATGTATGTAAAGTATTTGCCCACATCCACACTGTTGCACAGCTAACAGTCAAGGATACACATGCCAAGTGCCAGGTATGAGCAAGCAAGCAGTGTGCACTTTCAGTTGTACACATCCTGTACAGTGAAAAAACTGGAGGCAGCCTAGGAGCCCCAGGTCTTTTTACAACTAAAAACACCTTAGCAACTGTACCTAGCCTAATTTTTCCCACAAAGCAAAATGAGCAGAAGAAAGTGAGGTATATGGTACTGGGTAACAAATCCAGCACATTGCAAATGCTAGCCAAAGGCTCTACCACAAAAATACATCCCCTCCCCCCAAAATAATAGACTCTAAATAATGAAGCAAATCACTTCAACATCCATATATTTCTTTTACTTGTTCATCATAATCTATCAGGAACTGACTCAGATCACAGCTACACTTCTGTGACTCTTACAAAATATTAAAACACTGCAGAACTGTATGGGGGTAATGTTAGGAAAAACGAATATTCTCTTGACTAGTCTAAGTATCATTTTGTCTAATAAAACAGAAGTGAAAAACCAACTATAACAATCTCAAAATTCTCTCTTTCAGTTTCATCAATGTCACTTTAAGTCAACCTAAAATCAACTTCAAGTTTAAGCACCTTCCCCTCTAACACAAGAATATTCCTGTACAATAGTGATTTTAGGATGAAGAAAAAAGGCCTCTCTCCTTTTCAAGAATAATTCTGTCAGGGCTGGAAAAATGGCCAAGCAGTTAACAGCTCGTGAGTGGACCGAGTTCAGCTTCCAGCACCCACACTGCCTGGCTCATAACTGTTTAATTACAACTACAAAAGAACCAGAGCCCTCTTCTTGCCTCTGAGAGCACCAACTACACATTCCCTTATAGACACAAAGACATTTATGTAATTTTTTAAAATAGTCCCCCCCCACCCCCAGAGACAGGATTTCTCTGTGTAAAAGTCCTTCCTGGCTGTCCTGGAACTAGCTCTGTAGACCAGTATTTTAAAAAATAATAATTTTTCTCACCAAGTGGTGGTGGTGGACAACTTGAATCCCAACATTTGGAAGACAGAGGCAGGCAGATAGATCTCTCTGAATTCAAGGACAACCTGGTCTATAAAGCGAGTTCCAGGACAGCCAAGGCTACACAGAGAAACCCTCCTGTCTTTTAAAAGACTGAAACTTTAGTCTTGAAATAGATTTAAAAAAAAAAAAAATCAATGAAAACATACATAAATATGCCCTGCATCTGTGACTGGCCCTAATCCTGCTCATGTGACTAAGCTTTTCTAATTAGAAAGAGATCTGATGTTAGAGCTCCAACTTGTCACATTTAAGTCATCTGTAAATATAAATCCCATACACAAGAACAAGCAGGAAAACACAGTGACCAACGTTTTAAACTTTAAGGGCTGCCCTATTACCTAAGATTTCACCCAAATCTTTTTAAGAATTAAAATATGCTTCCATCTAACAATGTTAATGATGCAGGTGACAGTTTATGAATTTTTAAAGCATCCAGACTAGAATTTTAAAAAATTGACAATGTTACATTGTTTCCACTAACCATTTGTTCATTTAAATTTTACTAGGTCAGAAGTAAAATTTACTAAGTCTAGAAGTCAGCAGATGTGCATATGAGTTTTTTCTTGAGTTGGAAAGAGATACTACCTACAATCAAAAGAAAATCCAGTTATCATTAACAAGAAAGTTGAAATTAAGTGAAAATACAAAGACACAAGCATCACAGACCATTGTGACCATAGCATTACAAGTATTTTCACAAAGCTGAGTGTATTCATATAATTAATTCTATACCCTTCAATATTAGCATGTTAATTTACTACTTGTGTGTCTCAGCATATATATAGTTTATATGGGGTCTTGTGTAAGCAATGATTGTAAAGAAAAACTTCAAAGAAACAAAACAGGAAAACTCATCAATACTTACTTCACTTGTTTCTATTTGTGTGGGGGGGGAGGGATCACTTTGGTTGTTGCTGTAGGATTATCTAATGTAGCTCAGGCTAGCCATAAACTCTCAGTATGACTGAACTCCTGACCCTCCTGACAACACCCTCCAAGTGCTGGGATTACAGGGAAGCATTACCACACCCGGGTTTTGCTCCTTTCTTAATATGTGAGGTTTTTCTAAGGCCTACAGAGACCAGGTGGAGTATGTGTGTGGTCTGTACTCTTGATTAGGGAAATTTTTCTCTGGCTTGACCTGAAGAGCACAGGAGGGAAAGCTGCCAGAATGAAACCTCTTCTCACTTCATCCCACAGGAGAAAAGCATGGGAAATGCCCATGGGGAGGCCAGAAACATAATCAGTCAGTTCCATCTCCAAATATCACCATATACCAATATCCCAGACAGATCCCAGACAATGATGATGTGGGCACAACTTGGGAAATAGACATGTCTAGCTCTAATCACCTCAATGTCTGTGCAATGATGTTTCTTATTAAGTTCTAGTTTCTTATTAAGTTCTACAGATGAGTCTAACAAAAATACTCAGGTTAAAAAGTACTATTCCAGACAAAGACAAATTACAAACAAAAATTGTACCTAGTTGGGGGGGGGGGGGGGGAAATGAAAGTTTTAGCCTCTTCATCATTCACAAATCAGAATAGAAGTCACCTTCTAAATGAAACAATACATCCTCCATTTTTTATATTTAAAAAAACTGTATAAGTTATCCACAATGTATACATAATGTTCAAAATTTTTGAAATAAATAAAATTGAAAAAGAAATGTAGGTATTCCACATCCATAATGTGAAGGCAATGAATGGCCTTGGTCATTGCTGACACCCAGTTACACTTCTAAAGCATCTCTTAGAGAAAACTTACAACAAATGTTTGGACTAATGTTATGATTCTACCCACATAGGGTTTCATGCTGAAGGAATAACGATTTTAACAGAAAAAACAATGAATGCAAAATAGGGAATGAAAAAGAATAACAAATCAGCAACTTTCTAAGAAAAAAACATAAGTGCATAAAACTACACATTATGCCAGGGGAACGCTGCCTGTTTATATTTTGCTCTGACCACTAGGAAGTCTAGCCCCTAAAAGGTATCTAGGTGTTTCTCACTAAATTTCTCTTGGCTATGATAATATCTGCACATGATCTTTGTAAAGAAATGCGATATTGCATGGAGGAGGCTCTAGCCACCAAACCCCTTCAGGATGCTCTAGGTCCCAAAATACAAAGCTCCAGGGAAGAAGAATGTGAGCAATAAGAATGTGCTCTTTAGAAGTTAACTAGGACTATCTAGACTTCCTTCTGCTTCAACTTATACAATTAGAAACACATTCCTCCAAAACAGGAACTGCAGGAAAGGCATTTCAGAAAGGTTGCAGAAAAAAAATGTTCAGGCATTTACAGTCAACATCAAAGAGCGGTTGGTTTGATTTTCAATCAGGCATTAAAGTATTTAGTGATTTCCCTAGCCTCCTCCTCTTCCATGATTATTTTGTTCACATAGCTCACCTCGCCCTCTTGAAGAACTTCGACCTCTAGGAGCCCCCACCACTGTTCCTCCTCCTCCTCGTCCTGTCAATCGCAGGACAGCGGCACTATTTACAGACATGGAAAAGTTTCTCTGCCAAAAAATAAAAATAAAAATAAAGAAAAATAAAAATGGATAAAACACACAAAGCTACATATCGTTTCTTCCCACCTCCCACTGCACCTATAAAATATAGTGGTATCTAATTACTATAAGCAATGAGAAGCTATAACTTCATAGCATATAAAGATCATTCAAATCTAGTTACCTAACAATTTCTTTCTGTCTGTCTTCGAGACAGAGTCTCACTATGTAGTCCTGGCTGCCCTAGAATTTGCTATATAGACCAGGCTAGCCTTACCAGAATTTCAAATAGACCTTTCAGATCAGCAAAGTTGACAGCAAATTTGATATCAATGCCTTACACAAGGGAGTTTGTTGAGGAAATACTATACAAGAAAACAAACTAAAAGTGTTCTACATACCCAAATGCAGACAAAATAAACAGGCAGCAGGGAAAGTTTTGTAAAAGCAGTCTAGGTTAAACTGGCACTTTTAAGAGTGACCATTCTAACTGTACAGAAATTCACTGAGATGCATGGAGTTTGGGATTGGGCAAATGCCTATGTGGCTATTAAAATCTAACTATGTGGTGTTTCTATGAGTTCATTATAATAATAAAAGTGATTACATTTCATTTTTTTAAAATGGTACTTAAAAATCTCTTCACTTATGAGGAGAAAAGACAATCATTAGAAGGTCTAAAGCAAAGGGAACATGGTAAAAAGGAAAGATGCCTTTTCTGCCTGAATATACTCAACAACGTGGAATAGCAACTCCAAGTAGTAATTGCTAGAGTGACAGAAATCAGAAGTGAATGGAAAAGAATCAAGTAAAAATCTGTATGAGGATAATCACCTGACATACAGGTGTGCGTGCATCTGTCAATCACGTGAATAATGTGTGCTTAGGTGTGCTTGAGTGTGTATGTGATCACTATCATATAGGTACAAACCTACACTTGTACCCAGAGCCAATCTGGAATATAATCAAGTACAATTAGAATAGGAAGTGAGTATCCATGAGAAAGGGAAGACAGGAAGTTAAAAATGAGTCTACACCTGAATAAATGAAATAAAGGAAGTTTAGGTCACAAGAAATATTACAAGTCTTAATGAACTAAAAAACAGAAAATCCTGGACTTTTAACAGAAAGTTCTGCAAAAGGGTTTAAACAAGATTACTGCAACAGATTAAATGATCTTGTACACCCAGAATCTAGTACCCATTTGCATGGGTGTGACACGAGGACATGAACCATAGATATTGATGGAGTCAGCAGCCCAACTTGCAAGGGAATTAATGTGAACTTTAGGTTGGGTAAGACAGTGCATGCCAATAATTCCAGTGCTCAGGAGGCTAGGGTCTCCAGGCTGAGGCCTGCATAGGTTACTGTAAGTTTCAGGTCAGTTTGATCAACTTGGTAAGATCCTATCTCGAAGGAGGTGAGGGAGCTGGAAACATTTGTCAGTTTCATAGTGTTTATAGTCACCATGCATAAGCCCAGTACCATCCAAAACAAAAGTGTATAGATGAAAAAATTTCTGAAACTCAACTCCACTTCAGTTCTCAGTATCCTTAAATTCCCAATCAACTAAAATGACATCTACACTCTTTTGAAGAATATTCAATTGATTAAAATTATTTATAATTATTGAATTTTTAATATGTGCATCATTTTCTCCTCAAGGCTTATCTTTCTCTCAATTTTGTTCACTGTGATTTGTTCATGTAACTTTTAGAAATTATCCATGTAAACATAGTTTTCTTTGATCATGTAGTCAGGTAACTTCAAAACTGAAAACCTAACAATAAAATTGAAAACAGAAGTTAAGAGGAAATATCTAACTCAAGAACCATCAATTTCAAACTATATTTTAGTAATATTTAATAAACTGAGGTTAAAACATACACATTAACTTACCTTTTGTTAAGAATTAATCAGTGAACTACTAAATACACCTCTTGGCATTACTAAAATTAAACAAGTCTACAAAGTCCCAAAATCTCAATTAATGTATTACAATACTAAGGGGGGTGAGGGGAATCAAGGCTGGAGAGATGCTCAGAGGTTAAGAGCACAGGCTGCTCTTGGCAGAGGACCCAGGCTTGGGTACCAGAACCCACATGGCATTCACCAGCAGTTTCAGAGGATCAAGTGCCCTCTTCTGACCTATGTAGGCACTAGGCATACACATGATGCACAGACATACATGCAAGCAAAACACACATATAAGTAAAATAATATTTTCTAAAAACAAAGACCAGTGCTAACTGCATTTTATATACCAGGGCCCCATGTAATACATACATAATGCCAAATATATCATTAATAAAAATAGAGAAACACATGTACTTTCATATATTACTGCCCAAGTACAAACTAGTTTAATCTCTTTAACAAGCAAATTCTCAAAATATACTTAAATTTCACATAACACAAAAATGCTACTACTTATATATGTAAAAATTAATGTAAGTAAATAGATCACTAAATCGGTACTGTTTATAAAAGCAAAACATGAAAGCTACCTAAACATTAACCAATAATGGCTAATTTAAAGAGCGAGAAGACTTCCAAGTCTTCTCTGCTATGTTCTAAAGGATGAGGCATTTCTTAATTTAAACTGTATTTCAAGAAAAGTCAACATTCACTCATTTCCTCATTTCTAGTAGCTGATTCATTGTTAACAGTTTTAAAACAGTATTTGTTAAATAATCTTTAATTTTTCACAATGATTCATGTAGCCAATTACTGCACTCTGATTTCTTAAGAAATGTTATGGAGCAAGGAGTAGTATCACACACCTTTAATCCAAGGACTCAGGAGGCTGAGGAAGGTAGATCACTGAGTTCGAGGCCAGTCTGGTCTATAGAATGAGTTCCAGAGCAACAAAGGCTACACAGAGAGAGAGAGACAGACAGACAGAGAGAGAGAGAGAGAGAGAGAGAGAGAGAGAGAGAGAGAGAGAGACAGAGAGAGACAGAGAGAGAGAGACAGACAGAGAGAGGGGGGAGGGAGGGAGGGGAGGGGGGGGGAGGGGAGGGGGAGGGAGGGAGGAATGGGGAGGAGGGGTTAATTAATTTTATGGGATGTTTCCTAACTCATTCTTTGAGTCACAGTCCAGCATTTCTTTTAAAGCTTTTCTGGCCAGTGTTATTTCTAGAAATCTCAAAATTGTTCTAAGAAAAAAATTTATACCTACAAAAAGTACAAATATTTCCCCCAAACAAGAAAAACACAAAATAATGCTGCCAGTTAGCTACATAAGAGATATAAAAATTAGTGCACAGGGCTGGGCACAGGTAAAGGGCTTGTTTAGCACATTGGCCCTAGGCTCATTGCCCAGAACTTAAGCTATATTTAAAATCACAAATGTAGTAAGAATTTTCAGAACTTTATCAAGGACAACTATCCAACAGACCTGAAAAGACAAGGAGCACATACAAATATTATAAACCAGTAAAGGAAAGACTAGCACTATAAAAGGAAAATTCAGACACAACAACAGTAAGGACCTGAAAATTCATCACCATGAACAGAGAACAAACTCAAACAACAGAAACTTTTCCCAGTATGCAGAGAATTATTTCAATAAAACTGCTTTTGTGAGAAAGGCACAATGTCTGAAACACAGTACCAATTGCATAAAAAGGAAAATACATGTTTACCTGGAAAAATGTAAGCACTGTGCACAGTGATGCCTACATGTAATCCCTACAGAGAGAAAACTCATTTGAGTCCACAAATTTGAGACCAACCTGGGCAATAGAGAGCCAGTCAAAAAACACATATACACATATGGATCTATATGTATCACTAACACTAACTCCCTTGAGGGAGGGCACACACATGTAGGGGTGGGGGTGCAACTGAAGAGTTTTCTGTTATTGTTGTTGTTATTATTATTATTATTATTATTATTATTATTATTATATACTGTTTTGTATATTTGTATTTTATTTTTAAGCATCTCTTACAGATTTGTGTTTTTATTTATCTGGTGGGGCAGGAAAAGCATGTACCATGCTGTATGTGTGGAGGTCAAAGGTCTTAAGGAAGTCAATTCTTGCATTCCACCTTGTTAAGACAGGTTCCCTCTTATTTTGTTAATATATCATCATCATCACTATTATATTTTGTGTGTGTGGTACACCTATGCTACCACTAGCACCTAGAGGGCAAAAGAACTCTAGGATTCAATTCTTTCCTCCCACCATGTGGGTCTAAGGGATCAAACTTGGGTTGTCAAGTCTGGCAGAGGTCCCTTTATCCACCAAGTCATCTCCCTGGCCCTCTCAATTCTGTTGTGCTTCCTACTCCAGAATAGCTGGCCTGAAGGTTCCCCAATGGTTCTCCTGTCTCTTCCTCCTATTCTGCCTTAGGAAAGCTGAGACTATGGATGCATGCCAGTGCATATGGATATTTTTAACATACGTTCCAAGAATCAAACTCAAGTCACAAGCTTGTATAGCAAGAGCTTTTACCTGTTGAGTCATCTTTCTGGTCCATTATTATTGCATGAGTAGACATGCATGCGTGTACACATGAGTGTGTATAGAGGGTAGAATGCGTGTACCCATATAGAATCCAGGTCAACCCAGGGCTTCTCCTCTTTATTTCCTTTTCTCGTTTTATTACTGGGGGGTAGGGGGGAGGTGGATGAGGGGGAAGGGAAGGGAAGGAAAGAAGGGAAGGGAGAGAGGGAAGGGGAGAAGGAAAGGAAAGGGAAGGAGAGGGGAGGACAGAAGGGAGGGGAGGGGAAGAAGAGAGGGAAGGAAGGAGGGCGGGAGAAAGGGAGAGGAAGGAGGAAAGGAGGGAGGAAGGAGGAAAAGAAAGGAGAAAGGGAGAGAAGGAGGAAGGGTGAGAGGGAAGGAGAGGGGGAGGGAAGAAGGGAGGAGAGAGAGGACCAATGATAATGTTCTTTGATTAGACACTGATACTAGCTATAGAACTCTAGTGAATATACTAAATGTCACTGAAATGTATAGTCCTTAAAATAGTAAATTTGGTGCTAGAGAAACAGCTCAGTTGGTAAAGTGCTTGCCCAAGCACTAGAACCTGAGTTCAATTCCCTAAAACCTACATAAAAACTATCAAGCTGGGACTGAAAAGATGGCTCTGTAGTTAAAAGCATGTACTGACCTTCCAGAGAAAATCGTGTTAGGCGGTTCACAACTACCTATAACTCCAACTCCCAGGGATCTGACCTTTGGTCTACAGGCACAAGCACTCTTGTGAACACACATTGTCTGCATGCAAATCATACACACATAATTTTTAAAAATTAAAATACATATTAGTGTTAAAAAGAAAACAGCCTGCCAATCTTAGTGGCATACGCTTGAATCCCAGAGCTTCAAAGGGTGACAAAGATTCCTGGGATTCACTGGACAGCCAGTTAGCACCACCTAACTTGGTCAGTTGCTATCCGGAGAGACCTAGTCTCCATATACAGGAGGTGGGAGTTGCCCAAAATGTAGAAAATAAACCACAGATATGGGCCCAGACCTAAACAAGTCATTAATATCAGTCTCTCTTAAGACTCACAAACATTGAGGATGAAGGGCTATCTACTACAAAAAAGTCTGAAGGGCCAAGAACTGCCATCCGATAAACTCAATAAAACGTAATGTTAAATCATTAATTTGTATCAACTATAATTACTGTATTGGACCCACACAAGCCTGTCAACAATCAGTCAAATAAAGGGGAGTAATTACAGGGCCCTGTCCTTTACCTCTGAACTATGGTTTTTAATAAATTCTAGGAGAGGGGGAAATCACTGTCTTTTATTGTGTGCCTTCCAACCCACCAAACTCCTATCCACTGTTACACAGGTGTCCCTGGTTAGTCTTAGGGGGGTCACAAACATAAGCGTTTAAGAGAGATTTGTGAGATGGGATTAGAGTGAATGATGTGGTAGGGAGATGGGAGGGCAGAATAGTCATGATGCAAAGCACCCATCCATATGTGCAACTGGAATATAATAATAAAAATTAATAATTTACAAAAAGATATACACAACCGGTTTGTTCTCTGGCCTCCATGTGTACCTACACATATATCCGCACACACAAAATGATGGACTTCCCTGAGTGTGGTGATGAACATCTATAATCCCAGCACCTGAGAGGTGGAGGCAGGATCAGAAGTTCAAGGTAGTCCTCAGCTATGAGGTCAAGGCTACGATAGGCTAGGCTACTGGGACCCTGTCTCAAAATGTTAAAAGGTCAATTTTATAATGGGGACTTTGTCTCAAAGAGATTTTTTTAGAAAAAAGAGTCAAATGGCTAGGATACAGCTCATCTGGTAAAATATTTGCTCATCATGCACAAAGCCCTGAGGTATGATCCTTAGCAATGCATAAAATCAGACATACTGCTCAATGCCTATAATCTCAGCACTCAGGAGATTCTTCATTTCACATGGAATACAGAATTCTAACAGAACGTCATTTCTCCATTGCAGTGCAGTATCTATAAACTCATTAAAATCAATCTTTCCTCTATATACAGTTAAAGTCACTACATAAAATTGCCACCTTCTAGACAAAAAATCTTACTTTCTTACATCACTACCACACCTATAAAAAGAAACAGGCAAGGGCAGTGCTGACAGAAAAGTTTCAGGATGCTCTAAGCTAAAGATGTCAATTTATTTCTCTAGTAGTTAAATGAATTCACGAGTAAGAATTCAGGGAGGCGATCACCTGTGAAAAGTGAAAAGTATGCTCTTCTACAAAAACTGCCTTTCCTTGCCTTTTCTTTCATTCCCTTTCCTTTCCTTCTGGGATGATGAACTCTCCCCTCAACTTGAATATTTTATAGAGGACAGTTCCCATTGCCCTTAAAATTAGAAACAGAGCCCGATGATGTTGGTGGCATATGCCTTTAGTCCCAGCACTTGGGAGACTGAGCTAACTAAGTACAAACCTGTTCTTCTTCTGTAAAGGGCACTAGAGCCAATGGTGGCAGGGGCTCCTCCTGAAGGATAGGCAGGAATTCTTTCTCCAGAAGGTCAAAAGGTATCTGTTTGATAAAACACAAGGCCATGAGATTGTCATTTCTCCAACTACAGGAAGATAAACTGAAGACACTATTTTCTAGCAATGATTATTATAAATACATTAAAGCTTATTCAATTAACTTCTGTTAATTATACAGTACTTACATAAAAACTCCAATCACATCCAAGCATGGTGGTACACACCTTTAATCTTAGCAGAGGGAGGAAGAGGCTGGCAGATCTCTGAGTTCAAGACCAGCCTAGTCTACACAGAGACCTTTAGGCTAGCCAAGACTATATAGTAAGAACCTGTCTCAAAAAATATCAAGTCACACCCACTGTCTCCACCCATGAAATCACTTCCTTTGGACTTGGTATTAAAACTGGTATTCCAAAGTACAGAGTAAAGGAATACAAATCTCCATATTTAACTTAAAGCAGGCGATAAGGAAATTTCAAACAACTATGTCTGTCCTTAGCAACTAAAATTTGAGATTCTCCACCTACTAATAAATTAAAAAACAAAGTATATCTAGAAAAACAAGATATTATCTTCCCTGGTCAAATACAAAAAGTCAACATTGTTTCATCTTGGTGCTTTTTTAGGTAAATCAAGTGTTACATTTTAAGAGTTCTCTCCACTAACCTTTCTATTTAGGAGGGCAGGAAGAGCAAGCTGGTCCTCCCTCAACCCTGGACCTTAACTGGGAAAGAAGATAAGAGGTACAACTGAGAGAAGGGGGAAAATGGAGAAGGGAGAAAGGAAGAGATACCAACAGTGCGGCCACAAAGCCACCTGTTCCCATAATGACATCATGGCTCTTCTCTAAGGATAACACATCCCTCAGTCACTATTATCCACTGTGTTTTTTGATGCAGGAAAGGAGTAAGATGAAAACTAAGTATCACTGTCCATAGTTACCTCATCTATAATTCTCAACTCTTTTTGTATTTTCTTACCTTGTAGTCTTTAAGGAAAAGTGCTAACATTTCTTCTCTGCCGTAACGATAATCAGCTAATTTATACTTTGGCAGGGCCGGAGAAAGAGGAGGGGATGTGATACTCCCACCACTGGACAGAGCACGGAGCCTAAAATAAATTAAAAAGAGAGAGAGAGAGAGAGAATACAAAATAAAGTGACATGTTCTGATACTGTAGGCTTCTTATATAATACAGGGTGAAATTTCACAGTAGTTCTTAAGAGCAAAAACTTCATTATGTTAAGCAGCAAAGATGTTTGCATATAATACAAGCCTCTGCTACAGCACTCGGAGAAGTTCACTAAGTGCTAACTAGACAGTCAGTGATAACTCAGTAATTCCAACATCTGAAAGATGCCACTGTTGTCTCTATGAAACTTCAAGTTTAGAGAGTTTTTTTTTTAACCAAAACCAGGGACCATTAGACTCACAAAAAATTACTAAGTTTAATAACAAGTATGAAACAATAGAAACACTCAAATAGGCAAATAGGCAAAAAGGGCTCATAGGATCCTAATTCACAGGCCAGCAAGATGATTCAGCAGGTAAGGAAGGGCACTTGATCAAAAGACAAGAATTCAATCGCTGGAACTCACATAAAGGTGAAAAGAGAACCAACTCTGAAATTGTCCTCTAACCTAGACATGTGCCAAAGCCCACACGTACGTACACACACACACACTTTTTACTTTTTTAAAGTAAGCTATGCATGGTAGCATATGCCTTTAATCCCAGCAGTCTGCAGGCAGAGATAGGTGGATTTCTGAGATCAAGGCCAGCATGGACTAATGGAACTAAAAAGTGAGTTTCAAGACAGCCAGCACTACACATTGAAACTGTTTGTTTGTTTGTTTGTTTGCTTTTGTTGGGGGAGAGACCGACCCCCCCAGATGTCTTGGTTAAGAGTACACACTGCTCATGCAGAATACTTGACTTTGATTCCCAGTATCTGTATCAAGCAGTTGATAAGAGCCTGTAACTAGCTCCAAAAGATTCAGAGCCTATACACTCATATGCACACACAATTAAAAATATTTTTCAAGGATTACAAGGTATATGAATACGTGAAATGTTCTTGTACTTTCTGACTGACAGCCAAGACTGAAAAGAAAGAGGGGGCGGGATAAGAATTATAAACTACAATAGCCTCTTCCAATAATCATTTTGAAATAGCTAAATATTTAAAAACTTTTTGGCTACTTGGTGATAGTGAAAATATTTAATATGGAACATAAAGAGAAGGCTAAATACAAAAACTAAAAAAGTAATTTTAAAATGTCTCTTGAGGGATTAGATCAGCATAGCTCCAAGGTTTGAATCTCAGTACTACCAAAATAATAATTGTTTGGGGTTTGGTTTTTTTGGGGTTTTTTGTTTTGTTTTGGGGGGTTGTTTGTTTTGTTTTTTGTTTTGTTTGGTTTTTGTGTGTGTGTGTGGTTTTGTGTGTGTTTGTGTGTGTGTGTGTGTGTGTGTGTGTGTTTTTTTTTTTTTTTGTTTTTTGTTTTTTTTTGAGACAATGTCCCTCATAGCTCAGGCTGGCTTGAACTTACAACTTTGTAGGATCCTCTGCCTTTACATCCTAAATGCAGGCCTGCAAGTAGGCCCAGTTTAAGGAAGTGCCTGGGTCAAACCCAGGGCTATGTTCACACCAGCAGCTACATAGGTTCTTTAACTGAGCACCCAGCCCAAAGTAACATTATAAGAAATAAAGATCCAGGGCCAGAATGACTATTCAGCAAAACTAGAAAAACTAAGCTCCTACTATCTAGTCATGGTGGCACATGACTTTAGTCCCACCACTTGGGAGGGCAAGGCAAGAAGTCTCTTTAAGTTCCTATCTCAAAAGAAAAACAAAACAAAACCAAAAAACGAAATGAAGGAAAGTAGATAGGCTGTAGATAGGTTGATTGGTTGGTTGATTCCTACTACACTAGAAACAGCTGATCATTTGGGGCTACCCAAAGTTCTGTACAGTAACAGACAACAAGGCTGAAACAAATTACTTTAATTTACCTGTATACCCTAATGGAAAATTCAACAGATACCCTACAAGATATCCTTTAAACTGCTAAGCATTAAAAATTAATAAGATCAGTTAAAGTAGAATACATATTTGCCTATTATTCAAAAATGGCATATGCATGGTAAACATAAGAACATGTTTACATGCAGAAGTAATACTAAAGAAAAAAGAATAGACACTAGTACAGTGAGAAGGATTCTTCCCAGTATTTCTACCTTTTTATCCTATTTAGAAATATAACAGACGATTCTGAAATATAGGAAGTAGTAAGAAGCATATAACAAGCTCACATGAACCAATCACTCAAGCTCAAAATAAGCAATACATGGCCAACCTGGCTCTCTGTAACATACCTCTAAGCCTTTGAAGCTTTTTTGGTGGAAATTTTTGGCCTAGTATTTTATATGTAAATTAACACACAAATTTGGGGGGGACGGATGATGGCATACACCTTTAATCCCACCAATTGGGGGACAGAGGCAGGTGATCCTTGAGTTCTAAGCCAGCCTGGTCTACAGAGTTCCAGGACAGGATCCAAAGCTACACAGAGGAGGAAAAAAAAAAAAAAAAATGAAAGTCTGAATCTGCTGTTCTTATCTCATTTAAATGGTAAGTGGGTATAACCTGTTAAGATGTGTTGTATAATTTTGGCAATCTCTCCCCTGGGGTAGTATATTATTCTATCATGAGACACACAATGCCTCATTGGTTTTCTGAACTGTTAGCATGTACTAATGATCCATGCTTAGATACCTAACTTCACTAGTTGTTGCCCATGGTTCTATTCTATTACACCTTTTCTTTTCTTGTAGCATTCCTACAAAGAGAAAACATCTCTTATACTATTCGATACAGTGACTCAATGTTAGTTTACACAGAAAAGAAAAAATTTGTCTTATTTTCAAAATAATATCCAACAATGATTACTTCTTTATGTATTTAAATTCAGTGAAATTATCTTTAACTATGTCCCCCCCCCCCCGCCCACTATCTTACCTTTGACTAGTAAGAAACTCTTCTAATGGCTCCCCGTGGTGGGCCCTTTGGACATGCCCCAATTAAGTCTTTTTAAAAACTTATTTTCTATCTTGTGCCAAAGTGTTCCAGGGTCACCTTAAATAATTTCTCCCATCAGTCCCAAAAGCCCCCATTTCTCCAAAGGGAGTACCAGGAGTAATCACAACTACTGAATTGGTCTTTGTTTCCTTTCAAATTCTTTCTGATAGAGACGAAGTTCAGTGCCCAAAAGACATACTAAAGACCGAAAAGTACTTCTCAAAGATCTTCAAGAAACTGCTTCAAGAAACTAGAATCTCAAAAGTTGGGTTCTGTCTGCTGGGGATATGCCTCAGTGGGTAAAGAACTTGCTAGGCAAATGCAAGGCATGAGTTTAGATCCCACTCATGAATGTTTAAAAAGGGCAGATGTGGAGACAACTGCCTGCAATCCCAACTCAGAAGAAATAGGCATAGAAGGATGAAGTGGGAGGTGCTGCTTTACTAACCAGCCAGTCTATTCAACCAGAGTCCCAGGTTCAATGAGAGAAACTATCTCAAAAAAATAATCTGGAGTGCAAAGAAAAAAGACCTTCAATGTTGACCTCTGCTTTCTATATGCACTCTTCATCCACATAAACATGTGCACACGCATGCACATGGACACAGAGTGTACACACACACACACACACACACACACACACACACACACACGGGGGAAAAAATTGAGCCTGTCATTAAAAAAAAAAAAAAAGAGGCACTTTGCCTCTAAGAACTGGGGCTAGAAAATGTATATCTTAGCTCATTTGATCCAGCTTAAGCTTCACAAAAAAAAAAAAAAACCACAATATAAAAGAAGCTCAGTAATAGAGCATTGGCTAAGCATTGGCCTTGAGTTCTACCCCCAGCGCTGAAAAGAGACAAAAAAAAGAAAGTGAAGGTGGAGATTACTATATCTGACTAGTCACCACAGAACTGAGATTTAAGCCTAAGATTTTTATGACTAAATAACTACGCTGTAACTAATGAGATCCCAAATTTTTATTTTGAATAGCCAATTTAATTAACAGGCATTAATTTAAAAGTATTAGCAATTATTTTTAAATATTTTCCACATCATACTAAGCCAATATGCTTCCCAATAGTTTTTAACACTAGAGGGCACACCTGAGCCAATTCGTGTGAAAATCCTGGTGACTGCTTAAGTCTTACCAGAGACTCCCTTATAACCTAGTAGTCCTAATTTCTTAAACAGCTCCTTATATCAAGTTTTCAAATTCATTTACCACTCTGTTCCAACAGACCCAAATGGCTTCCCAAAGAAGACCAACACCTTTGGGCATCATATCCACTAACTGTAACACGATCAGAGCTTCCTCTCTAGCATCTGTGAAGAGTTGAAGCAATTAAGAAAAGATAGTCTATTGAGCTGGAATAACCATTGTGATCTGAATCAATAGTCAACTCTAAGTCTCCTCTCACCCAGAAATATGGAAAAGCTGAATTGCATGTGGGTAATTTCCCTTCCCAAAGCCTACCAACTGACCTTTATCTCTTCCATACAATTCTCTTTCCTAAAAACCTTATCTCCTGTGTTCTTCACTAGTCTTTATAAATATATATCAGTGACTAATAATATCACCTCACTTACAGCTCTGTACTAGTCATATTTCTTCATTCTAGAAGTTTCTTTACTTCCTTATATCACTATTAACTTCAAAACCCAACCCAACTTGGCTTTTCACCATTGCAATGCTCTACAAGGTTCATCAATAGCCTTAACACTGTTTAAAAAAAAGAGAGAGAAAAGTTCTAATCCCATGGGCTTCACCTTCCCAGCCTACAAGAAGAGTATAGTTCTACCATACATAATAACTGACAAGGACTAGAAACAGGACCCCCCAAACCCCATAATATTCTCCAAACTTTCATTTAGTACCATTCAAAATCCACACTTCAACTTGTAGTTGGAATGATGTCCATATTTGTGTGATATTCTGAGGATCAATAACTATTTCTATATAAGCTTCAGGTTTTCTTCTATTCATGCTCTGACTCGTGAGTGTGTGTGTACACATATACATACACATGTGCGTGTGTGCATGTATGTGTACACATATGCATACACACACATATACACATGCATGTATACATACATGTGTGTTTGTGCTTGCGTGGTGTGTGTGTGTGGGTGTGTGTGTGTGTGTGTGTGTGTGTGTGTGCGCGTGCGCGCTCCAATATACCCAACACCTTATTCATCAACTTTTTAATCCCCATCTCTTCACCACCTGATGAAGGGCTCACCATCCATCTTCCATACCTATTTATGTCTTACTTAATTCTAATCTTTCACACCAGATATAAATCTTTTTTGCATATTTTTATAATAATCTTGAACAATATAACTACTCTTATTCTATCTTCCACATTTCTTATTCCAAATTCAAATTTGACTAAAACTCACCAAATCTTTCTTGGTACACAAAGGCCAAACAACTTAACAAGTCACATGAAAGAGTGTCTCCAAGCTCATGTCTCCCTCTCCAACATTTCACATTAATGGTAAATGTCTTGAAGTTTATATCTTAAATCTGTAATCTCTTTGCATCCTTGTCTTTAAACTTGCCCCTTCTACATCCAGAAATATTCAAATATTTTTCTGAGCCTTTATCAGGAATAGGGAAGAGGAAACATACTCGGGACAACTGGCATATACAGAAAGAAGCCAAACTAACACTCAGCCAGAAAGGCGGAGTTGGGGAGCACTGCAGCAGGCACTTGACAGTTCGGTTGTTTTGATATTTAAACACATTTTCTCTTCTAGAGTACAGCTCCTTTGGGTAACAGCTCATTCACTGTCTTTTCAACCCTTTTTAAGAAATGGAAAAAAGGAACACATTCTGTCTATCAGAACTTGTATTCTTAAAGAGTCTCTAGCAGCAGCTTCAGGTTTACATTCTCGTGCCCCAACCACATTTGCCAATGAAGCCTGAATGCCTTTATCCAACAAAACTTTATGGAGTGTCTAACAACCCTGGTGCACTAACTCAAAACATTGGCCAAAACACAGATAATAGTGAGTGTCTTTAATATGGAATTAGTTCTTTCCTAAGAGAACCACACAGAGAAAAGACATACCTCAAAATGGTAAACTATTTTAACAGAGATATAAAGAAAGTACTGAGGGGGAGAAATATAAAGAAAGACTCTCCCTGTCTTTTTGTAGGCAAAGACCTGAGAGTTCCTATAGAGCACCTAAATGAGACAAAAGATACCCCAGGAGAGCTTCTGTATGTCATCCCCAGAAAGCAAGGTGCTGTTAATTATTCTCCCTAGAATAAAATCATCTGGAATTATCTAAGTATTTTTCTGGTCCTTAAATTTTTCTCAAGTAAATTTGATTTTTAGATGTCTTGATGTATACATTTGAGTGGTAGGACTATGGACAATTACACTTTTTCTATTTTTCTCCATACTATTGTTTCCTCCAAATTTTCTTACTAATGGAACAGAAAAAAAATAAATAAAAGATTTCATCTAAATCAAAAGTATTTAATATTAAAACAACTTATTGAGATAGTTTGATTTAAGCACCCAGAAGGCGGTGGCAGGTGGATAGTTTGAGGCCAGTCTGGTCTACAGTGTGAGTTCCAGGAAAGTCAGAGTTACACAGAGAAATCCTGTCTCAAAAAAATAAACAACAGAAAAAGAAAAAAGTTTTGTCAAAAACAACATAAACATTCAGAGGATGTGAATTGAGCTCACACTATCCTTCTGATGGTCAATCTGTGTGGTGTCATCTAAACCTTAAATTAAAAATGAAACTTTTGACTTAATAATTCTACTTCAAAAGAATTAATCCAAGGAAAATTATCAGAATATAAGCAAAATTATTCAGAAATATGCATAACATTAACAATAACAAAACACTGAAAAACTTTACTTTCCAGCAATTGATTATTTCATTTAATAGACATTTATTTTGTGCCTAAGAGCCAGGCACTGGAGCTACAGCAGTAACAAGCTATACAACAATCCAGATCAAATGCCTGCTCACAATGGAGCTCACAGTCTAGTGAGAGCTAGAAGCTGAGTTCTGAGCAAGAAGTACTTAGCATATCACAATTTGATATAGACACTAAAGGAGTTAGGGAGTAAGAGGGAGGGAGACAGGCTGTACAGTCAGAAAGTTTAAAGTGGTAACATTTGAAGAAAGGCATTTAAAATGGAGATTTCTTTTATACCTAGAAATTAGTTTCTTCATTAGCTCTGTCATATCCTTTTACAGTATTTTGGTGAATCTGTAATGCATTTCTTGACTCTAATAAACAATCCACAACCTAATAATTCTGTTGGGTTGTTGGGTTTAATAGGGCTAAACAGATAGGGTCTTTTCCTACAATTTTCAATGTCCTCTTATCAACACAACTGCCCCAGATAAGCACTGGAGGGAGAAATGAGAGAAATTTTTCAATTGCAAGTATATTTTTAAAATCTAAGATAAAAAGCTTTTTTAAAAACTTCATTTTATACATCCCTTATTAAGCATTGCATTTTCCATTATTCATTACAAGAATGATGGCTTCTCCATAAAGTCATTAAATGTTGCTATATGGCTTAGAGTTACAAAATGACTTGTTATAATCACTCTGCTCCTTGATTCTCAACCATTCTGAACACAGTTTCTCACATCAAGATTGGTAATGGACATGCTACATGAAGAAAACATGCCAGAAGTCTCCAATGACAAGTCAGCTGTCTAGTACAGGATTACTTCAGTTGTTTAAGGGACTTATAACTATTTTGACTAAAAAGAACTGAAGGCTCCTAACCACCAATGCTACAGGATTAGCCTAGGTAACAACTAGAAGTTTCCGTTTAAGGACAGGACTGATGACCACCCTCTTCTAACCTCAGTTAAATTAAAGACCATGTAATACTTCAGGGTACAATAAAGAGTACATGTGAGACACTACGGACAGACTGAGCCAATGGCAAAGAGATGCCTGCAAATGACTTGATGTTCGGTAACACAAGTTTGCAGCAAACTTTCTGCAAAGGGCCAAGGAGAAAATGTACAAGCTCTGAGAACTAGGTTGTCTCTAGTAGAACTACTCATCCCTGCCAGAATAGTACAAAAGCATCAAGGTAACTGGGGGGAAAAAAATGAACATGGCTGTCTTCCAATAAAATTTTATTCACAAAAACTTTACTTACACTCAAAAAAGATTCCACTTGCAAACCAGTGATGTAAGATGATTTAAAAAAAAAAAAAAAAAAAAAAAAAAAAAACTCAAGAATATCACCAGTTTGGTTTGTTTTTGTTTTGTTTTTTAAGTTTTTGGTTTTGGCTAAATTTTCTGTTTTCTTTTTCACTACGTATTATTAGCAAGATGCTGTAAGAAAAAAAAAAAAAACCCTTTAAATGACTTAACCATTTTAATCATGATTTTACAAAGAAAAATATGAGGATGTACAAGTACAAAAGCAAAGTAATTAATACTGGCAGAATAGCTGCACACACAATGATTTACAAAGTAAACTACATGAATTAAAATCCACCTGGTTAAAGAAGTTACTATGGTGTAAATAAAGATTTAGCTATAAAAATGTTAAAATGTTTTTATAATACCAACAGCTGAGAATAACCCTTATATGCTACATCTAGAGAAGTAGTTAAATGATAGTACATCCATACAATGAAACTATTTAACAAACCCAAAAAAGCTTTTATTAAAAAAGGTTTTGTTTGGTTTAGTGTTTTTGTTGTTGCTGTTGTTGTTGGCTTTAAGGTTACAAGATTGAATGCACAGTATGATCCCATTTTGTGAAAATAAATATACATATACACAAATAAGATACATAAAACCATTAGGAAAGATAGGTACACCAAAATATTTACAGTGGGTACTAAAGATCAAATTAAAGTAATTGTACCTTTCCTTGCTTACTTATATTTTCTCATTTTTCTAGAAACAGTGATTTAGTAATAAGAAATTTTTTTAAATATAAAATGACTGAAACAGGTGCAGCATTGTTTAGATCAACATTTTCAAAATAAATTTAAACTATAGGCAATGTGTCAATTCTCAGAACTAAAAATACTTTCTTCTATTGTCTCCAAATGCTAACTATGAAGATTAAGAATATCTAGGAATTACATATGAAAAAAAAGTACATGATTAAGTTCATATGACTCCTCAAGGCTGAACTCCTACAGAAGTCTTACAAACCACCACCTAAACCCAAAGAATGCTGATGCTACTCCAATCCTCCTTGAGGTAATGCCTTTGACATTAGCAAAGGGGTTTGTTCCAAGTATGAATGAAAAATTAACTATCATTATTCACGCCACTGAAGAGAGGATCTTCAATCACCAACTTTGGGGGGGGAAAGAAGAGGGGGGGAAAGCCACACTATAATGTGATGGATCTCAAAATTCCATGAGAATTCCATATTCGGGGTCCAAACATATCTGTAAGAGACTCAAAGGTCAATTAATTGTTATTATGGCAACGCTAACTCAACTCTAGATGGGCTACTGCTAATAGCCAGTATTAATTCTGGACCTGCTTAGCCCATCAACAAAAAAATTTCAAATTCTTCCATTAAAACTGTTCTTAAAAATGTATTATCAATAGCAGAAAACATAGATATTAAAGTATCTCTATTGTAATTATGTAAAATTGTCTAGATATATACACAAAGGTTCAAATATAAATAATTTTCTAGGGTGGTAGACCTATATATATATAGTTTTCATTTCATTATCAATACCTAACCAAATCATGAAAAAATTCAAGAGAATGCCATCCTTTATCAAATATAAGTTACTATAAGCTAGTCACATTTTAAAATTATACACATGAAACAAAAGTCTCAGAAATATGCACATTTATACACCACACCACCCAGCACTAGTATACTAGTATATGTTATACTAGTGGATTATGTCATTCAATGCCAAATAGGACAAAACTGAACTCACCATTCAGGCCCAAAGTTTAGTGTCTGTGTTTCTGCTGCCATTCTTTTCCGTATTTTTAAAATGATTTTTGTATATGGAAAAACCTGTTAAATAGAGAGATATCATTGTCAAAACAATGTCAAAAAAAATATGAATACCAGGTCAGAACATATAGCTAGACAATGTGTGATTTGCTTATAATCTCCTAAGAATGAGTTTTTAAGAATGAGTTTTTAATGACCATAGCAATACCGCTGGCAAAATGAAATGAGTACATCTGCCCCTCCCTCCCTTCCAACTTCTTGTTGCATTTATCTGGGATTTATCTGGGAAAGGAGGCGTGGAATAAGATGAAATGTGTCAGACAGTTAGAAACAGACCATGCAGGGTCCTCGAGCCAAAACAAGGATGCCCTCCTTAAGCCTTAGAACAGTGAGGAATGAATAAATGGCAATAATAGTTACATATCCATTTCTATCATTCTCTTGCTCCACCATCAATTATCATCTGGTGTTGGGGATTGAACCCAGACCCCTACGAATGCTAGGTAAACACTCAACCACTGAACTACAGCCCTAGCCATCCTTTCCATTTTTTCATTTAAGATTAGAATACATCTTAAACGGATGAATACTGTAATGCCAGTGACTAGGTTACAACTGTAGCTAATATCCCAACTTGGCCCAATTTTGGTTCTAGCTACCGCTAAAGACATCTTCAAAATGATCTGAATATAATACAAAGGAAGCAAAACAACAATGGGACAGTAAGTATTGAAGTAACTACCATTGGAGAAGTAAATCCAAATGCTTTATAGGAAATAGGAGAGAAAAGGAAAAAGGAAAGAAGATAGAGTAAGGGGGGAGATAAAGATCGAAAGAGGGAGGTAGAAAGTAGAGAAGAAAGCAAACAAGAGTTGAGGTTATTATAGTTTATTGCTCATACATGAAACTGCACAATCCAAACAGTCACACGCAGAAACCTTGAAGTGTTTAACGGTGTTAAAGAATGACTAGACTCAGTGGCTTATACCTGTAGTCCCAGACACTTGTGACACACTGAGTATATCAACTGAGTTCAGTGACAGAAAAGGGCAAAAAAAAAAAAAAAAAAAAAAAGTTGTTTAAAAAAAAATTAAACATTGGGCACAGTGGCAAACACCTTTAATCCAAACATTTAGGAGGCAGAGGCAGGGGGATCTCTAGGCAGGGGGGATCTCTGAGACTTCCAGGCCAGAAGTCTACATAATGAGTTCTAGAACAACCAGGGCTATGTAGAGAGAAACTGTCTCTGATAAAAAGAAGATGACAACAACAAGCAAATATTAAGTTTAACAGGGATGAAGATAGGAAAGTGGTAACCAAAACAAAGGATGCATGAAAAACGCTTATAGAAACCCACTACTCTGTAAGCTAATTTAAAAGTGCAATTTAAAAGGGGGATGGGGTTGAATACAGATAACCCTGAGTGAGTATATAATGTTTCCCCAGAAAACATGGGTTGTTACATGGAAATATCAGTGGTCAGGGAGGCTCCCAAAACCCCCAAAATAACAGAGGCTGTTGCCATTGCTCGTGGTTACCTACCAGAACAAGATGGTAGCACCCTATTACTGAAGTCACAACACACTTTGGTTGTAGGACATAAGAAATCAAGGTGGAAATGCGGCAGTGGCAGAGCACGCCTTTAGTCCCAGCACTAGGGAGGCAGAGGGAGGCGGATCTCTGTGAGTTTGAGGTCAGCCTGGTCTACAGAGAGAATGCCATGACAGGCTCCAAAGCTACTGAGAGAAATCCTGTCTTGGAAAAAAAAAAAAAAAATCAAGGTAGAACCAACCTGAAATTTGCAGTGCCAGAAGGTGCTATACAGGAGGAGAAAAGCATCAAGGGTATTATACAGCACTGAGGCCTGAATACTGCAGTCCTAACCTGTCAGGTACAATGGGCTCTAAGTACAACAGTGGCAAGAAAATAATGGAGGTGATCAACCACTTTCTGACTAGATTTGAAGCCTGCTCCAAAGAAAGGAAGCCATGCCTAATACTATGAACTTGGTCAGAAGCCCCTGACCCAGAATGTCTTAAGTTCTGGGGAGGAACCTATTAATACTGTTTTGCTAAATGGACATGTTTTTATTTTAAAAAAAAAAAAAAAAAAATGGAGACACAAAGACCCCTGAAACTTGCTGGAGAGCCAGTCAAAGCAAACCAGAAGGAAGGCACCAAACATTCACCTCTGGCCTTCATACTCATATGCATACACATGGACATAGAATACTTAAATGTATACCAAATACACACACAAAAGAAAAAATTTAAAGACTAAATTGCTTGTATTGTTTTTAAAGTTGTCACAAGCACCAAATCACTGAATTTTAAACTGATAATAGTGGAACCAGGCATGTACACACCTATAATCCCAACACTTGGGGAGGGGCTAAAAGAGGATCTGAGTTCAGGGTCAACCTGGATTATGAGAGAGAGAGTCCATCGGAGATGCAGAAATGGAACTGCTTCATAGTCATTTTGAGTGACATGCTACCACTACACAGCTGGAGAGAAAAGGTGGAGACTACTATGTTCTTACATGTATGTGAAGACCAGAGGTGGCTATCAGATATATTCTTCAATCACTTTCTACTTTACTTTTTGAGACAAGGTCTCTTACTGAAGCTAGAGCTGTCCAAGTTGGTTAGACAAGCTGGCCAATTTGGTTAGATTAGCCAGCCAGCAAGGCTCAGGGATCCCCCTGTTTCTGGTTCCCCAGTGTTCAAATCATAGGCATGTGCCATCACACCCAGTTTTTAGATGATGGTTCTAGGAGATCAAAACTGGGCCCAATGCTTGCATGGCAAGTACTTTATCAACTGAGTCATTTTCTATGATCTATTAAGATTCCCCTAATTAAAAAGTGTTTTTGTTTTTGTTTTGTTTTCCAATTTTCCTGTGGTGTGTGCACTTGAGTTTGGATGCATGTGTGGGAATGCATGGGTGCGTGTGCAAGTTGGTATTAGGAATCATCCTTGGTATTTTTCCACCTTATTTACTTGGTATCTATGAAAATACTAAAAAAAAAAAAAAAAAAAAAAAAATCACTTAGCAATTTATTTTCCTCTTTTACTACAAGAACATCACATATGATCACATAGGTTGTCAAAACAGTAAATTCCACAGGTGTTATTAACACAGAAGATAGAAATAGAACTGCTGGAGTTGGATATAGATTCAACTCCAGGCAGCAATCTTAAACTGTAAGAGAAGCTCCCTGGACACAGGGAGCATCTAGGGAATATAAATGAGCAGGAAAATCCTGCTCTAGTGCATTTGGTCATCCTGACCATAGGTGCTGCAAAACCTCACAAATATCAAATGCCCCAAAGCTTGAACCCAGCTACTGATTATAACATAGTTCCCTAGAATTATTTCCCGATGTAAACACTTCTGGAAAACTCTATAAAGAACAATTCAAGAAATTTAATTCTCAAAACTCTGTTCCTTTTTCTTATGAATTAGAGGAGGAAATCTAACTTAAACACTAAGCACCTTACTCAATCCTGAGATCTAGACCCTAGATGGCTCCTTCCCAATCCATCTAATAGAGCAAGTTTAATGGAAATGAGATTAGTCTTCTCACCTTCTTTTTTTTCTTTTATTCTCTTTTTTTTTTGGGGGGGGGGAGAGGTAAAGGACAGGATTATGTAGCCCTGATTGCCCTGAGGAACTTACTCTGTAAATCAGGCTGGTCTCAATTTCATCATTTCAAACCCAACCTAGCCAAATGTTTCCAACTCAAACTCCTATAAGCCTCCTGACCTTTGGGAAACAGCTCTGAACTTGTAAAAACTTGGGATCTGAAACTGACTCTGCTCCGCCAAGCGTCTCTCTAGATCGCCTTCTCTTGAAACTAGTTCATTTTTCCTCTATGAGTAGTACTATCTGGTACTATTATTTTGACCCAAACTTTTCTGTTTCTCCCTTCCTAATTTTCCCCAGAACATCCATGTCTTATTTAACTGTAAGCTCCTTGAGTGTTTGTTGCCTTTAAGTCCCTGTGGCTAGAACTCTGCTCAAAGTGTGTAGTGGCAAAAAGGGAAAAGAGGAAACAAAGACAAATTTTCTAAATGGCCTGGGAAGGGGAGCTTGGGAGAAAGACCCACCCACCCTGACCCAAACTGCAAACTTCATTTCTTTTTTTCTATAGTATTACTTTGTGTATCATTCTAAATCAAATAAGCCTACCTCAAAGCAAGGAGCAACTGATAAAGGTAACACTGTGTTGAAAGTTTACTGGCCAATCACAATGAAAAAGTCAAGCATGTGAAACTCCTACTTTGCAATCCTTCACCTAGGCATTTTCTCTCAACTACTTCTAACTCCTTACATCTTTACAAGATAGTCTGAAAAACTTATAAGCTAGATATGGTAGTGCATGTATACTACAAACACAAAGAAGTATGTTCAGGGTAGCTACTCTGCACTATGTAGCCAGATCCTGCTATCTCCAAAGTAATTAAAATTTTTAGAAATCCAATTTTGCAAAGCTAGAGGGATGCCTCAGCAATTAGAAGTATATAATGTTCTTGCAGATGAACCAAGCTTGACTCCCAGCACCCACAAAGAGCAGCACATGACTGCCTGTAACTCCAGTGGAACTAGACACTCTCTTATGACTTCTCAGGGAGATGGCAGTGGAAGGATCAGAAGATAAAGTAAGCCTCATCTACAAAGTGAATTGGAGGCCAGCTAAAGCTACATAAAGCTCTGTCCCCCCAAAAGGGGGGGGGGGAGGGAGAATGGAGAGGGGAATAAGTAAATGTCTAGAGGTTACAGGTAGAAAAGAACCATATAGTTAGACATCTGCAACCCACAACTTATCTCAGTTTCATCTCTAGCTTTCTCCTCAGTCACCTTGTTCACCATATCCATGTACATAATTTTCAGTAAGTCAAAGATTACTCTCAGCTGACATGTTAAAATTTACAAAGTGTCTCTCCATACCTCTTTTTATGTTCATCTACATGTAATAGATGGGGGTGGACTAGCTATTCATTTCCACAACCTAGAATTACACTATAAATCTGAGGATGCCTAAAATAAAATATACCA